CTTTTCATTTACAAATTCGAACTAGTCCCTGGTTTGTCAACACACAGAGTTCTACCACGTCATTTCCCAATCTGGACGGATTGAAGTTATATAATCATCGAAAAAAAGTTAGAAAATCTTCACCGTTTTCGTCCCTCGCCATGGCGAATAAGGCCTTCGTTTTGGCCATTTTCGCTGAGCCCTGAGGGCCACAGGCTCAGACCTACAGAGCTGAGACTCACATCAGTAATATTAGGTTATGGCCTGAACGCAATGACACTAAAATCATTCGCCCAATTGAGCTCTTTAGCGCCACCTGTCGGAAAGTAATAGGGCACTAGTGCTCGGATCGGCCCGAAAATCGCTGAGTGTATTCTCTGGACCGAGACGAGCAAAACATTACATTACGCAAAAGTTGTACGTCCACACCTGACCACTGGGGGCGCCGGAAAGTGAATAAATGAGCTTTTTGGGCAAAATGTTTGTCCGATGAGGCTAAAAATGAATTCAGAAATACAGCGTATGACCCTGAACACAACGATATGCAACACACAACTGTGAGTGCAACAGCGCCACCTACAGGCAGTTCAATGTGTCGCATTTTTGGCTTCGTACTAGTCCCTGGATTTTCATCGCACAGACTTCTACCATGTCATTTCTCCATCTGGACGGATTGAAGTTATGCAATCATCGCATAAAAGTTAGAATTTTGTTATCGTTTTCATGCGAGGTAGTGGGGAATTTCTCCATGTTTGATGCTCTCCTGACCACAGGCTCAGACCTACAGAGCTGAAACTCACATCGCTAACAGTTGGTAATGGCCTGAGAGTAATGGTGTGAAAACACACACCTAATATGACTCTACAGCGCCACCTATGGAAGGCTTCTGACCTAAACTTTTCCGATCTTCACCAAAGTTGCAAAATCAAATCTTTACATCTGTACGAGCAAAATACTACTCTACGTAGAGGGTGCATGTCCCGGAGGTGACCACTAGGGACGCACTTTATCATATAAATGAGCTTTTATATACGTAATCCTGGTCAGATCGGGCTGCCAATTCGTCGGCGTGACGCTTGTGGGACTGGCGCCCGGGAGGCGGTCGCAAGAGGGGCGAGGCCTTTCATCGCCGCTTGCGGCTTTAATGAAAATTGTTATTCGGTGGTTTCATATTATTCTTTTTCCGCCGAAACAATTCGATTTTTGACCCTGAAGACATGCACGAAAGTCTGCACATGGGGGGTCTAAAACGACCGGTCCGGCGAAAAATTTGATAAAACGGACGTTTCGAGATTGTCCGACAAAAGGCGAATCAATAGCGCCCCCTTGAAAATTCAAAATTTGCCATTTCTATTGGAGGCAGGATTTCATATTTTGGAGTAGGTACACGAAATTCGGATGAGTGATAGATCTCTATGAGACGAGCATAAAAGCCGGTCTAAGCACATGTTCTGGGACCAACAGGAAGTCGGCCATGATGGGCCAAAGTTTCGCCACTAATTTGACTTTTCATTTATAAATTCGAACTAGTCCCTGGTTTTTCATCACACAGAGTTCTACCACGTCATTTCCTAATCTGGACGGATTGAAGTTATATAATCATCAAAAAAAAGTTAGAAAATCTTCACCGTTTTCGTCCCTCGCCATGGCGAATAAGGCCTTCGTTTTGGCCATTTTCGCTGAGCCCTGAGGGCCACAGGCTCAGACCTACAGAGCTGAGACTCACATCAGTAATATTAGGTTATGGCCTGAACGCAATGACACTAAAATCATTCGCCCAATATGAGCTTTTAGCGCCACCTGTCGGAAAGTAATAGGGCACTAGTGCTCGGATCGGCCCGAAAATCGCTGAGTGTATTCTCTGGACCGAGACGAGCAAAACATTACATTACGCAAAAGTTGTACGTCCACACCTGACCACTGGGGGCGCCGGAAAGTGAATGAATGAGCTTTTTGGGGCAAAATGTTTGTCCGATGAGGCTAAAAATGAATTCAGTAATACAGCGTATGACCCTGAACACAACGATATACAACACACAACTGTGAGTGCAACAGCGCCACCTACAGGCAGTTCAAGGTGTCGCATTTTTGGCTTCGTACTAGTCCCTGGATTTTCATCGCACAGACTTCTACCATGTCATTTCTCCATCTGGACGGATTGAAGTTATGCAATCATCGCATAAAAGTTAGAATTTTGTTATCGTTTTCATGCGAGGTAGTGGGGAATTTCTCCATGTTTGATGCTCTCCTGACCACAGGCTCAGACCTACAGAGCTGAAACTCACATCGCTAACAGTTGGTAATGACCTGAGAGTAATGGTGTGAAAACACACACCTAATATGACTCTACAGCGCCACCTATGGAAGGCTTCTGACCTAAACTTTTCCGATCTTCACCAAAGTTGCAAAATCAAATCTTTACATCTGTACGAGCAAAATACTACTCTACGTAGAGGGTGCATGTCCCGGAGGTGACCACTAGGGACGCACTTTATCATATAAATGAGCTTTTATATACGTAATCCTGGTCAGATCGGGCTGCCAATTCGTCGGCGTGACGCTTGTGGGACTGGCGCCCAGGAGGCGGTCGCAAGAGGGGCGAGGCCTTTCATCGCCGCTTGCGGCTTTAAGAAAATTGTTATTCGGTGGTTTCATATTATTCTTTTTCCGCCGAAACAATTCGATTTTTGACCCTGAAGACATGCACGAAAGTCTGCACATGGGGGGTCTAAAACGACCGGTTCGGCGAAAAATTTGATAAAACGGACGTTTCGAGATTGTCCGACAAAAGGCGAATCAATAGCGCCCCCTTGAAAATTCAAAATTTGCCATTTCTATTGGAGGCAGGATTGCATATTTTGGAGTAGGTGCACGAAATTCGGATGAGTGATAGATCTCTATGAGACGAGCATAAAAGCCGTTCTAAGCACATGTCTGGGACCAACAGGAAGTCGGCCATGATGGGCCAAAGTTTCGCCACTAATTTGACTTTTCATTTAGAAATTCGAACTAGTCCCTGGTTTTTCATCACACAGAGTTCTACCACGTCATTTCCTAATCTGGACGGATTGAAGTTATATAATCATCAAAAAAAAGTTAGAAAATCTTCACCGTTTTCGTCCCTCGCCATGGCGAATAAGGCCTTCGTTTTGGCCATTTTCGCTGAGCCCTGAGGGCCACAGGCTCAGACCTACAGAGCTGAGACTCACATCAGTAATATAAGGTTATGGCCTGAACGCAATGACACTAAAATCATTCGCCCAATATGAGCTCTTTAGCGCCACCTGTCGGAAAGTAATAGGGCACTAGTGCTCGGATCGGCCCGAAAATCGCTGAGTGTATTCTCTGGACCGAGACGAGCAAAACATTACATTACGCAAAAGTTGTAAGTCCTACACCTGACCACTGGGGGCGCCGGAAAAAGTGAATGAATGAGCTTTTTGGGGCAAAATGTTTGTCCGATGAGGCTAAAAATGAATTCAGTAATACAGCGTATGACCCTGAACACAACGATATACAACACACAACTGTGAGTGCAACAGCGCCACCTACAGGCAGTTCAAGGTGTCGCATTTTTGGCTTCGTACTAGTCCCTGGATTTTCATCGCACAGACTTCTACCATGTCATTTCTCCATCTGGACGGATTGAAGTTATGCAATCATCGCATAAAAGTTAGAATTTTGTTATCGTTTTCATGCGAGGTAGTGGGGAATTTCTCCATGTTTGATGCTCTCCTGACCACAGGCTCAGACCTACAGAGCTGAAACTCACATCACTAACAGTTGGTAATGACCTGAGAGTAATGGTGTGAAAACACACACCTAATATGACTCTACAGCGCCACCTATGGAAGGCTTCTGACCTAAACTTTTCCGATCTTCACCAAAGTTGCAAAATCAAATCTTTACATCCGTACGAGCAAAACACTACCCTACGTAGAGGGTGCATGTCCCGGAGGTGACCACTAGGGACGCACTTTATCATATAAATGAGCTTTTATATACGTAATCCTGGTCAGATCGGGCTGCCAATTCGTCGGCGTGACGCTTGTGGGACCGGCGCCCAGGAGGCGGTCGCAAGAGGGGCGAGGCCTTTCATCGCCGCTTGCGGCTTTAATTCTGTTTATTGTCTTTCTGTTTTTTTTTAATTACCTATAAGTCTCTTGGAAAAAAAGTATGCGGGAAACCACCCAACCTGGCAACCCTGCTGCGTAGTGTTGAAAACAGCAACATTTGACTCTTAAAACACACAAATAACAACATAGAACCATCAACATCTCGCCTCATATTGCATTAAAAGTGACATCCGTGTCTTAATTCGTCCGTATTTAAGCTCTTTTTTAAATTCGTGGACTTTATGTCCGTTATCTTGGATTCCTTTCGCCGCCGCGTGAGACACGCTTGAGAAGGTGGTGCAAACCCAACGTAAAACCGGCGATCCTGATTGGTCGATTATTTCCTGATCTGCTGAAGGAGTTTGGTATGCGCTCGATCCCAGACCCTTGTGCGTGAAGCGAAACGCCTCTGGTGGAGCATGGCGGAACTACAATGGTCTGGCAAGAGCAAGGCTATATATTTTCCGCATTAAGGGAAACACCCAGGTAAATAGAACGGGGCCATTCTGTCCTCTGTTGGTAAAAATAATAAACATCCAAAACAGTTCCAAATGGTTGCTTTAGAATATGAATTTGGAATTGACTTTTTCTGTTCAAGCCATAATCATCCAATTTAAAAGAAACAACATGTGAACATAACAATTTGCAGTCATACACAAAAGCTGGGATACAGAATAATTTGACATAGTTTGATCCTTGATAATGCATGTGGTTTTGGCAATAACAAAAGAGTGCTTCTCCGTGTTATAACAACTTTTATCTGAACCATGTGTGTTTGTGTGGAGGTGGGAGCATGGTCACCCCGAGGTCCAGCTGCTGCGGAGCTCACACATGAAATATGGCTCTCGGTGGGCTGCTGGGACGGGGGTTTGGCACATAGGACAGAGAGGTCTCAGAGGGAGCGGGCTACTCACGCGTCAAGGCCTCGTTAGCAGCAAGTAAACTGCGCCTCTCCCCATCCATCCTGCTGCACTCGGCCTCCAGGGAAGAAACAAGCTCCTGGCTCTCAAACAGTGAGGTCTCCAGCGACTCCTTTTTCAACCTGAAAGAAGAAGAAGGGGGGAAAAAGAGCAAACAAGTATTAGCTCTCAAATGGACTGAGCCACCAGGTGTACAAGACCATAAAACGCAATAATCCAAACATAACTATTTCACTTGAAACACTCACTTGTTTTCTTTGGCCTAATCAGACATATGAGCCTGTAAGTACCGTAATCATGAATAAATCCGAGCTACAAACTTAAAGCTGCATTATGGTAAGACTTGTAACTTGTTTGACATACTTTTCTGCTGTGCATTTAATTCAATTGTTAGATCTTATACATAAAGTGTATTTTAAATGTATGGACATTGATTAACATTTATGGACATTGGTCACCTGCCCCTTGAGGACCAATGGCTCTATGTGTTTTTTTATCTTATCGTTGAATTTATTGTGTTCGAACTGTTTCATTCTCTGATTTGTTTTGGTGAATACATTGAATTGAAGTTTATTCGATTTTGGAAAAATTGTGAATCGAAGCCCATGTCCTGGTGTAAATGTAGGTCAAACCACATAAAAAGAAAAGAAACAAACCGAAGAGTTTCCAGGTCCTCTGTTGAATCAGAAAGCTTTCGATCAGCAGAGCAGAGTTTGGTTTCCAGAGCAGCCCTGTCCCTGGCCAGCCTGTCCCGCTCACTGGACACTCTCTTCAAGGCAGCGCTTTGTGTCCCCAGCTCCCTTCTGCACGCACACAGCTCCTCTGAAACACGCTGCATCTGCTTGTTGACCTGGAGACAAACACAAGCACGAGTACACTTCAACATCCTCCTCTACTGTAAAAGAAAAGATGGAAAAACGACAACATAATCTTCTTTCCGTGTTCCCATAAGCACTAGTGAACACAGAAATATGCCTAATACTAAAACCTGGAGCAAGACTTTGATTTTATCGTTAATCTTAACTGGTTTATAACAACATATACTGTAAGTCCACTAAGTGCTGTGAGAAGTTATTTTAAGACTCAATATAGCAGGAGTTACAAAAAATAGAAATAAGAAATGCATAAAAGTAAAACAAAATTTCATCCATTAAAATGGATAGTAATCACTTAAACATTTCCTTGTTCAAATTATCATAATCTAGATGCTAAAGTAATCGATTGTCAAAATAATCTCAAGTTGCAGCCGGAATGTGAAAAATTGTCTTTACAGTAGTAGTAAGTAGTAGTAAGTAAGTAATCTTTATTTATATACTGCCTTTTCACTGCAGATCTGAGTCTCAAAGCGGTTTACAATTGTTAATTTTTGGGCATTTGTCTCTCACTCCACACAGAGATGGGAGCGGGGTCGCCGAACAGGAGGCGCATGCCAGACCTATTGTACATATTTTTAGTGGTAGGGGAAACCGGTGTACCCGGAGGAAACCTACGCAGACACGGGGAGAACATGCAAACTCCACTCAGAAAGGCCCTGGTCCGACCAGGATTCGAACCCAGGACCTTCTTGCTGAGAGACGAGAGTGCTATCCACTCAGCCACCGTGCCATAAAAAAGCCTTCCATAAAAAAGACTAAACTTTCTAGTTTAGGACAGGCGTGTCCAAACTAAGGCCCACAAGCATGTGGCCCCCTGTGTCATTTTATGCGAACCTCTGTACTCCAACGAGCCATTGAGGAACATCACATCATCCAGCCAATTTCAACTCCACCAATAGTCATGCTGTACCTCATGGTGAAGCTCGGAACCTTTTATCTACAACCTGCAGGAGGATCAGTGAGGGGCTGGTGCTCTGTGAATTGGGTGCAGGTCTCACTGCCACCCCCCGACCCAGAAATGGATTAAGGGGAAGAAAATGGATGGATAATTAAATACTTTACAAAGAAACATACTGGAACTACAGTCCCCTTACAAATGGGATGCCTCGAGCAAAACCTACATTATTTGTTTGGTGTAATTAATCTTTTCAACTTCAGTTTGAAGCCAAGAACGTGTATTTGGAAAGTAAAATAAAACAACGCTGCACATGTGCAATTCATAAGAATGGCACAGAGAACGTTGGAACCTCATTCCAAAAAACTGTGAAACAAATAAAACACTATCGGATATCAACATATTTTCTTTTGAAATAAAACTGCAACACTTTCCGAACACTGCCATTTCCCACTACCTCAGCTGGCTCCTTCCAAAGTGATAGAGCAGCGGCTTTACTCCGAGCTCTTTCTTTTTGACCCAGTGGGGGCGGGTCCCAGCTAAAAAGTGGCCAAAATGACGTGCGCTGACATGTTTGCAATACCACCCCGGGTCGATGGGGGTGGACCCGGGATAAGAATTAGCCAATGCTAACATACAGTATAGAATTAGCTGACCTCTCGAAAACGTCTTTACAGGATGGTCCGAAAGTCGGCTCTTGGCCCAAATCTACATTCCACATGTGTGTCAATGCTGGGGGGAGTGAATTTTGTTGGACCAGTCTAGTTTAGTCGCTGTGAGATTTTGAGGGCACTCGTTATGAATGGGGCTTGTGCTGGCTGACGCATGCGCAGATGCGTTTTTTCACATTTTCCAGTCCCCGCAGCCATTTTGAAACTGCCCATAGACCGCGTAAGTTGTGGCACATTAGTTAGAATGGCGGAGATAGGCGTTTGTTAATATTTACAGTCTATGGTTTGACCCCACCTCACCTCATCTCTTAGGGAGAACCAATCCACCCTGAAGAGGAAACCTAATGCAGCTGCAAACTCCTTTAGGTCATAACCCAAATCTCATGAACAAAGGTGAGAGAAGAAACCAACACTGCATCACACACGGATGCCCGAGATACTTGAACCAAAATGTATTTACTTTAATAAATGCTGACTGCACAGTGAGTATTAATAGTGTAGAATATAAATTTATTATATCTGAGTAGTCTCCAATAAAATCAGCGCGGTGCCACCCCAGGGCAAGCTTCTGGAAATGTGGACTTAGTGTATTTTTGCAGATATCTTATCTAAAAACGATTAGATAGAATCTCACATTGTTTAGAATTGAGCTGGGAGAAATGTGGGTATCTCAGTTTCAGATTGAGAACAGATCAAAAAACATTGGATTCTTCTCATTCTTTGAAATCCAGGGTAGGTAAATCAGAAGTTACTAAGGAAATACTTTAAGTGCTCAGTTTGTTTTGTTACTGTTACTGGCCTCAGTATATTATGAGTCTATTTATCATCTCCAGTTCACTTTTCATGAAATCCCTTGTTTGTTAGTTCCCAAGTTGCCAATAAAGCACTTTGTGACTTTGTAAGGATACAAATGATATGAATATCCCCCTGGAAGGACAAAAGACAATGCAGATGTGTCCTGTGTGTGCAATTTGTTTAAAGCTGACAACATGCACTGCAAATGTGTTGAAAGTAATTAATAACATTGGGTTAGCTGTCCCAGGTGTGAGTGCGGACCTGTGAGAGCTGCTCTGTGGCCTGCGTGTTCTCTGTGTGCAGCAGCCTGCGCTCAGCCTCCAGCTCCTGCAGCAGTCGCTGCATGTGGCTGAGGGACTGTTCCTGAGCCTGTTTCTCTGCCAGCAGATCCATCACGTCCTGCTGCAGCCGGACTGCCTCCTCTCTGGTTGCAGAACGCTCCATCTCAGATTCACGCCTGCGCTCACTGAGCTCAGCCTTTTCACGCTCTTTCTGTACAACAATAAACAAACACATTGGGTATTTTGTGAATAAAATCATGTCTGCTTTAGGGACTTTCAGTGATCAGTGACCTGCAGCAGAACCCGGTTGAGTTCCACCTTGTCTTTAGCTAAGCCTTCACTCAGAGTTGCCATCTTGGACAGTGAGTCTTTAAGTGCAGCATCCTGACTCTGCATTTTGGCAAGTGAGAGCTCCTGAGCGGTGCACTGGGACTCCATCTGAAATATTTGGATTTATGGAGACATTATTACAAGGTGAAATTGATGAATAGACAAAGCCAAAGAAGTATTATTTTACCTTACTGAGAGCAAGAGAGAGACTAGTCTTGTCATCTTCTAACAGCTCTTTTTGTAGAGTCATTTGACTCAAGGCTTCTTTAACCATCACCAGCTCCTTACGCATGTCAGAATGTTTTGATTCAAGCTCCTCAAGACTTCTCTCACTGAAAATAAAGTCTTTATCAAAGAAATGCTTGCCATGTTGGTTCAGTTTCATGTCCCACTAATCATTTTTTCAAGTGAAAATTGATATGATGGCGTTTCTCCTGAATGAGTGCTGTAATTTAATGTAAATAATTTACGCTTGAATCAGACTGGTTGTGTGACATGTGTTTCTGATTAGTCCTATAAACAAATAGAGTTTGAGGACAATAGCTGGTGACAGTGATGACTGCTATTGTACCTCCTCTGGGCCTCTGTGCACTGTCGTGTGAGCTGGAGCTGGAGGTCTTCTCTGTGTTGTCTCTGGACGTCCTTCTGTCTCTGCAGCTCATGTGACGAACCCCTCAGCCTGTCCACTTCCTGCTGCAGTCCTGACACTAGATCCTCCAGCTTGCTCTTTTCACTGTATGGAATAATGGACAAAATTAATAAGCAGTTATGGAAGCAGGTAAATCTTATATTTACAAATTACACACCAGGAAATGAGGTCTAGTGAGGTCTGGTATTGTTTGCATTCCCTCAGACTTTCCTCCAGAGCCATTTGGGCCTCTTCACTTTCCTTCTGAGCCTCCTGGATCTTCTTCTCTAACTCTTTCTTCTCCAAATCATTTTCCTCAAGTCTGACGCGAAGTGTGCTAACCTGCTCTAAAGTGTCATCTAGACACCCATGCAGGTCCTTTAAAAGTAACATTTAGGGAATATTGAATTTTGACTTTGATGGCATTTCACCACTTGCATATAGCACATAAATGTTTACCTGTATCTGCTCCTGTTGTGTAGAAACCGTGTTCTGTACAGCTATCAGTGTAGGGTTCCTCAAAGGAGAACCATGTGTAAGGACGCTGGATGGACTGTCAAGGCTGCCATTATCATTTTCTCTCAATACTATCTGTAGAATTGACACAATATACATGTTTTACTTTTTATGTGAGTATCATAAGGTAACTTTCCTTTTTACAGATTATGTCTGACCTGGTGTATGTGGCGTATGACCTTTTGCAGAGCTTGGTTTTCTGTTTGCAGTGCCTCCATTTCTGCTTTGTCCTCTGCTCTTCTCGTCTCCTGAACAGGAAACCAATAAGGTCAGATAAGCACACATACAACTCTCCTAACATTGTCCAGCTGGCAGCTCTCAAGACAAGGATGTTATGGACTATATCAAACTCAAGCCCAAAGTCCAGACCAGTTCCAAATCTAAGACTCTTTTACCACTGGTCTATGTGGCACCTCCCTGATTACCATCCTGTCCAGGCTGGTCTGCATGGTGTCCAGGCTCGTGTCCTTCACACTGCTTTGAGTTTGCAGATGTTTGATTCTGTCGTTTAGCTCCAGCATCCTGAAATATTCAAGGTCATTAACAAAACAAGAAAGAGTTTACACAAATGTGACTTCATGTTTAATATGTTTTCTTTTCTTTTATTCTTTATTTACAAAGTGTATTTCATAGACCAAGGACACCCAAAGCACTTTACAATGTTTGTATAGTATTTCACTAAATTTAAGACATTTATTAGTATTCTTTTATATATGAGTGAATGCAATAATCTGTAAAAATTATTATTTTGAATTAAACCAAACTAAAGACATATGTATTGGTTCCTAGTCATTTCACTACATGTTATTGACTGTTTTGTTACCATTGTATGTGACAAATAAAGTGTCTATCAATTTGATACATATATTTTCATTTGTGCCAAAATTATCTAAAACATAAATAAATCCATAAACCATAAGAAAGCTAAATGTAGACTTTAGATATTTTTTGGAGTTTGAATGAATGAAGTAGCAACACCATGCACTCCTTTTCTTTGACAGCCTTATGCAATGGAAACTACCAGAACAGAGAAAGAGAGAACAAAAACGCTCTGATGTGACTATTATGATCATAGAAGATAAAGGTTGGAAGATTGGATTCTTTTAACAAAACCACATCAGTAGCAGGTACATGGAAAGAGTGACAGTACTGCAGTGATCAAAGCCTCTTCACTACTTCTGAGTAGAATGTGCAGTTTATTTTTGATTCTCTCTGATCTTGGAATTGTATGCGTTAATTTTTGAAAGTGATGTGATGTTTTAAGGGCAGCCTTCATGTGACACTTTTGTATTTCAATTACATTTTTACAACTACTGCATTTAACAAAAATGGATGGGATAAAGAAAACAGCTACAGTACATTTTACATGATTAGAGGAAGACATTATTTATAGCGTTGGCACAAACAAATACCTGGAAGACAGCTCCACTTTCTCTGCGTCCCATCTGCCCTGTAGCTGCATGGCATCTTTGAGTTTCCTCCTTAGTTGCAACTCTGGTTCTGACTCTTCACCACAAGGGGTGCTCTCCTTTACAAAGCTGGCCTCGAGATTCAGGCAGACTCCATGCAGCTCTCGGCTCACACCAACACACTCGCCACGCATCTCTGACAGGGTCCTTATCAAAACAATGACAATACATTCAGGATATACATGTACATACATCAAGGGGAAAAGGGTAATCTTCAGGGTCATTAGTCTGTTGAACACCCGTGTGTTTGTGTTAGAAATTGGATGGATTTATGGACTTGAACTCTTTCATGTCTGGTCTCTCTCATCAGGGTTCGGAGATGGCATGAACAATCTAAGTTCAAGCAAATTACTCTTCAGCAGGGCTTTCAGTGGCTTAACATGACCAGCGCCAACTCTTACAAATGCTCAAGGTCTGTACTGACAGAGGATTTCATCACCTCCTGTCCCACCAGTGAGGAAACAATGCTCTCAATGACCTGTTCCTTTTTGATCCCTGGTGCGGAGATGGATTGTGGTTATACGTGTGAGAGCGAGATACAAGAGGGAGAGGAGGGGTTTCTTGAGCAATCGCGGGCTGCCAGAGGGGGTTCTGGCACAGCGCTGCACTCACCTGTCAGTGAAAGTCCTTAGCTGTGTGAAAGTGCTTCGCAGGGAGGCAGCCTGGCGCCACAGAGCCCTGACACGAGCCTGCTCACGGCTGAGATGGGAGGCGCTGGACTGCACACAAGAGCACAATGCGATGGGACTGGGTGGTAGGGGGCTGCTTACAACACTTCACTGGAGTTCGTTTTACTGTGATACCAAACAGATGCAATACTGGAACTGCTGTGCACGGGCCTCTCGCAAATAATTGGATTTCCCTGAATCAACAGATGTGGCCGTTTTACAACACGAACGAAAGATTGTTTAGACAAATTTTTTTCTTCCCTTCAGCAGTTGGAATGTTTTCACAGGAAACAACAACTCAGAAATCATAGCAATAAAGGGAACAGGGAATGAGAATGAATTGATGAAACTGGCTATGAATGGAATTCCGACCTTTTGTGAACTCAACAAATGTTTATTGTATAATTTCAGTGTTAAATTAAATACCTTTCCATGTATCCTCACATGATCATGATGATGATAGACACTTTATGCCTTCTTCTTATAATGCTGAAGTTAGAGATTTTGTACTTAATTCTTGCTTCTTCATGATGTTAAAGTTAAAGATTTTAATTTATTTTATTTTAGTAAAGAGTCATTGGTCATTTATCTTGTGTTGTGTGCTCCTCATTCCTACTGTTCTGTAACCAGTGAAGCAACACATTTTTTCCCCTAGAAAAAAAGTCTCTTAATCTTAATCTGTACATGTTTTTTTTTGTTTTTTACCTCTTTCTCTTTCCTCATCTGCATCTCACAAAGCATTAGATCGGCTCGGGCCTTCCGTAGACTCTCACTGAGGTCCTGGTTCACGGTGCCAGCTTGTTCCAGTTGGTCCCTCAGCACAGAGTTGACTTGGCTAAGGCTGGCACACCTGGAAATAACAAGCCTTTTGAGTCCCCAGAATCATTTGGCATTTTTGGCCTGAGAGACAAATGTCACAAAAAACAGCGCCCGCCCAAACTTGACTTGGCACCTCTTCTCTCTCTGATGTAGATCCACCCTCACCAGCCACACAGCGAGAACATGTGCGACAGTTTTATAAATCCTGTCACAACTTGGCTTTAATTCCATCCAGATTTGCTTGTACTGTACAGCAATTTACCAAAATGTTTATATCATTCTCATGCTAAACGCACACCCTGTTACTGTAAGCGTGTTTGACATGAGGCCAAACCTATGTAAGCGGTTATGGAATGAATTTAAAAGTAATAAGTAAAATCTTGAAAACATAATCTTTACATTACGTGCAATAAGTGGTTACAACTCAATATCACCGAGTTCATGAAATGTTTTTTCTCAGCATTAAACATTAAAGCTGGAGCACAAAGTAATTTAACTATGGAATAATAAACTCTACGTAACTAGTTCCTGGCGCTCAAGATCGGTTGGTTCTATCACAAATGTTTGCATGGCCTCTGTCATATCTTTGGAGCCCCAGCCCTAACTCAGACTTCAGTGGGTAAAATATTTTTTTCACAAGCTCAAGAGAGCATGGTGTGGTTTGATTTAAAAAACATGCCTCTTTCTGTTTAGACAAACAAAAAGGAGACTTTGAAACATACACAAGTTGCTTACATAAATATATTCATGCAACTGCATTCATGGACAATAATTACGATGAATGGACATTGGTCATCTACATACGCCTCCTATGTGTTTGTTGTTATTGCATTTCCAGTGTTGCTTGATTCTCTAATATGTGTTGGCAAATTTACAAAACTTTGTAAAGTTCTCTGAGATAACTGCTCCAATGATTTAGGGCAATACACAAAAGCAGATTGATAGATTGATACAAACGGACTGGAATGGAATTACTTCCTGCAGTGAACAGGGTAATGTAAGTACCCAGTTGAGCAAGAAGAAATGACACCAGAATCTTTATGGATAAGCACAAAGTCAGTTCTTCCACTCACTTGTTGTGCTCCTCATCGAGCTGATTGGCCTTCCTCTGGATCAGGAGGCTAAGCTCGTCCTCTGTGCGCTGCTGTCGCTGGGCTGAGTCCAAGCGGCTCTGCAGCTGAACACACACAGCAGCATTACAGGCATCCCCATAAAACTTTACCCTGGTAGCAGCCCTAACTGAAGTAAAAGCGTAATATTTACAAACCCTTATAACTGTGAAAATCAGCTCATTCAAACTTTGTGGGCAAAGTTCAGCCCAAAATAATATTTGGATGAATCAATAAAAGCACAAATTTGATCCAATACAGACATTACATTTCTCTCTGTGTTTGCTTTAAATTCGTGTAAGCAGAAATATAGTAGTTTAATACTTTGGAAGTCAAAGTTTACACAAAAGGAGGTGACTGGACATGTACAGTATGAACTGTGTTCATGGTTTCCATTCAAATTGCCTCATTAGAATATATTGTACAATGTTTTCTTTATACTCACAACATGCATCTGTCCATAAGCCAACAGTCAGGTCACAAATGTACAGATGTTCAACATGTGGCTGCTCCTCAGTGTCTTAAATTTACAAGATGGATGAAAGACTGTGACAAATGCAACCGCAAGAGCGTGTGACCGAGTTAACATGAGGATAGAAGAGTTTTTATGTAAAGCCTATGGAATATGTTGCTCCTGGACTTTCCCTTCATTAACCATCTTTCCTCTTCCATGAACAATCTGACAGAACACCCTGTTTATACTGTAGGGCTGCACGGGGTTACATTAATCAACTGTATCTTTTAAATCTTCCTTCAACCACAAGCTTATTTTTGACCACACTGACATTTTGTCTCTGCGAGCCAATAAATAGTTACATTTCATTGAGAAAGATACAACAATACCATGAATGACGGATTTTCAGGATCTATTCCCTTTTTGTGATGTTCATGAAGGATGTTGTTTTGAAGCAACCAAGAAGGGTTTTGGGGTCATGCCCGTGTGTTATAATCCTTACCAACAATCTAATTTTTTCCGATTCTGAAGTCTTTTCCAGGACTTGCACTTCAAGATCCCCACATCTTTTTTTGTACTGAAGAACCTGGTATCAAAATGTCTATAATTATAATTATCCAAAACACAAATATTCTTGATTTGGTTTAGAGTTACCTTGGCCTGAAGTTTCTGAACGAGATGTGCCTGCCTTTGCTGAGCTTCCTGGTACAGCTGCAATTTTTGCCAGTAAGTCCTCTCTGGACTTTGCAGATGTAGAGTTCCTGATGAGCTGTTTTGGTCGGAGTCCACTGATGAATGCAGCCGAAGCATCTGGTCAAGCTGGTGCAACAAACAAAACAAGAGAGCTCTGGGAATTACACTTAAAGCTGGAGAATCTTATTTTGTTTTTCTTTCATAAATAGGTTTTGTTTGTCCCAAAAGGAAGCGTTTTGTTAGAGACGCAATTTGTGGGCTGATTGGCTGATTGAGGGTTGGTACCCTCTTTTCTGTTTCATGGAAAAAGATTTTCTAAAGATGTGACAAAGGCCAAACATACATGCATGTGAAAACTAGTGATATATAAAAATGTTTTGGGTTTTATTACCAATAATTACTTTTTCCTAATATTTTGATTAGGTCTCTAATCAGAAATCCAAATGTCCTGTAACATCTCAACTTCACACAACCTCCACTCCCTGTGCACAACACTCTCTCTCTCTCTCTCCTTCTCTCTGTGCCGTTGCCAGACTCTGTGTCCTCTCTAATACAAACCACATGGCCCTGTGCAGCACTACAACACACTGCGTGCCTCCAGCTGCCCTTGCTGACTTCTCATTTTAAAAAGAGGAAGAGAGTGTGAGTGCAGCAGCCCCTTTCCCTAAAGCGCACTGCAAACCACCATCCAAGCCCTTCAAATCAACCCAGCGATCCGGCCCCTCCTTCCCCGCGTACCTCATCTCCTTACTGGGTGCTTAATCTCTGCAGCAGGCTCCAAGACAATAGTCCCACTGTTCAGAGCAGGACCGGGCCACTTTGCCACCATTATTTACACGTTTTCAAATGGCCTTTTCAGAGTTTTATACCACCATCATCAGTGAGCATCAAAGGTCTGGTCCAAACCTGGTGGTATGTGCTTCTGTGCCGCAGAGATGTTGTTGAGGTGACAGATTTTTTTGGGGACCGAGCGGGAGGAGTGTAGAGCCTTGGCAGATGTGTTTAAAGCGCTCCTGGAAACATCTGAGTGTACTACATTAGTTACTATGCATTAGGTCTTTTGGAAAAAAACGACATCAAAAATAATGACTCACTTACCAACATGTATTGCATAAATATGTTCAAAACAAATAAGTGGCTCGCATTATAATTCCATTACATGTTTCAAGCTACACAATAATATATTTTTGTACATTTGGACCATAAAGAGACACCTCCACAAGGTTTGGACCACCCAGTTTTATGACATATGTAATGGAAGTGTTTCTGACTGAGGACCACAGTATAATGCTGTATACTGTACAGTACACTACAGTATAACCTCAAACTAATTCCATATCTAAGTTGGAAACCATGTTTTAAACACGCTCTGAATCCTCTTCACCAAGGCCAAGAGCACAGTTTTACAAATATTTATAGAATCTATTCAGAAATCCACATATTTGACAATAAAAAGAAACAATGTATATAGAGTGTATCTTTCTGGAATCTGGGAGCATTTTCTGTAATATATTTTAAGCAAACCTGTGTGGTCTAAAGGTATAAGAGGGGGCTCATCCTCCTCATCGCACACTAACCTGGATCGCGTATCCAAAGCCTGGCCTGCTCCACTCACTCCATTCTAATAGAATTACATCTATTAGAGAATATAACTTAAAGCTGGAACAACAAGCATGGAACAAAATCCCTTTGAACATGTTCATAGCTTCTAAAATAGATAGATTCTATCACAAATTTTCACATGCATTTATGTTTTGACCTCACATTTTAGATCAGCTTTTACAGGCAGAAAAGTTAAAAAGAGAGAACAACCCTTTTCTTAGAAATTTCCTAATAATCAGTATTTTTGATTATTCGTTTATTTGAGAGGCAGGTTAGCTAAAAGCTCTTAAGTGCTTCAGGATCAAAAGTGTATATTTGATTATTAAACTTATAGCACTAGTCTAATGAAATGCCATGGTGATCTTCACCAAGCTTTCATTGGTGACAGCTCAAAGCCAAACCCAGCGTAATTCCAAACCAGTCTCTGGCCTGACTCTGGGGCTTACAAGGGTTTATGAGCTCAGTATAGACCCCTCTGTTTATCATGGGCCTCAGTGCAATCACTCACCCCCAAATGAGACTTTGTCCAATCTTAATGTGATTGAGGTCATCCACTTTATTTTGCAATAATGTTCAAAATGACTTTAGCAAAGTGAAAAAATCTTTTATTCTCCATATGGCATCTAGCAACTTGCTTTTTTGTATTCCCATGTATCCGTTCGTTGAGCTCAGCTTGTGTTTCCAAAGTGAAACACTAACTCAACCCTTTCGTAAATGTGCTTCAAATTAGCTTTTTATATTTCTTGATATTTATGATTTGTGCCACTCCTCGTATTGTCAATGAAGGGATAATCTCTGCTTTGATTTAACTGCCAACAAGCAACAAGAGAAAAGTTTTCAAGGCTCAAGTGCAGTACTTTGGAGTCTGGGCCAGCGCTTGTTGCCTCGCTCATGTGGTCAATCAAAGTACCATAGTATAAATTGTTAGCAAGTTTTGTTTGCTAATATCATCCCCAAACCGGTGGGCCTTTTGATATATGTAACTATAAAATAACAATTGTTTTTGTTTTTAAGTTCCTTCTGTTGTTCACATGTGACATCTGGTCATGAGTGCACGGTCCAGCCAGCACGTGAAGGGTTACAGCTGCAAACATTTTCCCTGGCTTTGGCCTAGACCCAGAGGCTTAATAAAGGGAATTAATGGAGTGCACTATCTGTCAAATTCCTAAACACAGCTGGAGCGGATGTCCATCGCCCCCAAGCCGCTCCAAAACTTACTATCCCGATTCCTGATTCCACAACACTCTCCTTGCGCCACCCCCCGAACCCTGCTGACTCTGTGAAAATGCACCAGCTGATTGTGAAAGCTGTTTTTGTATCATCTCAGCTCTAATTACACAATGCAGGAGGAGGAATGGGGACAGAGTTGAGGTGGATCGACATTGAACTTTCTGGTAACAGGGTCAGCTGCTTTGAGGCAGAATACTGAGTTATTTAATACTAAAGGTATATAGTAGGATGTTATTTTTCTGGGCGAGTCATCAAGACCGCCCAATCATCCTGGTGACATGTGACGTAAGGCCGTCGTACGTGCTCGTCAATCAAAGCCAGAGTGTTTTTGAGATATCTTCCCCTAAAATTCTGGAAAATCCTCCTATATGCCTATATTTCATAGAAGATGCCATAATGCCAATGTATGAAATAGCATTATGTTTCTGGATATTTTACAAATGAAAGCAGCCTCAAGTCTTTTGTACAGATTGCTGGAGTGTTACTGTGGCAACTTAACTTGGCTAGATATTTATACATTTGAAAAAACAAAATATACCCAATACCAAATAATTTACCATCATTCCATCTTTTATCTCAAGATTCAAATGTCGTATTTTCTTAGTCCAGAAATATTACTTTTTTTCAAATACTCAACCACCCATCAGCCGTGCAGCCTCAACTTGATGTAAAACTTCACTTTGAATTACACACTGGTGCCATCTGAAAAAGTGCTGTGCTTAATGTGCACCTTTAAAGTCACGTAACATGAGCAGCCCAGTGTCAGATGTCAAAAGGTTTAATGCCAAACTTTCATCAAAAATCGGAGACCATATATTCCATAGGGAAGGCAATTAATTTTTACAATTTCGTGATAGTTGAGGGAGTCAGACTTTCTGGCGGTGCTCCAATTAAAGAGCAGTATACGGCATGAATGACTCGATGCCAGGAAGGAAAAAAAGACTAAAAACAGTGTTGTACCAAGGGACAGAAATACAATCCTTTCAAACAAACTGAGACCATAGGGACTTAAGATTACAGAGGCCACTGGCAAATGCAGCTGGTGTCAAAAATCATTCAACACAAGTTTATCTTTACGGAGTGGCCTGCCACACTGCTGTATTGTGAAGTCATTTGTGTAGGCAGTGGACTATGGGTCTCTGTGTCTGAGAAAGCACACACTGGCAAAGCTCCAAGGGAAACACAGAAGGCTCAGCATTCACTCTAACATGCTGTCCAAGTCGTGAGGCCATCCCAAACAAAAACCAGGTCAGGGTTTATCCTGGTTCAGGTATAATTTACTGGGGTCAGCGCCAGAGAGCACCCTGAGTGACGGAGCAGGCCATAGACTTCAGCACTAACAGGGTCTGTCAAGACAGGGCAGCTGAAGTTGTGTCAGAGAAATTAGGGGATTTGGGATAACCATTGAGCTGTCACACTTTCTGTGGCTGGGCTGACATTATAAGCCTCCTATGGATTTAGAGAAACACTAATTTAAGAATTAAATGACATGTAATACCCACACACAACACTCCATGTAGGAGAAACTTTCCTTTTGACAGTTGTAGCTGTACAGGCTTCATTCAGCTGGTTGGGCTTTGTACAATGTAATGATGCTGTAAGTATAAAGTCATGTCAAAATGTCCCAAATAAAGCAAACTAAACATAAGGCTTGAACTAAAGCTGCATTACCTCACTTTATTTTTGTATTAATTTGGAAAATTCAATCCTTATCCATGCAGCGTATTGGGATATACATCCTTTTGAAGAATAAGTAGCGCAGGTTTGTGCTGGCATGTCATTTTACTTTAGATCGAGTTTTCATGCAACAAGGAAGAGAATTTGTTTTTCAGATTGTGACAAATCACAGCGGACCACTGACCCCCACTTTCTTGAGGCAGAGGCTAACCTGAAACTTCCTGTGTCTTTGTTACCGGTTACTGCTTACACAGCGAAACAGCCATTCAAAAGGAAATCTCGTCCTCTCCGCGCTTCCCGGTTCTATCATTTTATGGTCGCGCCATCCACGTTCAAATGTGTGATCCATATTGTGAGACGTGAGCTCCATAAACAATTAGCACATGAGCACAGGCTGAGGGGGAGGGGGATGGTGGGGGGTAATAGCTTTGTGAGTGTGAAATACCGATTCAAAATATCTGTTTGCAGATTTTGTACCTGAAATAGAACGTTCCCAATACCAAAGTGGCCCAAAGTAACTCATCAAAGCACCTCCATCATTCTTTCGCCACTCAAGTAAACCCCTGGACCAATATTTTTCTGTATGGTGGCTTTCACAAATCTAAAAATATCAACAAAATAAATATGCTATATTTAACTCCAAAGCTAATTGAGTAATATTTTAGGGGTGGTGCTAAATTAAGTTTGAGGGAAAAGCTAAGCAGAGGGAATCACTGGACTTCAGGGGCAGAATGAAAGCAGTGTTATCACAAATGGCAGCTTTGTGCGCCCAGAAAAAGGAGCTTATTCTTCGACAGTCTCCAGGGAGGAGGCCAGTGACCTTCACTATTTCCCTGCTACATGGAGGATCAGCCATAGGGGGCATGGGCCTGAAGGAAACCCTTCAGAAATCCAGCCTCTTATAACAACATACTCACATACTGAAAATAGGGCAGTAACTAACAATTATAATTATATTCAGTCAGTCTACGGTTTATTATGAATCAATTTGTTGTTTAGAATTTAGATTTACAAAACCAAATTTACAAAACCAAATTCTGATAAAACTTTGTTTTTGCAGATAAGAGTTTTATCAAAAAGCTCAAAACAAATATTATGATTGCTAATCAATATGTTACAATTGAGCAACGTATTGTGCTGTTACAGCCCCCTTTAAAATTACATCATGACCCTGGCCTAAACTCGCTGTATAAAACATACCCCGGGTTGACCAAAGAATGATGTTTACACAATGATTACAGCTGTTTGTGCCAGTTTAACATGAGGGAAGATGGCTTCTGCTGAAACTATAAGCTTCAGATTATCAAATAGTGTGCTATTGGCATTGTGTGACATTTTTAGATCATTTTCTTTTGAAAAAAGTAGTACAGTATATAAGAATGTTCCACTTTAAACTAAGACCAGTTCTATTAACATGTTACAAATATAAATATATTATATGCTAATAAATATATAAAGATAAATAATCCACTTTTTCTTTTTCACAGAGATAATACTTAAAAGTCAAACAACAATGGAGCTATGTCAAAGTGAGTTTGCCTGTAGAGTATGACATTCTATATATATATATATATACCTTGTCTGTGAGGCTCATCTTGACTAATGTCTGGTCACAGTCTGCAGGGCTCAGACAAAACTCCTCCCTCAGGACCCTGCAATCCTCCAACTCACTGACCTCACAGCCGCCACCTGAGATTTGAAAATAGATCATGCATACGGAAGTGACACCGCTACCAGGTTACACAGAGGTGCAGCAGATATGGGACAATACCAGAGGTGAAGGGGGCGCTCTGCGGGCTGGGCTCCTCTGACAGGCGCTGGGTGATGATCTGACGAATGCGGCTGGACACTGGGATTGGGGACATGCTGGTGTCAAGCTCATCTCCACGCAGAGTTAGAGCACCCTCTCCAGAACTGTCTTCAGAGAGAAGTGACTCCTCCAGCTTCTAATGTTATAAATGATAAGGTCAGTGCCTCCTGTTGAACGGTAATGATAATTGTTACGGCCGTGAGCCTACATATTGCTCCCTGTTTTTGTATTTTGTGTGTGTGTGTGGAAACCTCATGTCTGAAGATCCCTGGCCTGTCATTGGTCATTCACTGGCCCTCCCGCCTCCCGGAGGTTGTGACTCGGGTGCTGATTGGAGGAGCGGCAGGTCCATCTCCCCCACCTGGAGTCAGTCTCCACTTAAGGCCACACTCCACACCTGTTCGAGGCTGCCAGCCTGTGTGTGGCTGGTATGCCAAACTGTCCTTACGAAAGTGTCTGTCTTTGTCACAGTGGTGACAATGACGTATAGACAGTCCTTATGGTCCTTTTAGCTTTTATTTGGTTTGTCTCTTTTTATTTGTCACGTTGGAGTTTTGTTTTTGTGACACTTCGCTTCTGTTGAGGCAACAGTCAGTTTAGTGTTTTGTTTTAGGTGGGTTAGTGTTTAGTGTTTAGTGTAGCTTTTATTTTGGTAACGTTGAGTTACCCCCATGGATGTATTATGGTTCTACGTCATGGTGCTACGTCCCTTAGGACTTCGCTAGTGGGATATCACTCGTGACCCCCAGGTCACGCGCCAGAGAGATCAAAATAATTTGCTCCAATCACCAGCCACCTTCCTCTATAAATGGCCCTGCACAAGGCCGTACCCCCTCTTTCACTCTGGCGCCGATTGAGATCTACATTTCAATTTACCTGAGGAAAGATGTCTTCTGATGCTCGTCCGAGTTCCCCTTCGCCATCCGGCGTCGGACGTCGTCGTTGCTCGACTTGTCGGGTCAAGCTCCAGCGCAAGGACCAGCACTCCAGCTGCTTCGTGTGCCTGGGTTCGGGCCATGCGGCGTTGAGCGCCACCTGCGCCTCGTGTCTCGCTCTCCCCAGGGAGGAGAGTGAACGCAGGCGCGCGTTCTTCGCCGCTACAGCGCCCCGTCCGGACTCCTCTCAGGACGAGGAGTCTGTGATTGACTGGGCCCCCCTCGACCTTCCACCCGTGCCCGCGGAGTGGGGTGACTGCGAGGACGGAGAGGTGTCGGAGGTCGGCTCTCTCCTCACGCTGGACGAGGTGGTGTCCAACCCGGAGCCGGACCGCTTCCCGCTGGACCACATGCCTGGGCTCTACTCCACGGCGGCGGCCATCATGGATGCCCCCCTGCCACCGCAACCGAACCAGAGGGTGGAGGACTTCACCTCTGGTTACGCCACCACTTGAGGGAGGAGGAGAGCGCAGCCCACGTTGTGCCCGCGTATGGACCCGATCGTCCATTACGCGACACGTGAGTGGCCAAAGCCCCTAGCGGCCAAGAGGCCCGCTTTGGGGTACGGCATGTATTGTAACGTGCAGGACTGGTCCTGGACCGGCGGGGTCCCGGACATCGAGGACTCAGTTCGAGCGGCCCTGCACCCCTCCGCATCCGTGTGGCCTGGCACCAGACCTCTCCTTCCCTCAGAGCGGGATAGGATGTCTTTGGCGATGCACGATAGATGTTACGCCAATGCGGCTCAGGTTGTCGCGGTGGCTAACAACATGGCCTTCATCACCGGGGCCCTGGAAAGGTCTCTCTCTTCTGGCCAGGCGCTCAGTGGAGACACCTTATCCCAGGCGAGGACCACTTCAGCAGCGGTCCTGCGCATGTGCCAGGCGCTAGCTGTCGATGGCGGCCGCACGATGGCAGCAGCACAAGTTGGGGCCAGACACCTCTGGCTGGGGCCGGTGAACCGCAGAGAGGCGGAGAAGAGGCAGCTGCTGGACCTGCCCATCTCCCAAACGTCACTCTTCGGTCCGGAGATGCAGACGCTGATAACTAGGCTGGACACCGCAGCTAAGGACTCTGCTAGCCTGGCCCAGCATCTAGCTGCGAGACGCGAGGCCCGCCCACCAGCGCGGAGCCGAGACAGAGGCAGGGAGCGCTCGCCCGGCAGGCGCCCCGGACCATATCCACGCTCCGTGGTTCATCGTTTCCCAGCGACGAGGCCCCTGGGCCCAGACAGGCACACGGGAGGCTCGCGGGACCAACGCACCCACCGACGACCTCCCTATGGCAGAGGAGGTCGGGGTGGGAAGAATGCTTTCAATAAAAGCCGTCCGGCATTTCATCAGTACTCGCTGTCTGAGTCTCATTTGGGGGTATGTAACATGTCTGATTTGAATTCTGATTGTGTTACTTCTCGAGCATATAACGTGGCTCCGCTAGGCCTGCAGCCCCCAGAGAAGGGCGTGCAGCGTGCTATGCGGGCCACGGGCTCCGATTCACGGGTTCATGTTTTGACCTCCCGGAGAATGGGCAGGCGGAGGGATCTGGTAAGTGATAATGTGTGTGCTCCAGCCGAACGCGTGTTAGCATCTCTGAGCTACAAGGCTAACACGGGGTTTCCCACTCCAGGGGCTCGTCCCCCCCTCCATGAGGCAAGAGCCAAGGGGGAGCACAGCAGCCGTGTCACGTGTGGTGAGCAGAGCTACAAGGCTAACACGGGGTTTCCCACTCCAGGGGCTCGCCCCCCCCTCCATGAGGCAAAAGCCAGGGGGGGGGCACAGCAGCCGAGTCACGTGTGGTGAGCAGTCCCGTACTTATGACCTGCGGGCCTGCAGAACACGTGACCGCCCTCGGCGCTCACGGTGTGACGCAGGGGCCCTCCCGGCCCTTTCAGCCACCCCCCCTCCCTGCTAGGAACACCAGGAGAGGGCGGGGCCGTGACGTCTCGTGTTCCAACTCCCGTTCCGCCCCTCACAGATTTCTACAGCATCTGGAGAGAGCAGGGCCTACTGACAGATATTTGGCTGGAGAAAACTCTGCGCAGAGGTTACGCGCTGCAATTTTTACGAAAGCCACCACCATTCCGAGGCGTACGGGCAGTACGCTCTCAAGTACGGGGATCGACAGAGGCACTACAAGCGGAGGTCTCCTCTCTGCTGAGTCGAGGCGCAGCAGTGGAGGTAGACCCGCAGGACGCCACCAGGGGGCTGCACTCCCCTTACTTCTTAGTGCAAAAGAAATCAGGTGGGGTGCGTCCCATTCTGGATCTGCGCGTGTTAAACGAGTGCATTTCCAAACGGCAGTTTCGGATGCTGTCCACAAGGCAGCTCCTCGAGTGTGTCAGGGAAGGAGACTGGATGACTACCATAGACCTGACAGATGCGTACTTCCACGTGCCCATAGTGCCAGAACACAGGAGGTTTCTGCGCTTCGCAGTGGGAGAGAGGAATTACGAGTACTGCCGTCTACCCTTCGGGTACGCACTCGCGCCTCGGACTTTTTCCAAATGTGTGGAAGCAGCTCTGGAGCCGATCAGACGTGCGGGGATAAGAATATTATAGACGATTGGTTAATACTGGCCCCATCCAGGGAAGTGGCCCTGAGCCACACGCACTGGGTCCTGTCCCACATACAGCGTCTGGGCTTTGTGGTGAACAGGGAGAAGAGCAAGCTGCAGCCAGCCCAACGCATGGTTTATCTCGGTCTGCAGCTAGACTCTGTGATATTCCGTGCTGCATTGTCCGTGGACAGACGGATGAATATTACCCGTCTGGCCCGGGAGGTTCTGGCGGGCCCCAGAGTCCCCGCTCGGCGCCTCAGGTCCCTGCTGGGAATGATGGCAGCGGCTCATGCTGTGGTGCGGCTAGGCCTGCTCCACATGAGAAATTTTCAGAGGTGGTTCTCGCGCCTCAGGCTTCACCCCTCCCGGGACGGGGGGAGGCTGATCTGGGTTCCCCAAGGGGCAGCATCGGACATCAGGTTCTGGCTCACTCCGGGTCTATTGCGGGACGGAGTGACTCTGGCCTGCGCCGTGTCTCACGTCGAGGTGTTCACGGACGCGTCGCTCGAAGGATGGGGCGGGGTCCTCGGCCAGAGCTCTGTAGGAGGCTGCTGGTCGGACTCAGCCCGTCACATCAACCTGCTGGAGATGGAGGCAGTGCACAGAGTGCTGCTGCACTTTGCCCCTCAGCTGCAGGGGAGACACGTGATGGTGCGCTCAGACAACACCACAGTGGTCTCCTATCTGAACAGGCAGGGGGGCACCAGGTCCCCCGCTCTCCATCGCATGGCGACGGTGACGCTGCTGTGGGCGGCGCTTCACCTCCTGTCTCTCAGGGCGCGCCACATCCCGGGGGTCCGGAACGTGGGAGCCGACAGGATGTCCAGGGGGGGCCCACTCCAGGACGAGTGGGGCCTGGCCCCACGGGTAGCTGCGGAGATCTGGCGGAGGTTCGGCCGTCCAGTGGTCGACCTTTTCGCCAGTGCAGAGAACGCACAGTGCCCGTCCTGGTTCGCCTTAAGGGCCGCGGACGAGCCGCCTTTAGGCGTGGACGCTCTGGCTCATTACCCATGGCCAGGCGGCCTGTTGTACGCTTTTCCACCGGTGCGTCTCCTGCCGGTCCTGCTGCGGAGGATCGAACAGGAGAGGAGATCGGTGATCCTGGTGGCTCCGGACAGTCCGCATGCCCGGTGGTTCCCCTTCCTGAGGGGCATGGCGGTGATGGAGCCCTGGGCCCTCCCGGACGAGCCGGGGGCTCTAGTCCAGGGGGCAGGAGCCCTGTTTTCACGTCCGATAATCGGCCGCAGGCTCTGGGTTTGGAGGTTGAGAGGCGGAGCCTCGTAGATCTGGGTCTTCCCCCTGCGGTGGTGGAGACCATTCAGGGAGCGAGGGCGCCGTCCACCGTGAGGGCCTACGCCACGAGGTGGAGGCTATTCAGTGTCTGGTGCGATTCCCGTTCCTGGGATCCCAGGTGTTGCCCACTGGAGGGGGTCCTGGGATTCCTACAGGAGCTCTTCGACAAGGGGAGGGCTGTCGCTACCTTGGCGGTGTTCGCGGCAGCCATTACTTCGGGTTACGACGGATTCGGGGGGTTCACAGCCCATTCTCACCCGTTGGTTAAACGTTTTCTGCGGGGGGCGCGCAGGAGGAGGCCCCCGCTCCAGAGAACGCCTCCGGTTTGGGACCTCAGGGTGGTCCTTAGGGGGCTGTCGGGTCCGCCTTTTGAACCGGCGGCGGAGGCGAGTCCCGAGTGTATCGCCTTTAAGACGGCCCTCTTACTGGCGTTGGCGTCTGCGAAGAGGGCGGGCGATTTGTGTGCGCTCTCCGTCCATGCGTCGTGCCTGTCCTTTGGAGAGGACGACGGCATGGTGGAATTGTGGCCCAATCCGGCTTTTCTCCCCAAGGTCATCACGTCGGCCTTTAGGTCGAGGGTCATCAGGATTAGGGCTTTCCACCCACCGCCGCATGCCCCCCCCGAGGAGGAGTGGCAGCACCTTCTGTGTCCTATGAGAATGCTGAGGCATTACCTGGCCATGACGTCGTCATTCAGGTCGGGTGATCAGCTGTTTGTGTGTCTGGGCCCCAAGAACAGGGGCGCCCCGCTGTCGGCTCAGCGGCTGGCGCATTGGGTCGCCACGGCGGTGCGGCGGGCGTATCAGACGCAGGGTCTGGCCCCCCCGGTGGGTTTCAGGTCGCATTCCACGCGTGGGATGGCGGCCTCTACGGCCCTTCTCAGGGGGGCGTCGGTCGAGGACGTTTGCCGTGCGGCTTCTTGGGCGTCGTCCTCCTCTTTCGTCCGGTCTTATCTTTCGGATGTGTCGGACCGGTCGGTGGCCCATTCCGTGCTGAGTGCAGCGGACTGAGTTAGACCATTGGGTCCCTCCCCTGAGGGGGGCCTTCGGTCTATTTTCCGCCCTGGTGCAGGAGCTCTTGGGAGAGGCATCCTACAGGTGCGGTACATTTTGTGTGTGTGGTCGGTCTGGTAGTCCACGTCAGGAGCTCTTGGGAGAGGCGTCCTGTGACTACGGATGACCTACGGCTTGTGTTACGTGGGGGTATCCTTGGTAGGAGTGGCCCCGTAACACGCTTGTTTCTTCTGCCCTGAGTCCTCTCACGTTGTGAGGGTCTTGCTCGGGCGGAGCTCCAATCACCTTCGCTGGCCTGCTGGGAGTACATTTTCCTACGGCCTCCGCGTTGTGTCCCACTAGCGAAGTCCTAAGGGACGTAGCACCATGACGTAGAATTAATAGTTACTTAATGTAACTTAAGTTCTACGAATAGGTGCGTAGTCCCTTAGCTACGAGCCCATCAGGCCAGCCCGGCTTGGCAGAGTTCAAGAGGGGGTACGGCCTTGTGCAGGGGCATTTATAGAGGAAGGTGGCTGGTGATTGGAGCAAATTATTTTGATCTCTCTGGCGCGTGACCTGGGGGTCACGAGTGATATCCCACTAGCGAAGTCCTAAGGGACTACGCACCTATTCGTAGAACTTAAGTTACATTAAGTAACTATTAATTACCCCCTTATGTCCTGTGGTGTCCTTTTGAGTTGTTTCCTTATCATTCACTTGCCTTTTATTAAATACTTGCTTTTCCATTCAACATCTTGGTTTTAATTTGTTACCTCCCTCACCCTAGCTGAGCTGGGTCGTAACAATAATGATGATGAACAAATCACATGTGTCATTGCACAATAAAATAACAAATACATGATTGTTCTGGAGTAATTAGCTGACAAGAAGCAGGGTTATCCTTCTCGGGGTCAAGAGGTTACCACAATATTGCTGAAAATCTTAAAATATTGGGCTGTTAATGTTCAATTATTATAATGTGACATATATTTTTATACTTAATGTCATTATACTAAAAGAAGAGTTTATGTTACAGCATCAGCACCTCACTTTGTCAATGCACAACACCACTTCCTGATAAGTTCCCCGCTACCTCCTAATATTGTTACTATTACCTCTGCTACTAATGCCCGTTTCCTCCATGTAAAAAAAATAAAAAATAAAAAAAAGAGTTTTGAACACAAAATGATTAGTTTAAAAGTCAAAATTACAAGTTTAAAACTAAAAATGACGAGTTTAAAAATCATAATTTTGACTTATAATACAATATGTAAAATGTTGGCCGTATATTTTGGGTGAAGCTGAATATGAAGGTTCTGAAATAAGGCTATAGTTTTTTTTTTTTTTTTTGCAAAGTCTCCGCTAACATAATGCATTGCACGTGTTTTTGATTTTTGTCAATACAGTCCGTCGAGGAAAAAAAATATATCTCTAATTGGAACTCTACCAAACATCAAACGGTCGTGCATTAGCTAATAATTCGGGTTAGCGTTAACTAACTAGTAGAGGTGACACACGATACTAACCTGAATCACTGCTTCCAGTCGCGGTGAATCCGAAGTCTCCTCCGGAGGAGAATCCATTGTAAAACCGATGTTTAACTTTAAGCTAACGTTGACGTGACACGAGATTAAAAAACCATTATTGCGTACGAAGCTAGCCTGTATTTTAAAATACAACAATCAAAATTTTAGTCAAAAAGAACGTTAATGAAAATACTTAGGAGCCTGGAATGAGAAAGTCCGATTATAAAGAAACTTTATGAAGCAGTGCAGATCTCTCTAATCCTTGTGCACGTTGCCATGGCGACCCCACGCTTCCGGGGATGTTGTCCTGGAAACAGAATGCTGGCGTGCCCCTCGCCGTGGAGACGCAAACTTCAGATTCCGACAGGTTAATGATGAACCCTCCCAAAGCCAACATTTCACATAGAAGATATCAGTTTCAATAATGATAATGATAATAATAATAATAATAATAATAATAATAAAACACCTGAATTAACGAACAAACAAGTGGCTGTTGGGGCCCTGGGGTTTTGACCTTCTCTTGTGGGGACAATCTCTGCAGAGATAATCAAACTCCAAAGTAGCATACATTTTCAATCAGTCTAAAATGGCTGTAGAGTGACCAACTGAATTAGTTTTATGTAATATTTTTGGGACACTCAAGGACGCTTCACGTGTCATTTTTCATTCACACTGTACACAGTGGTACTGTAGCCACAGCTACCCTGGGGCACAGTAACAGAAGCGAGGCAACCAGTGTGTGAGGCCTTCTGATGCGCACACACCAGACTCATTCTAGGAAATGTGGGTGAAGTGTCTAGCCTAAGGACACAACAGCAGTTTGGCACTTTACAGAGGTCTTCTCCCAGAGGCCCCTCATCACAGTACTTGCCAGGCACTGGCTTACTTAGCATCAGAGGTCTGATGGGATATGGCTTTCACAGTTGTTATAACAATATATATTACCAGTCCATATGCATTTAATCTGGAATTATGGCTCAACAAATTTATTGTTATGTTAAATAGACAATTGTGTGCTTAAATGAAAGTAGTCTATAATCAATATTATTATTGAGACATTTACTGGAATAGCTTTGCACATTAAAAACTGTTCACAAATTAATGGTATAGACCTGATGAAAACTGACTATTCCATAAACAACATAAGCCTACTTGCACCATACTAATAGGCCATTGGTAGGATATACAACATTACATTATTAGAACATTAGCTAAACCAGAAGATATTTCCACAAACATGTAATACTTCACAGTCTGAGTACATACTGTAATTCTGCCTACTAAAAAAAAAAGGTACAAAGTATAAACAAAGAAAAGCTGCGCTGCTAAATGACTTTCTTTTTTCAGGCAATCAGGAATACCCAAGGATCATGTGGAGCTATTTCTGGACAGTGAAATCCCAGGATAAACATACCTTTTGCATTACACCAAAGTAATACCGTAATGTTACACTCATTCTAAATTAAGTCCGGATAAAGAGGACACTATGTTGCTTCAGCGGGGTAGACGTCAGGCCATTGGGACGGGTCTAGGAAGATGGTGCTGAGTCCAGTGTAGAACCACATTCTGGGAAGAGTGCCCTCAATGTCCCAAGAGTTCGAGGCGCGGCTGTACACCTCCATTTCCACCCCATAGTCCCCCTCCATGCCCTTCCAATGTCCTCCTGTTACATAGATTTTACCACTCAGTGCCACCAAGCCACCGTTCTCATGAAGCATTTGGAGGAGTTGGACCTGCAGACGTGGGAAAGAGTAAAACAGGCTAGATTAATGAATACATAGGTCATTTTTACAATTATTTTACATCAGTCAATTAAAAAGTGACAGGAAGCAAGCTCGTTTGTATAGTTTGTATTCAAGCAGAGTTGAAATTTGAGGAAAAACATTGCTGGGATTAACTGCATATATTTAAAAGATCTATTGTTTCACTGGTGCAGATCCTTCATTGTCAATAATACACTTTTACCCAGATATACATTCGATGTGACAATTATTTTCACGGTCTCAAATATGGCATTTAGTTTCAGGTATATTCTCCACATTTAAGGGCCAATAACATGCAAAATCATTGCTCTAGTAGAATCCACACCTTCTGCCACATGTTTGCCTCAGGGTCATAGGAGTAGACTTTCTTTGTGTTGTCAGCCACCAGATAAATAACCCCATCCATACACACAGAGCGAGGAGACGACAGGTACTTTGGTATGAAGGGAGAACATACGTGGATCCAGCTATCTGTAAAAATACAAATAACAAATATAGTACATAATACAATTTATAAATGTTGATTGAGAGTTTTAGTGTTTTATTTTGAGTGTATGTGATGTATCTAAACCATTAACTTCGCTTAGTTGTATATCAATCGTTACAGTGTTCAAATTAGTTTTCAACAAAGCCAAAAATCACATACAAAAACCATTGCTGTCCCCTTTCCACCAGCCCTACTTGAGCCTACTCACCTCTACTCTACTCTACTTGACTCTACTCCACCCTGATAAGGAGTGTTCCACTGGCCCTAGTTCAACCAGTACCAGGTACTTTAAGTACCTGCTTGGTTTTGGTTTTAACCAGATCAAGCTCATACTAGTGTTATAACTGCCAATGATTGACCAGAGTGTTGCTGGATGCCATGGTTAACAAGGAATTTCCCTGCATACTGGTTTGTTGAGGGTAGATAGCTAGGATACTCAGGGCTGGTGGATTCACCCAGAATTGGGTTAGGAGCCGAGTAGAGTAGAGCCATTGGAAATGGGGCTTTATAAAGCTGTGGTACCTAACTTTCAAACTACAAAAATGGAAGGATGTAATAGAATCCATCAAACTATTTCCTAGATCTCAAAACAGTTACTACAGGTTCTATAGGCACTAGTTTTCACGTGCATATATTATTTGGCCTTTGTAACATAAGGTAAAGGTAAAGGAACACTTTTTACACATTTTACATATACACTTTTTCTGTAGAGACAAGCAAAATGCATTATTAATTATACAAAAATGTAAGTCCCCCAATTTTGAGTTCTAATATTGTATCTTTACTCTCAATAAGCTGGAATTTTAAAAGCATTGCCTCGGTCTGATAACACAGTATTTACATGTCATGAGGTCATTTTTAAATACATTTTCATTTATACAGGGATTAGCCTGTAGTGCTCTGGTGTAATCCCTTAAACCCCTTTTAGTCGTGCCTTTCTCCTGTTGCGTTTATGCTGCTGTAATGAGATGCAGTTTTACCTATGACAGGGTTGTAGCACTGCATAGTCAGAGCGTTGTACTTCACCGCACACGAGCCAATCACATAGAGCTTCCCTTGACAAGCGGAGGCCGTGAAGTTTGTGACGTATTTCAGCGCAGGACACGTCAGGGCCCAGGAGTCACTGTACGGGTCGTAATGCTCAACTTCTACACGATCTGAGGTTGTTCCTGTGAAGGAAACGCAAAATACATCAAATTAGAAAACGAGTCAATTCTGACCGAGTTTTCATAGCTCCCTGAAAAATGTATCCCTTGGGAAACATTGAAAGTTTCAAGAGAACTTAAAGGCGTCGGTTGGCCTACAAATTAAGGTTTCCAACTTATAGCTTGGGATCCAGCAGTAGCCCAAAATTGAATCAGAATAATTTTTTGTTATTAGTTTATTTCATTGATCATTATGTACATTAGAACTTAGGTCACATGTTTCCAAAGATCAAAGACATTTTACAATATAGAAAAAAAGAACTAAAAAGTGTATACTAAGAATTTGAGTGCTGAATAATGCCTGACCAAAAGACTTATGCTGCCTAAATATTCAATGTTATAATTCTCATGCTACAAACATTATAAATATATACTTTACGTTAGTGCTGAAATCAACGTACATTATCTCATGAGCGCTAAAGGAGCTCTTCAAGGGAAAAAGGGTTGGAGATCCCTGGTCAAAATTCTATAATAAGGTACAGTACACTTTACTGATCTCCGTATAGGGAATTTTATCCTCTGCATTTGACCGATCCTGAAATGCCACTTGGAGCACACAGCTGTACCCATCTGCAGAGGTTGTTATGTTTGGCTTGGCTTGACAACTAAAGCTAGAGGAAGTTTTGTGGTAGGGGGATAGAAACCAAGGTACCTGGAGGAAACCCACGGGGACACGGGGAGAACAACTGCACTCTGACAGGCCCTGTTCCAACCAGAATACCAAACCCAGGAGTGAAAACCTTTCTGCCACCCTTAATAGTTGTTTTGTTGAGTGGTTCCTTGCAGATGCCGGAGGATCTAAGAATAGTGGTGATGACCCAGGATATTTAAGGACATTTATTATCACCTATGGAAATTGGTCATCCGCCTCTTATGGACCAATGGCTCCTATGTGTTTGTTATCTCTGCATGTTCTGTGTATGAACAGTTTGATTTGGGTTTGACTGATTTAAATATAGAAGGAACTACCAACCAAACCGTTATCGCATAAAATAAAATTCTCTTTACCTCCAATGACATAGATTTCTCCGTTGAGTGTAGCTGAGGTGTGATTGGTTCGAGGCCGTTGCATTGGTGCCACAGTAATCCACTTTGCTTCTTTTGTGACATACTTCCAGGTCTCTGTAGTCGACCAGGTGTTGGTATTTGAACCTCTTGAGCCTCCTAATAGACACAGAAAATACATGTTTGGTGTTTGGAGAGAAAAGAGTTGAACAGAAGCTTTTTTAAACATACAGAATGACGTGCTGACGAGAGATGGTGCAAATAAGTATTTGTATAGATTTCAACATAATATTATCCAAGAACTTCCCATGACTTTTCCAAGACATATCTCTTACTGTTATCACAGCCATGAAAAACCTATTTTGTACCTACTGTATATTTCTCAATACATTATCCATTTGAGTCCGTCTTTTGGGACTGGCCACAATCTTTAATGATATCTGATGCACAGGAAAAAACTCAAATACTTTACTTAACTTATCTCATATTTCTTCTAGTTCTTAAAGCCAATTCAATTCCATAATAATTTAAGGTTTTGAATGGAAATGTCTTTTCCATGTTTGCAACGACTCTGTCAAAATGTTGACAAATGTTAAAAATAAGCTTCTTGTTATCAACACAAAACACTTCAAACTCACCTGAAACATACACGTCATTGTTTAGCGATACCATGGAGTATCCCCACTTGTTTGGATTGGGGAAATTGGGAAGCTGGTGCCACTGCTCTGTCAAGACCAAAAAGGGGAACAAAATTGTACAAAATGTGGCTTCTCAACATTGCAGCCAAGCATGTTCAGCGCTGACATAGAAAACCCACAAAAACATTGAATAAGTTACAACAATTCGTTCCATAATAAAACTGTGGACATGGATGGTTTCTTCCAGCTCTGTGCAATAAAATGCTCATTTAAGATGGGGGAAGATGGTCCAGATTTGTCACATCCAGACCGCATTCCTCAAAAGCTGTTTTTCTGTCAACGCTGCTTTTAATGTTGGACAGAATATCCAAAAACACCCGCAATCTGTTTGAGGGAATCGCAGGCATATTGCTCAACAAATATGTAATGCAGAAAGATGTAGCCCACGTGTGCAGTATTGTGGTTAGTCCAAAGCAGGTTTGTTCAAAGGCAAAGAACATTCAATAATATTCAGTTTAAGCAATAGACCTCTGCTAAAACAAGGAGTTGTGCCTAAAAGTTTGAAAAATAAAACTTTATACAAAAACAATATAACAGCAACAGAAACCTTCCTGATTAGAAGTTTCCACCCTCCAATTCTCAATAGTGTGTTTTGTCCCTTTAACTAGAGCCCCATTTCCACTTGCCCTTCTTGGCCCTACTCAACACTACTCAACCATCCATCCATCCATCCATTCATCCATTTTCTTCCCCTTATTCCGTTTCTAAGTCAGGGGCGTGGCAGTCAGAGCTGCACCCAATTCACATAGCACCAGCCCCTCACTGATCCTCCTGCAGGTGGTGAGTCCACAGGAGCCTTGATCTTTCAGCGGGGGCTTCAGGCAGGGGTTAAGTGTCTTGCCCAAGGACACAACGACAACAGTCAGCAGTGGAAGCCATGAAGTAGGTCTTGTGGTAGGCTCAAACCCATGACCTTCAGGCCCAAAGGCAAATGCTCCACCAACTGAGCCACTGTCGCCCCTCACTGTCGCCACTCTGCACTACCTCTCCAAATATTAGACAATATAACCACTCACACCAATTAGTCGAACAAATAATGTGTTGTCATTAAGGATCAACGAAACATGGCTAAAATAATTAAATAAATAATAACATTGTGTACAGAGAGATTCAAATATAATTATGACAATATTGATATGTATCAATCATAGACTGTATATATTAACGGACATAGTCACGCCTATCTCCGCCGTTTTAACTAATGGGCCAAAAATTGGGCTCTCGTGGAGTGATTAAAAATGGCCGCGGGGGCTGGAAAATGTGAAAAAAACGCATCTGCGCATGCGTCAGCCAGCACGAGCCCCATTAATTTAAACGACTGACTTCAAAAATTCACAGCGAGTAAACTAAAGTGGCCCAAAAAAATTCACTCCCCTGAGCATTGACACACATGTAGAACGGAGCTTTGGGCCAGGAGCCAACTTTTGGACATCCTGTTAAGGTGTTTTTGAGAGGTAAGAAGATGCTATATGTTAGCATTGGCTAATTCTTATTCCGGGTCCACCCCCATCATTCCGGGGTGGTATTGCAAGTATGTCATTGTCAGCGCACGTCAATTTGGCCACTTTTGAGCCGGAACCCACCCCCACTGGTATCAATACATTACATTATTGTGACCAGGCAAGTAGGAATGAATGAGTTTTACTTGTTTTGGTGTTGTAGAAGGCACAGTTTTTAGGTGGAAGTCGTTCAAGTCTCGGGTCACGATCGTCAGAGTCAGAGTCTTCTTCATCATCGGAGTCATCCAGAGCACGGCCTCCCATCACAAACAGCACCTCCTGCAGGTTCTGCTGAGGACTGCAACAACTGGATCTGTCCGTGAGTTCAGGGACCAGACTCATTTTCTACATTTAGAGAAAAGTAAAAGAACATTTTAAAACATCAATGAAAAATTTTAAAATTGAAGTTGTCCCAATGGGTTTTTGTAGTTAGTAGTTAACGTTAGTTTGTAGTTTTGCTATGCACGGTCCCTTTCAAATAAAGACTAAACTAAACTAAATGTAGTGCAAGTTGGGTAGGATGAGCTATTTGTGTCTTCTGACTGCAGCTCCACAGAAAAATCTGGCAGAAACCGTTCCACAGTGAAATTTAAGACCTGCGCAAATATTTTTAAGACCTACCACACCGGATTTATGACTTTTTAACTTTTCAAATTAAGACCGTTTTAGACTTTTATAGACCTTGCAGAAATCCTGTCATCAGTTAACAGACAGTAAATGTGTTTTTGGTTCTCACTCATCCCCGTAACTGCGTCCAGGGGCCTTCTTTGAACCGCCTCATATTGAGGCTCTGACCTCTGCTTCACCACCGATCATCACTAGGTAAGGAAGAGAAATGTGTCCCCGTGAGGAACAGGGTCAAGTTTGCACTCACTGACCTCTCTGAGAATATTTTCCACAGCTTCTCTGCAGATGGGAGATTCCTGCACCAAACCCTCCTTCAACATGTTGTCATTGAGATAGTCCGCACTAAGAAGGGAGAGCCTGCATAAGGTGAGAAAATCGTGAAGATGACAAAGCCGGGCCTCTTTACAATGTCCAACCCAGGCCAAGACCGCCTCCACTCGGGCAGACTCTGACCGAATTTGCAGTCCATCATTCGACAAGCATTTGGTGAGCTTGTCTTTGGTTAGAGTGAGGAACTCTTCGCCACGTTGAACCGCTTCAAAATTCTCCAGCAGGAAGGCCCACGCTTTGGCTACCACTTCGGGACAGCCGTGAATCTCCCCAAACTCTAGAATACCCAGACAATTAGTGGCGTCGATTTGGTGTTGCAAGTATCTACTGCAGACGGATCTCACTGTTTGAAATTGCAGCTGGCTGGATGTGCAAATCAGTCCTTCTACGTTGCTTTGGTTGATGGTCAGCTTCCCGGTGTAGGCGAAGTCAAGAAGGTGGCCGAGGATGTTTGGGTCAACCTCATGGAGCTCCACGCGGGCCGCAATGCTTTCTACAAAGTCCCCAGAAAACATGCAGCGAAAGTAGGGGCTACATAGAGCGAGGACCCCTCGGTGGCAAGGGAAGTCCCGGCCTCCTGCGACCAGAGTGACGTCGATGAGTTTGGGGTGAGAGCAGAGGGAGCGTAGGCCCTCCAAGATGCTCTGAGGGTGAGAGGCGAGGCAGAAGTCCAGGTCGTCCACGTTACGCACCATGGTGAAGGTTACGCTAAACAACAACAGGAAAATGGGAGTGTGTCTGCAAATAAGAAAAAGGAAGGTTACCATAAGAAAAACATCATAATTATTGTTTAATAAAAAAAAAAATATATATATATATATATATATATTATATATATATATTTCTCCCTTTATTCATAACATCACACCATCAGTGGATGATAACATAACCTCAAGTACTTTGGCTATGGTTTCAACTGAGTATTATGTTTGAAAACAAATTCCAATAAAACAACATGTGTAACTTTAAATTGTGAAATAATTGTCAGATATGTAAAATTGCATCAATATATGAAAAGTCAGTTTGCAAAAACAGGTAAGTGGCTTGAGAAAAATGTCGGAAAGGCTGACAATATGCTCTTTACTAAGATGTTTTATGAAAAGCCTGGTATTTTTTAGCGCGATACAAATAAAGTTTCACCCCTTTTTCTATCATATGTAATGCAAAAAGCAAAAAAATTTTTTGTAGATTTTAAGAAAAGAAACAGAACTTTTTTACAACATTCAAACTGAGATATTTCTGTTTTCTCAAATGAACCTTGCGTCTGTAGTGTGTGTTTTGTTGTGAATGGTCTGTCGCGCCAAAAGGCTGTTTACTTTACAACCACCATTTTTGTTTTGGTTGACCCCTTCTTCTCCCACAAAAGCAAAGGAGAGAAACCAATAGAGTGTATATTAAAATGTTCCAAACACTCACCACTGATGTGAAGAACTGGCAGAAATCCTCATTGTTCCTCCTCTGTGCCGTGTAGCCGCTGATCACATGAACTGTCCAGACTTGTGCAGTACGACGAAGACACTTTTGTCAAGTCACTGGGACGTCCCGCAGTCACTCACGCTGTATTTTTAGCTCAAAGTGACGCTAAGCTGCGGACCAGCTCCAAACAACTGCCATGGAGGCCACAGCTGCTGTTACAAGCACATGTCTGACATACTGAAGGGGCATGCTCAAGCAAACTCTCTCAATAATCTGTTTGAAATACATATTCAAAACATATATATATTGGGTGATACCCCTCATTCCAGTGATACTATCATCACAAATTTTAATTTAAAAAGAAATTGTATTTCTGTAATTACACATAATGCACTTAATCCCGTACAACCCAGACATGAAAATATTTCTTGAAAAAAAATATCTGTGTTATTTTTGGAAAGCAGCATTCAATGACAACATTTTTGGATACAGTAGTTGATGCATTAAACCAAAAAGTCATACTTCTGTTGCCATAACCGTTGAACCTTATGTTGCGTGTTTGTAACCGAGGGTACTGCGGGGTTAAGAAAACGTCTATATTTGAAAAGAAAATATCTATATTTGCAATCAATCCTTGAACTGAATCTAGGATTTAAAAAAATCTATTTGTGAGTGCTTTCGTGTTCTCACTGCTCTGCACTGACCGTTACATCTATTTGACTGTAAATATTAATGGACATACTGTAGTCACGCCTATCTCCGCCGTTTAAAGTAATGTGTTGTAACACTTTAGCCTTCTGTGGGCTTTTTCAAAATGGCAGCGGGGCAGAAATATTTGAAAAAACACATTTGCGCATGCATTAGACGGCATGAGCTCCATTCATTTAACAAGTGCATTCAAAAGTCCACAGCGGCTAAACTAAGCTGGTCCAAAAGTAAAAAACACTCCCCTAAGCATTGACAGCATCTGGAACAACTCTGAACCCAGAACTGCCATTACAAGCTGTTTTCGAGAGGAAAGAAGACGGCATTGGGTAATTATCTTTCCGGGTACACCCCCACCGGCCCGGAGTGAGATTGCAAGCATGTCAGCCTGCATGCTCATGGATCTTTTGGAGGCGGACTAGTTACAACATTAAATTATAATACTATATCATCTTAAGCGCTACATGATGGACTAACAAGACAAATGTCCATGTAGGTGCAAAGTTTATTTTGAAAATGTGCCTTATAGCGAAATACAGATATAAAGGATTATCTTTATTGTCAAAGAGCAAACATCACACAAATACACTCTCGTCTGGAAACTTTGGAAGTACTGTACTCAACCCTCTCATCCATGTGAAGTACAAAATTATCAAAATATTCGTCCAAAATGTCATAATTGGTTCTTAAGAAGTTGGGAAACAGTTAAAACATAAAATCAAACCAACATTTTGAGATTCAGCGTCACCTTTTCCAAATACAAAATTACTCGCTTCGACCCCAGCCCTAAAGTTATTGCGACAAGCAAGAATATCAAAAGAGAATCTACTCAAAATCAAAAATCTCTGCCTCCTTTTCTTTCCAAAATGCAAAACTGCGGTCAATGTATTTGCAGATCTCCTCATTGCTAAAACTGGAGATGTCAGTACCGGTGTAAAGCATTGATTCGTCCGGTGTCGGGGTCTGGACAATGACTTTTGGGACTTGTCTGACCTCTGGAAGTGTATGTTTGACCACCTCTACGCTACTCTCAGGAGGACACACTGCATTTCCAAAGAACTTGATTTTAATGTCCTCAAACCCGTCTTTCCACTCCCTGTTCCCGGCTTCTATCTCCTGAATGACAGTCTTGTGGAAGTCCCGGACCGTCTCCCAGGGAAAGCTGCCCACGTGGTCGAACACCTCGAAGCAGAGAAGGTGTCTCATTTTGCGCTCGTCCACTGGCAGCTCTAACTCCAGGATGTGGAAGTATCCCAGCATGAAGAGGTCCAGGGTCAGTTTGTCGTACTCAATCGGAACGCCCTCAACGCGAGGCAAAAACTGCTCTGGGGAGTACAGGGCCTGCTGCTTGTGAAGTCTGCGGAAGGCAATCAGCATGTTAAATTCCATTACTGAATAGATACAATGAATCTCATGTGTGGTGACATCATAAAGCACTCAGGTGTAGACTTCCACCTTTGTTAGAGGTGGCAGTAGTAGCATTTTTTTGGACACTACAAAGACGATTCACATGTCATTATTCTTTCACTCCGTACACGGTGGTGATAAACTACAGTAGCCACAGCTGCCCTGGGGCACACTGACAGAAGCGAGGCAACCAGTATGAGCCATCGGCCTCTCTGTCCACCACGAGCCATTCACACACACACCAGACTTATTCTAGACAATGTGGGTGAAGTGTCTTGCCTAAGGACAAAAGTTTGGCAGCCACCCCACTGGCACCTGATGTTCCCAGAGGTCTCCCATCATAGTTATAACCTGACCCTGTCCTGCTTAACTTTAAAGGTCTGATGGGATCTGGCTTTCACATGCAGGTATGGCTAGAGGTGGAAGTCTGCCCCTCAATCATGTTAGGTCATTAAGGCAGGATTAACTTCTTTACACTTTTGTCTTATTCAAAAAAAACTTCCACGCCTAAACCATAAAGTAACAGACATAATGAACTTTTCACATTTATAACGCACTCATTAATACAGACGCAAACAGGATTTCAATGTCAAAGGATGAAAAGGCATGTTTTCAAACTCTGAAAGAGAGTAGTATTGAGCTTCTAAAGCGGGCACTGCTGGGCCTGGGTCAGAAGCAGGTACTTCTATACTTTATGGCCAGGAGAGGCTCGGTTTGTGGACTGACAAGGCTTACCATTTCCTCACACAGATATTGGCAAAAGGTTACATGATGAATGTGTAGCATTTATTTAGCTGTTTTTGTTAGTAATCATGATGTGTGTGAGTTCATATCATTTTGCTCCTCACTTTTATGCTTGAAAGTTGCGGAGTTGGAACAAAGTTACAGATATTCCCTATATATTTTGCGGAGTTCCTGATCATAGTTAGTTGTAAAACCTCCCAGGATGGCATAGTCCCAAGGTAATTCAATCCAAGCGCGATTGACCCCTCCCCAGAAACGCCAGCTCTATTCATATGTGAATGCAAAATATCCGAGGGCAGCACCGAGACACAGACCATGTGTAAACGCCATAGGTTCATACAAAATGCCATCCAAGAAATCAGGATAATAGATAATATTGGATTATAGACTTTTTCTGTATCTTTTTAGTCGTCTGCAAACTTATTTCAACATTGTTCCTTTGAATAAACCCCAAGGGTTTTTTTTTTCTTTCTATAAACAAAGTACTGGGTTTGTGGACAAAGCTACTTTCTTAATAGTACTCAAGTGATGTCAATAACCAGGATGGCATAGTCAGATATTTCATTTATTTACATCTACTTGTCATAATAAACTACATATCTACATACATATTCAGCTCTTTTTCACCGAATTAAGCTGTGTTATTGTGCAAGGCTGAATTTAAGAGAAACAAAAGCATATTTAAAGTTGATTGTTGTTTTTGTTAAGCATGATGAGATAGCAGCTCTACGATACCGTGGTTTTTTGGTCATGTTTCTATGGAAAGTTCCGTGTTCCTCTGGGGCTGATAAGTAACCAGGTCCAGGCCAAAGCTGATTGAAACAGATATCTGTTTACTTCTTTCTTTTATAAAGCAACTAGTTCTACAACACTTCTCTGTACTCCGCATTAGTTTTAAACTTAAAGATGTTATTCTATCCTATTTTGTATTATTTTGTCCCTGTGAAGCACTTGGGCGCTGGTGTTGTTGTAAATGTGCTGTACAAATAAAGCTGACATTGACATTGACATTCTCACCTAGTCTAGTGTTATAAAGTGTTCACAAACTTGAAAAACAGGAAAATAAAAATGTTGTGTCCTGTTTTAATCTTATGAGAACTAATGTTATCTTTTGTGTACTTGTAAGAGAGCCCTGTGAGTCATTATTTGATGCTAAGAGGCTGAGAGCTGATTGGAGTGAGGGTGGTCCTCTGTTTTTCACTCCTCCTCTCTTTATCATTTACACATATTTATTACATTCATAGACATCTTCGCCATATAAATCAATGTCTCTATGTCAGCCATTCCCAAACTCAGTAACACCGAGGCCCCCTTAAAAATCTGACGGGTCTGCGTGGCCCCCCAAAATAATATCCAAGAAGACAACATTAAGAATAGGCTCTTCTGGTTATTTTATTTTGGGGAAATAGCCTCTGCTACAAACATTGTAATACAAAAATGATTACAGAGGATTATTCAAGTCAAATAATGAACACAAATATTTAGTATTACAAACAAAACATTATAAATTTAACATTAAATAAGTATATTATTTTTTTTATGACCTCCCGCGGCCCCCCTGCAGTACCCTCGCGGCCCACCAGGGGGCCGCGGACCCCACTTTGGGAGACACTGCTCTATGTGTTTTATGATCATTGCATTTCCTGTGTTTGAACTGTTTTGATTCTCTGATCTGTGTTGGCGAACGGACAATGTTTGTATAGTCCTTCAAGATAACTACTGCTGTGATTTAGAGCTATACAAAAATAAGCTTTGAGATTTGAATTGAATTTTCATTTTTCTGTTTTGGGAGCGAGTTTATGACATAGTAAAAAAAATTGTGGTTTGAAATCTGTTCACTCCAGCTTTGATTGCCTCATAGTGTAACCATTTCTCACCTGCGTATCTGCCTGGACGGGACACTGGAGATCATGTTCCTCCAGCTGCCGAGCATCTTGTCGACGGCTCTCCTCTGCTGGAAGAAGTGTCCGAGTGAACTGTTCATCATCCGTGTGTTGTCGATGCTTCCTCTTCGATCCAGACCAGTTTTATTGTCTGCAGCCAAGTTCCCCACACTGTTTTTCCTGTCTGCGTCCTTGTTTTTCTCTGTCACAGTGTAGGCCGACTTCTTCCAATGCCCCAAGAACAGGACAACGATACGCTCCTTCCTCAGACTGTTTGTCTCCTGCACATCCGAGACATTGTCGTCTTGGTCGATGCCGGAGTCGCTGTTTTGGTCAATTTCTGGGCACAGACTAAGAGCCTTCGGGGCGATTTTGAATTGAGACATGTTGAGGAGTGCGCTTCCAATCATGGGCAGGGGTTCCATTGTGTCCTCTATCTCTTCTTCTTCGTGGGTTTGCGACTCAAAATTGGATTTGAGATTCCGGACGGAGACGCCGAACTGTTGGATTTCGCCCTCGACGCGCTCTCTGCTCTCTCTTCTCCCCCTGTTCGTGTGCTGAATGTCTGAAGTTTCTGAGAAAACCGTGACGAGCTCGGTGTTGGGCATCTTGCAGTACGGCTGGTCGGTAAGATTCGCCATGAGGAGAGACATGCTTTGGACTATGCCAGAAATACGGCCGCACCAAACCGGCAAAGGGACTTGACAGGGGAAGTTTCGGAACTGAGTGTTGACGGTGATGTTGACAATGGGGGCGGGGAGGATGTGTCTTAGCTCGTTGGCTAACCGCGCTAGCTCCAGTTCATACCCGGCGCAGTTCCTTTGCATTGAGACGTTGGCAATTTGTTGTTCCAGGTAAATAAGGTCGTCCTCGGTGAGAAGTTCACCGGAGGGACCCAGGATGGCGTTGTGGGCCTGGGAGTACCTCCAGCTCACTTTGGCAAATTTGTTACCGTTTTCCTGAAGGGCAGAATGTAACGAGAGCTTAATAATAGACTGGATATACAATGAAACCACTTAACTTGACACTTTTTGATATCAATCCAATGTAAAGTTGAGTTTTTTTTTTTTTTTTTTTTTTACAAAATAGAGGTTGAAATTTAGCAAATAAAAGGTTTTAATGAAAAAAAAACCAGATTGTTGATGCAATTATAATATAAAAAGGCAGTTATTGTTGTATTAAAATATAATGTACAGTGATTATCCTATGGACCAATGTAATTATTGCATTTCCTGTGTTCCTGTTTCATTCTCTTATTTGTTGTTGTTGCATTGACAACTTTGTGAAATCCTCTGAGACAAAAACACAAAAATACATTGTTATCTTTTTACATGTGTTTTGGAGTCTACAGTGCAACATGTAATCAGATTTTTTTGCATTTGGACTCCAGCTATTATTTTTATATTATCATACAGTAGTTATAAAGTAATGGTTAACTTTTTTATGGTCCACAAAATATAATTCAAATGCATATACATGTAAAATATAAAAATACATTGTACAAAATTATTCAAATGTAAAATCAGATAAGGAGTTTCTGTACGGACAGAACTTTCACGGACACACACATAAAAACGCTACATTTAGCTGATGCTAGTGGTTGCTGCGGGGGTATTTTTCACAATAGCATTAAGAAGAAAATAGAATAAAATAGTGATTGAACTTCCACAATATGAATGCATTGGCCGACTTGCGTTGTTAACTTGTTTCCGTGTCCCGTGCACTGATGATGCGGTCTCTGAATCCAAGTCTGACTCCTCCATGTTCTTAAAACAGGGAGCACTCCTCCGTGCGCTCGCTGCTGTTCGCCTGGACTTGTTGCATGTGATGCACAATGCGTGGATGCAACGTTTTCTTTGTTGCTATTTTTTACCTTATGACGTAATATGAGAAAGTATTTATTCCCATGATTTTCAGAAAGAGTATTCTGAATACGCACACCGTTACATGTATTCTGTTCCCCAACAGAATCTTAAATCTGTATCCATGGATCTCTTATAATATACTGTATATGTCTGTATGTAACAGTGCTGTGGCACCAGGCAGAAACAGCTCTGTGTGAAACAAGCCTCACAAATACTCCCGAGCACCACAGTTCCACATGGTTTTGAGGCATTATGATAATTTAGCAAATAATCGAGGCAAAGAAATTGTAATTAGAGCTATTTTTTTATTGAAGAATTCTATGACTTATTCTTCCAGCCCTTTTCCCTTTCCTCACTTCACTTCACATTATTTTCAATATCCACAAATCCACTTCTAAGGAACAAAGTATGGATGTCTTTATTACAGTTCAATCACTAGTGTTTATTTGGGTCTTATCATATCTGGCACATTTTTCTCCGGTCACTCATTTCTGCCTCCCCTTTCTCGCTTTGGCTGATCCTGCTGCCTCCTCTCTGTTATTGGGTTCTTTCCAAAATATACTTCAAAGTAATGACCAACTTAAATACTCATTTTGGTCATTAATGTTAATTTAGGACAGATATATAGAGATTGGCTTTAAGATGTTACAACATGTGCCTGAACCGAACTAACCTCATAAAACCGGGTTTCTCACAATTCAAATATATACAATTCAAACTGAATAATAACCCTCTGGAGTGACTCTTGGTGAAAATGGGGCCTTGTAGATTTGGATGTGTTTATCTGCTCTATCTATCTAGATTTAGATGTATATACAGAATACCAAATGAAAGCTTTTTTTTAGTATTTAAACCTCACCTTCCTCCTCTGGTCCTCCTCGTCAAGAAGTCGCGCCTGCAGTTGTCGTACCATCACCTGCCTCTTCCACTCTGCGATGGGACGTCCCCTCTCGTCATGGGTGGGCACCAGGTAGTCAATGTCAGAGAGGTTAGCCTCTTCCGTGGGCAGGACCACCATCTTGTTCTAGATTTAAATGAAGACATTGCCTTTCAAATGATACAAAAATAAAAGATAATGTTCATAATATATGTTGTGACGGAGCGGGTCCGTCTGTAGTTACGTGCGCGGACTGAGTTTTAAAGTAAAGGCTGACTTTAGTGCCGCATGCGCCACACGCGCACCTGCACGCACACACACACGCCATTCCAAACGCGCGCACCCCTTTTTTCCCTCCGTTCCATTAATGCTTAACATCCACACGCATCATCCATACTCTTGTCCCTCTCTTCCCTCAGTTACTAGTTCGCCCAATGGTGCACACTTGTGCGGGCTAGAAATACATTTAGGCATACATTCACGTACCGGTCTGTCGCGCTCCTTTGCATCTGTGCGCAAGGATCAAACCAGGACCATACTTCCTGGTGGGTTAAATGCGCCCTGGGAGCGTGGGGAATTGTCCCCAAGATTAAATGTACTTATAATGGCCTAATGTTTCATTGTAGAGTATAGTTTTATGTGTTGGACCAATAGGGAATGGGTCCATATATGTATTCTCTGTTTATACGTCCTATTTGTAATAATTTATTTTGCTCAATGGGAGGGGCAAAGGGGACTATAAAGGAGAGCCGTGTCTGGCACCTGTCAGTCTGCTGCTGGTTACAGAGGAGGTAACTACCTGGACTCATTAAAGGTGACCTATGTGTCCGAGTGGACCTGTTGTTTTTTTCTGCTAAATTCACTGTACATATAGAGCATATGTATATACTGCCTGCACCAATTTTTATGCACTTTGGGGAAAATAAAAACACGAATAATCACTGCAATCCGAGCTCGCCTGTATTTTTTCTGAAGTAACCCACGACATAGGAATAATATATAATAAGATATATACATAAGGTTTGTAGTAAAAAACAGCAAGGAAAAAAGGTTTCACATGCAGGATTAAAATGACTGAAATTCTTTTCAACTGGCATGAACTCATGCAAGTGGAACATTGCATATGCTATATTAATTCCAACATGCATGGTGTTGTTGAAGGCATGCTGTTGTGAAGAGCATACATTGACCACAGACATTCATAAAACTAAGTTAGAGGCAATACTTTTAGTTTTAAAGTCCACAAAGTTATAGTCGAAGGACTTAGAAGGTCATAGAATTCGAAAAAGGATATGAGACATGTGGGATGGGATGGACGTTAATTGTGGCAATTTTTCCCCGAATTTTAAGATAATAACATGGATGGAGCTTAAAACAACTTTCAAAAAGAAAGAGTAATGTAACTTGGTAAAAAAAAAAGAAAACAATTTTTTCAGTGTTTTTTGGTGGCAGAGTTCTGTAACTTACAGTTTGTCCAGTGAAAGCTCCTGATAACCCAGATTGCTTGAGGGACGTGATAGATTTTGCAAGGTTTTTGTTTTCGCCCAGAAGGCTTGTTTTAGGGCCCTTAAGGTCCAGAACAACCTTCTCACTCGCTTCATCTTTGGGCTGATCCGAACTTTTAATAACTGCAACACAAATAATAAAAGGTCACCTTTCAAAAGGGCATCACATACTAATGTTTGCTCTTAACTTTACAACGTTGACTTGAGTGGCCTCACCAGTTGAGGAGACTTGTACTTTTTCAATTTTTTTGGAAAAGCTCTTGTCGATCAGTAATCCTCCAACCAAGGTGGGACCAGCGGAGGACTGCGGGTACCTGGCCTGGGGGGTGTCCTCGCTGTCAGGTTGCTGCAATAAAATTGCAAATAATAAATGAAAAAAGACTCTAATATTGCCAACATTTACATAGACAATGCAATTCTGATCATGATCTGCTTTCTGTAAACAAGCAACACACTTCAAACCAGAGGCTTTATCTGGTCCTCTATTTTTTTCTTGGTAACGAAGCTTATCTATTATTTTTTCAATCAATCAATGTTTATTTCAGAACATGACCAACACAAACCCACCTGTAAAAACAACAATATCAACTATTCAATAGCAGGATTAGCACGATTCATTCGTGCAGAAAGCGTCCATGCCTGTCACGGCCTCGTCAGCCAAACCACCACATATATATATATATATATATATATATATATATATATATATATATATATATATATATGTATATGTATATAGATATATATATGTATGCATTTTTTTCTCTGAACACAGCAGTGGAAAGCTACCTCCGACTACCACCAATAATTCACCAATCAATCTCAGTGGGGCTGCTGTATTCCTGGTGTTCTACCAGCATTTCCAGTGTTCTCACAGTACTGACTGCTTCTGAGATACGAGGAGATCATATTCAAATCCAGATGTAGTTTAACAGACAACAAGGGTTATATATAGAAATCAGAGAGCAGAAACTGAATAGAATAAATCTTAAATTATTGGTTTGACCTCATAAATCCAATGCGAGCTTTATACAAGTTACCTTTAAACTATCCATGGATTTGTTGATGGAGTTTTTGATACCACATGAGTTTCCAAGGGAGCCGTAGTAATCTGCTCTGCTTCGCTGCACTGAAACTGGCCTTAACTTCACTTCCTCTTCCGATGGAGCCTTGACCACGGTGGGATTATCAGCAAACGAGACCTGAAAACAAAAATTATTGCAGGCGGGATGGGCTGTCATCTGGTGGTGGGAGGATGAGGGGAGATGGAGGCAAGGTGAAAAATCCAAGGACTGGATCCATAAGAGTCTTATTTACATGACATGTTTTGTTATGACTTCCAAATTCCCACTGAATCAGATGCCAAAATAACAGCTTAATCATTACATTAGACCAGGCCGATCAAGACCATTTTAGTGGTCACAAAATTACTTATCACAGTAACTTGCAGCATTGATGTAATGGGCTACTAAGGCATGTTATACTATGGCATGTTATGCTATGGCCTGTCATACTATGGTTTGTTATACTATGGCACGTTATACTATGGTATGTTATACCATAGTATAACAAGCATGATTCTGTTCTAAAAGGTCAGTCTTCAAATACATCTGAGTTCTGGTTGAAATCAAACCTTCTAAAAAATAAAATCCGAACTCATGTCAAATACAGTTAACTTGTCAAAAACCACAATATGTAAATAAAAAACGTGTATACCACTTTTAGACACAGTCACGAGTGGCGCCGCTTTGACTCTGTATTGGAATGGGCACGGAACTGCTTTGATACTTCAGCATTAAACCAAATTAACAGTGGTAGGTAACTTTCAATATCTGATCCAAGTCCAAGAGCACATCTGGACTGTGAGGGGAAAAGCATGTATAGAATGTGCATTGTTGTATGTCCCAGCACAATAAATGCATTTGAAACTCAGGCCGCAGAGTAAATCCAAACTTCAAAGATCTGTCGTGCTCTGAGAGGCCCGCGCTGTTTCCTCTCACGGCACTTTGAAGTCGAGCTGAAATACTGCGATAATGGGACACTGATCGAGAGGGGGAGTGGGACGGGGGGAGTTGAGCAATCCATGAAACATATAAACACGGAAGAGGGGACTTTGATTTGTATTAGGAGGTCAAGGGCTTACCAGAACTCCAGTTGAATATGATTGATGTCAAAATCATTTCTAATTATAACCAGGACAGCGAAGGTTACTCAACTCACTGATGAATTATTAAAAGAACTATACAGAGCCAAAATCACATCCTAGTATAGCATTTTTAATGACAAAGACACCATTACCTCACCTACAAACATGTCAGAATAGAATCATTATAGTATTTTTTTGAGAGTTGGTCTACCTAGGAACAAACTTAAATCAATGGTGCATGATTGAGTGCCTCTGGAAACATACATCCATCCATCCATGTTCTTCCCCTTAATCCATTTCTGGGTGGGGGGAGCAACAGCCTCTCACTGATCCTCCTGCAGGTGTTGAGTCCACAGGAGCTGAGATCTTTCAGTGGGGGCTTCAGACAAAGTGGGGTTAAGTGTCTTGCCCAAGGACACAACAACAGCAATCATCAGTGGGAGTCGTGAAGTAGGTCTTGTGGTGGGCTTGAACCCACAACCTCCAGGCTCTAAGGCCAATGCTCTACCAACTGAGCCACTGTCGCCCACGGAAACATACATATGGTACTAAAATAATTACATGACATTAGCATTCTGACAATATAGTATGTATAACACAGCAGTATCTCAAATAACAAAGCAAGAGCAGGATTGCTGTCAGCCAGACAGCAACATTCTAAAAAGTTTACTAGGATTTTCTTCTTTTATTCCACTGAAGAGATTCATTTGATTCTTATTAGTGAGGTCGCTGATCTTTGCATATATTTGCTAGTGCATTATACTCAACTGGATTTCGTGATACCAAATGTTGTTTTATCTAAAATGTTCCATAGTGGTATATTCAAGCTATACTTAACATTTCAAATCACAAAAATAACAACGTAATCAAATGCATGTATCTAGTTCCTAGTTCCTAGCTTTGTGCAATATGGGAATTTTAACCCATGGCCTCATGCTGCTAACATGTGCAGTAGTATCACATGCTGCTAACATGTGCAGTAGTATCACATGCTGCTAACATGTGCAGTAGTATCTCATGCTGCTAACATGTGCAGTAGTATCACATGCTGCTAACATGTGCAGTAGTATCACATGCTGCTAACATGTGCAGTAGTATCACATGCTGCTAACATGTGCAGTAGTATCACATGCTGCTAACATGTGCAGTAGTATCACATGCTGCTAACATGTGCAGTAGTATCTCATGCTGCTAACATGTGCAGTAGTATCACATGCTGCTAACATGTGCAGTAGTATCACATGCTGCTAACATGTGCAGTAGTATCACATGCTGCTAACATGTGCAGTAGTATCACATGCTGCTAACATGTGCAGTAGTATCACATGCTGCTAACATGTGCAGTAGTATCACATGCTGCTAACATGTGCAGTAGTATATCATGCTGCTAACATTTACAGTGGTATCTCATGCTGCTAACATGTGCAGTAGTATCACATGCTGCTAACAAGTGCAGTAGTATCTCATGCTGCTAACATGTGCAGTAGTATCACATGCTGCTAACATGTGCAGTAGTATATCATGCTGCTAACAAGTGCAGTAGTATCTCATGCTGCTAACAAGTGCAGTAGTATCTCATGCTGCTAACATGTGCAGTAGTATCTCATGCTGCTAACATGTACAGTGGTATCTCATGCTGCTAACATGTACAGTAGTGAATTAATTTTTTTGCTGTGAACATTGGAACCCTCAGAGCTAAAGATGCATTACCTTAATATTAGAGTGTAGAGTGAATTACAGATTATCTACAGATGTATACATACAATGTGGGACGACTAAAGGATCTTTTAATCGTAATCCCAATCTCAAAACATCACCATGCTAATTTACAAGCCATACATGCAGAGAGGAGCGCAGTAAAACACCTTTAATTGAATATTTTTTAATAGAAATCTCCCTGGAAACTAGCATATTGAGTAGACAGTTTACTTCCATTTTGTAGAATATTTTCAAGAATCACATGGGCCTCTTTTAAAATACAAATTAGTGCACTGTGTAGAACTGACACTGAGAAAATAGAGCTCACATTGTCGAGCAGGTGGTGGAGAATTAGTCACAGTTAACTGTAAAAATCAATCAAAAATAGAGCAAATTACACAATAACATCTGTTGTTGTTACAGGAAACATGTACTTAGGACAATAATTATGAGCCCGAGTTCCCGAAAGAGACCAGAAAAACAAAGAATAACTTGACAAGACTCAGTGAAGATGCAAATAGAAACATGTGCATAATTGTCAAAAACACTGAAGGACAAATCATCAGCCTGTAAAAGTAAACAGGCAAAATCATATTTTATACAACAGAGGGGAGCAGGCCAATCAGTTCATAAGACAAAGTAATAACAAACATTGTAAGCTGCCAGCTACACACAACTACACTGCACAAATACCACATTTAGGATTCATTCAAAACAAAAAGGAATAAACACACAACTAATTTACTTTGAATGAGACAGGATAACCAAGAAAATGCAATATAACAAAAAGCAGGCAAAACTCACTGCTATAGCCCAAGGGAGCTCTGTCTCTTCAATCCAATGCCCAGTTCAGACCCAACCGAGAATCCTGGGAAGCCACGTCTATCAGGGGAGAACACGACACTATCTCACAATCGCCGACCACTCGCTTGACACCGTCCCGTGCATCTCTGCCTCTGTCCAAGGCCCGCTGCGCAATAAACAATAAACTCAGATCGCCAATTGCCTTGAATTATTGATGGCCGGGGATAGAGTGGCTCGCTAATGTCGCTAATGCATGGATGGACGAACCAATTGCCATGTTGAGGCACGAAGGGGAGGTATCAGCGGAAGACTTGTCAAAACAACTGGAAAAGAGACATTTTATCCAACTCCTACATGTTGCATTTTCCATTTGGAGCAAGTGGAAAACAATTTGTTTAATGGTTGAATTGATAGGCTTCCCTGGTGAGATTAGACATGAGAGATGACAAGGTTGAGTGGTAACGAATGAAAATCTTCAAAACAAATTCAAATGTGGTTTATTTAACTCTTTTTGAAATTGTTATGAAACCACAGACACAATGAACTACTCACATAAAAATCCAAAAATGACAAAAAACACATGTTGACTCTGGTTCCTAATTTTGGAAGAATTAAAAATATGAATAACAACTACATAAATACATCTTTTTTTTTCTTTCATCACATTTTTAAATCCCTCTACTTTATTGGATGTAGGAGTGTACCAAAAAAAAAAAAAAACCATGAAAGTGAAAACTAGTGACAGAACCAAACTGTTTAGAGAGCGAGGATATACTAGATGGATTGCATGTCATTGTAAAAACATTTGTGGGTTTGAAAGTTAAGTACCGCAGCTTTCATTCAAAATCCACACATTTCCAATTCACCTGCGCAGTGACAAAGACAAAAGTTTTGCGTTACAGACAGGAAACACGGCCCGATCGTCCCAGTAACACACTGATGCGTCTCTAAAAATAGCCGCTCTAGTCTTCTCCTTCACGTCTCACGTCAGGATACTGTGGATTTGATCGCAGCTGAATACAAGAAGCACAAGAAGCACAAGGGGCACGTGATCCGGTGACCTGAGTGTGTGAGAGATCGAAAGATTTGGGAACGAGCCAAAACAACACAGACGCAAACTTGGGTCTTGGATGCTTTTAGGTCAATCTCCGGAGATGAGTCAATCAGACACCCGAAACTGGTGATTAGGAGAGGACTACGTGGGAAACAATGTAATGACCATGTTGTCGACAGAACACGGTGAGAAATGACTAGCTAGGGTCACAACCTGCCATAGAACTTGTCCGTACACGCCTTGTTTTTCCTCGTTTGTGCGATGTTTGATACTGTGTGTATGTGAGACAATCTAACACGTTTTTGCTTTAGAAAACTCTACATCCTCAGTATTTGCCTCTATCACAGCTTTGAACTTTGAACTGGAGTTGGACCTCCCATAGACTATAGTATGACCACCCCAGGCCAACCAATCAGCTTGCAAGCAAAAACAAGAAAAGTTCAAATTGTGTTCTGTCAGTGTGTCCCAGGGCAACTGTGGCTACAAAAATAGTTCACCATCACTGTGTATGGAGTGGGTGAATAATGCTGAAAAGCTTCTTTAAGTGTACAAAAAAGCGCCATATAAAACCATACGGTTCTAATTAAAGACGGGGTACCTTTTTGATTAATTAAAAATGCATTTTGTTTGTCTCAATACAAAGACTTTTCTAAATGTTTTTCTTTTTTTCTTTTTACAAAATCAAACAAATTACAGCACAACATGCTTTCTTTATGTTTTGATTCATAAAAATAATCTTTTGCATAATTGTTAGAAAGGCCGAGAGCTGAGAGTGGGTGGTCCTCTCTTTTTCACATTTCTGTCCGAAAAAGGTGTCATGGAGGCAAACAATACATGTATGTGAAACTTAGTGATAAAACCAAACTCTTGTGGGAGGTACAGTATGATAGTTAGATAAGGTTTAAAGTCCATTATAGCATCTTTAAGCCATGCTCCATATTTCAAACAACTAAAATGTCCAATAATTCCGCTTGTATCTATTTTCAAACAAAAATCACAAATCTAATAATACAAAAAAATTTGATATTTTTCCAAGACCCTGTTCTTTGATTTCACTGGGAAATAAAGCTTGACACACAATCAAAGAGAAGGCATTGACATCCTGCTCTCCAGATCCCTCAGATTGGGTTGCCAGTTCCAGTCATAGAAACGGTGAAAACGGTGAAACTTAAGCTTGTGGATCTCATAGCGGACTCGAACGTGGGACTTCCACCTGAGAGGGGTAAGCGATAGGGCCGTAGCTTTGGCTCTCATTGTTGAAGGGTGATTATATTTGCAGCTTCAAATTAAATCTTAGTGAATGCACATCCCTCTGTAACTAATTCATGCTTTGCTTCTGCCAGACGCCTTTCATTAGTTTGGTGAATATTGATGCTGTCAGTCTGAGGCGACGAGTGAAGTGTGATGTGGAAACGTTTCAACAGGTCAACAGTGTCCCTATTGGACTTTTCCATCACGGTCATTTAGAAACGGGAGCCAAAATATGTGCTGCTGTGTTGTTTTGTTTTACTTAAGTTGAGAGCCAGAACGACATGGAAAATGACATTCATACTGCATCATGCCTTAGTTTACAGGTAAACCAGCTTTAATGAATGCAACGTTTCCCAGTCCCTTGGCTACTGATTTTCCTGGTATCAGTAGCCAACTTTACGTCACTACTTATTTTTCTGAAAACTTTCTTAATGTAATACTCATGTACTACTTCAAATCCAGTCATCTGTACTTTTTACTCCTTTCTTATTTGAAAGACTAGTTACTTTGCAGATGGTGAAACAACATAAAAAACCAGGTTTGAAGGTGTTAGCCATGTTTCTAAGTTCCACCCTGCTGTGGTGGCATCGGGCGACAGTGCTGGTTGTCTGAGGGGTTGAGACGTGTGAATGTGGATGAATGAGTGTGTGATCAGACACTGTAGTCAACCACCCTCCTAGACAGAAATGGTTATCTATGGGTAGCAATAAAAAGACTACTCAATAAAAATAATAGTAACAGACACTCATAGACGCTTCACATGTCATTATTCTTTCACTGATAAACTACTACTGTAGCCACAGCTGCCCTGGGGCACCCTGACAGAAGCGAGGCAACCAGTATGTGCCATCGGCCGCTCCGACCACCACCAACCATTCACACACACACCAGAATCATTCTAGGCAATGTGGGAGTCTCTTGCCTAAGGACACAACGAAAGTTGGTGTTCCCAGAGGTCTCCCATCACAGTGCTAACCCAGACCCTGCAATATCAGAATCTCCAAAATCCAATAACATTATCTCCCACTGTTACAGGGAAGATGTACAGAAGATGATAAAGATAAAGATAAAGATATCGAGAACTATACTGGCATAGTTATCGATATAAGATCAAAGATCCAGTCAGCGAAGCCCTTTCTATGATGGTGTGCTCCTGAATGGACAAAAAATAGTTTATTCATAACCAGCTTTGCTGAATGTGAACATACTAGTATCAGAATAATAGGCTGCTTCATCAAAACCATTTACACATTGCCAAAAAGCTGTCCCTGAAGCCTTTTCAATACTCATTAGAAACTTTATACCCTCATTATCATCAATCAAACCAGAAGATGGTTTGTTTTCCTTGTGTCCTGTTTTGACCCTGGCACTAAGAGCACAAACAGGGATAACACTGAAATATTCATTGATCGCATTAAGGCGATGTCGTGCTTAAAGAACAAAAGAGCCGACTGCAGAGAGCCCTCAAATGAAACTGAGAAGATCCAGCTCTATCAGCCTTAGTGGACTGTTCAACACGTAACTATACAAGTAATGATTAAGAAACATTTGGATCAGAAAAACAACAGATATTAGGAATCTCATACTGTCGACATTGCCAGAATTAAAGCAGAATTAGTGTCTAAAGCAGTCTTGGAGATTCTTATCCATGCATTTGTCTACATTAGGTTAGTCTACTGCTCGAGTCCTGACTAGAACCAGAAAGTAAGACCACATTAGTCCAGTTCTCAGGTCTCTGCACTGGCTTCCTGGGACTCAGAATATAGACTAAAGCAGCTCTGCTTGTTACAAGTCTCACCATGGCCTCGCACCAAAGTATCTGCGACATGTAAGTGCCATATGAATAGTCAAATTTATGATGTGTCCATAAATGGTTCTGGAGATTCTTGACAGAGCTCTTAGAATAGTAAAATACTCTTCTGGCTCTTGGAAAAGCCATGTTCCAGCTTCTTCCCACTGATAGAAGATATTGCTCAATGCAGGACATTTCAATATGCTAAAGGCTTCTTTCCACAAGCTGTTATCGGCTGTTTGCTTGTTTTATGTATGTACTTCTCTGGTGGCCACTGGGGGCTTTTACACATGTATTCCAATGTGGTTTTACTGCAAAATAGCAAATAAACTGAAATACTGAATATTAATCTAAATCTGAGAGTTGTGTAACTGAAGACATTTCTGATTATTAGTCTTTCCACAATGGAATAGAGTGACTAAACTAATCAAAGCTGATCATTTTGAGGTATGAGGTTATGTAGCAGTGACACTTACACGATTCTTTGAGAAATGCAGGTACTTGGCACAGTCGCCGTGGCCGTTGTACTCTGCCAGGTCTGCAGCTGTGAACCCGTCCACATCCTTCTCTGTGGCTGCAGCTCCGTGGCTCAGAAGCAGCTTACAGCACTATCACAACAACAGAGCGTGTCAGTGTAATGTATTATAGAGGGAGCCTCCTTCACCTTTTTCTTTTGGAGTTTGATGATTCTGAACCTTGGGATGTACACATACACTGCAAAAAATGACAACATTTGAGGTAGTTAAAGGCTAGAATCAAGTGGGTTGAATCTAAATTTGTATAAAATCTGACATTCAGCATTATTTCATGAAATGTTGCTTTATTTTTTCATTCCAAGGTAGACATTTCTTGTATCTTTTTAAAACAAGGTGATGTTTTGTCCCATTAGTAAGTCGCGATTTTAGGCAGTCAAAATGTGCTCAAATTAAGATCCATGTTGCCAAATTTGAGAATTTTCTGACTTATTTTTCGTCACTTTTTGCAGTGTATATTCCAGATAATAAGATTAAGATGAAGGTATCCTATATTCATCCCACAGAACAGTAGAAATGAGGAGCACACAATACAAGATAAATACCGTAAAACCATACAATTCAATAAATCTCTATATTTAGCTTAATAAAGAATCAAAGTATAAAAGTATACATACAGTGCCTTGCGGAAGTATTCGGCCCCCTTGAACCTTTCAACATTTCGCCACATTTCAGGCTTCAAACATAAAGATATACAAGTTAAAATTTTTTGTCAAGAAACAACAAGTGGGACACAATTGTGGAGTGGAACAAAATTTATTGGATAATTTAAACTTTTTTAACAAATAAAAAACTGAAAAGTGGGGCGTGCAATATTATTCGGCCCCCTTGCGCTAATACTTTGTAGCGCCACCTTTTGCTGCAATTACAGCAGCAAGTCGCTTGGGGTATGTCTCTATCAGTTTTGCACATCGAGAGACTGGAATTCTTTCCCATTCTTCCTTGCAAAACAGCTCGAGCTCAGTGAGGTTGGATGGAGAGCGTTTGTGAACAGCAGTCTTCAGCTCTTTCCACAGATTCTCGATTGGATTCAGGTCTGGACTTTGACTTGGCCATTCTAACACCTGGATACGTCTATTTGTGAACCATTCCATTGTAGATTTGGCTTTATGTTTTGGATCATTGTCCTGTTGGAAGATAAATCTCCGTCCCAGTCTCAGGTCTTTTGCAGACTCCAACAGGTTTTCTTCCAGAATGGTCCTGTATTTGGCTCCATCCATCTTCCCATCAATTTTAGCCATCTTCCCTGTCCCTGCTGAAGAAAAGCAGGCCCAAAGCATGATGCTGCCACCACCATGTTTGACAGTGGGGATGGTGTGTTCAGGGTGATGAGCTGTGTTGCTTTTATGCCAAACATATTGTTTTGCATTGTGGCCAAAAAATTTGATTTTGGTTTCATCTGACCAGAGCACCTTCTTCCACATGTTTGGTGTGTCTCCCAGATGGCTTGTGGCAAACTTTAAACAAGACTTTGTATGGATATCTTTGAGAAATGGCTTTCTTCTTGCCACTCTTCCATAAAGGCCAGATTTGTGCAGTGCACGACTGATTGTTGTTCTATGGACAGACTCTCCCACCTCAGCTGTAGTTATCTGCAGTTCATCCAGAGTGATCATGGGCCTCTTGTCTGCATCTCTGATCAGTCTTCTCCTTGTTTGAGATGAAAGTTTGGAGGGAGGGCCAGGTCTTGGTAGATTTGCAGTGGTCTGATACTCCTTCCATTTCAATATAATTGCTTGCACAGTGCTCCTTGAGATGTTTAAAGCTTGGGAAATCTTTTTGTATCCAAATCCGGCTTTAAACTTCTCCACAACAGTATCTCGGACCTGCCTGGTGTGTTCCTTTGTCTTCATGGTTCTCTCTGCGCTTTAAACAGAACCCTGAGACTATCAAAGAGCAGGTGCATTTATACGGAGACTTGATTACACACAGGTGCATTCTATTTATCATCATCAGTCATTTAGGACAACATTGGATCATTCAAAGATCCTCACTGAACTTCTGGAGTGAGTTTGCTGCACTGAAAGTAAAGGGGCCAAATAATATTGCACGTCCCACTTTTCAGTTTTTTATTTGTTAAAAAAGTTTAAATTATCCAATAAATTTTGTTCCACTTCACGATTGTGTCCCACTTGTTGTTGATTCATGACAAAAAATTACAATTTTATATCTTTATGTTGAAAGGTTCAAGGGGGTCGAACACTTTCGCAAGGCTCTGTATATAAGATAAAACCTGTATACTCTAGTGCAGTGTTTTTCAACCAGTGGGCCGTGGCATTTTATTGTGCCTTGAGATATTGTTAGCTGTCCCTTGTTTGATGTTATTAATATTACACTTTGATGAGAATGGTTTTGCTATGATCATTAAAGTGATAGTGTGGAACTCTAAATTAATTACAAATTTCAAGAATTGTATTAAATTGACCTCCTGGCCTTAAATGTTGATATAAAATAAGTAATTTTATGAATTCTAATATTACGGGTAAGTCCCGCTTTCCCTTCTCTTAGCTATAGCTCATTATCCACGATGCCGTCCACGTTGACCAATCGAGTCATGCCAAGGGCTGTCAATCATCGGTGCTGATGCTCGTAGTTGCGCGCATGCTCAGTTGTTTGTTTTTACGGAGCCTCCGAATCAAGGCTCTGGAACTACATGAAAACTGAACAAAGAATTCTGAACATCCGCGCTGAGTTACCCATTAATATACTGAACCTATATCCATAATCAGATCCTCTGCAGATGTGTCCTATAATATTCAATCCATGATAATAGCTACTTCCGGGTTTGCCGCGGTTTTTTGTGTGCATTAAAACATAATTTTTGTCATAAAAACGTTAACAAATAATTCTGAAAACCTCCGTGCATGTGTATTAATAGTGTATATGTATAATGTATTTTCCGATTAACATTTAAATGTGTTACGGAAACGTAGGTGTAGATCAATCAGAAAGGAAAGGGGAGGGAGCTTGCGTCGTTTTTTTTCAAATCAAGTACCTTTTTCTCTTTTTTTCCGACAAACTCCGGACAATCACTTTAAGGCTACAGAGTGTCATTGTTGTATCAGTTTCAGCTGGAGGTGTACCATGTGATTGTTTTACATGAAAAAGGTGTGCTATGGCTCAAAAAGGTCACGGAACACTGCTCTAGTGGAAAGAAACTATAGCAAACTATCTGGAATCTGACCTGCACATTTTCTGTATTACAACTGAAATCTTTTTATCTGAAGAACTGAACCTATTTGTTCTGGCTCACATTGCTAACAATCTATATCTTTAGCATGCGTCAATAATATCTCAGGTGATGACCTCTTCGTTCTTATGCACATTGACACACATAATCAAAAAAATTGTTCAATCTGGAAGGACTCTAAACCGGGTTACAGGTGTGATCGCTGCTGCCTCCCTATGTTAGGGATTAGTATTCTTGCCTCATGGTCCTGGAATATCTTCTCACAACTTCTAAAATCAATGCAATAATGTGTGATATGTTATAAAGTGCAATAGACTTTAATTATGTAATTGTTTGAAAAAAAAAGTGACACTGGTTTCAGACATTATGAACATTCACCTCCAGCTCTCCGTTCTCTGCAGCGTCGTGCAGTGGAGTTCCTCCCCAGTGATCTCTCATGACCTTTGAGCCCACCTGCAGCAGCAACTCCAAGATACAATAGTGCCCCCTACTGGCAGCAAAGTGCAGTGCGGAGGCGCCTTCTCTGTCCTGAGCGCAGAGGTCCACGTCCGTGCGGGTCACCTGGAGGCAACGTGAAACAGGAGCTCATGAAGAAAAACGGCTGGTTTCACATGACATCAGAGCATCCCCTCGGTCTGCAATCTTTGTGATGTGGTCATGTTAAAAAAAAAGTACATCACATCACACTTCTATAGCATTCAACAGGGAACCGTGTAATGGGACTCCTACTACTACTCCTACTACTCCTACTACTAATACTATCACATTTGAATCATGAGAGAAGCAAATAATGACTAGTGAAATGTCAAAAGTGGGGGATTGAAATTATGTAAATGCAGGGTTGTAATTATGAATTATACTCCTACTGAAGTTTAAGTAATTTTGTAAATAATCAATATTTAAATAACATATCTCACAGACCAAGGTCACACAAAGGTGCTTTACAATTCTTGTTGTACCAGTTCATTCACTTCACACACCGAAGCAAGACCCCAAACACACCGACGAATCGGAGCCTATCCGACTATCATCATCCATTCACACATTTACATTCAGACCTATTGTACATGTTTTAGTGGTCGGGGAAATCAGAGCACCCGGAGGAAACCTAGGGAGAACAGGCAAACTCCACTCAGAAAGGCCTGGAGGTGGAATAGAACCCAGGAGGTTCTCACCACTGCGTGAGTGGATAGCCATAGGGACCATAGTAGTGGAAAGTAAATAAATAAATAAGCTAGGAGAACCTTTTGCCACGAAATGGGGATATTTCAGTGTTGTTTAATTAATGTTGTAATAAAAGACGCCAAACAGAACAGAAACAGAAGAGGCAGTACACACCAGCCACAGCACGATGTGTCGATGCCCCAGATGAGCAGCCGCGTGTAGGCAGCTCATTCCATCATGAGCCCTGAGGTTCACGCTCGCTCCACACTCCTCCACCAGGAACTGAGCCAGACACTGATGCCCCTCCTGACAGGCCAGGTACAGCGGAGAGGCCCCCAGCCCAGTCTGGCGGTTCACTGTCCTGAGGAGAACAGAAAGACAAGTTTAATCAACTTTTTTTTTTGAGCGCACAATGCCGTTCACTTTAACCAATCAAGTGATGCCAAGGGCTGTTAATTATCACGCTTGTATATTATTTGAATATTGAATATATAATATACATAAATATTCCAACAAATATATACAGCCCTAAATATTCGAAGCAGTAATGAGATGTAAGTGAGATGAAAGTGACAGGCGCTGAAAGCCTGTTGTGGCGAACTACTCTCTTTGTAATCTTTGTATTTTACACACCTGAATTACAAGCACAGAGTGCATTGCCAAAGGGCAGCAATCATTATTGGTTTGAGAGGTCCGTTATCAAGAAGTAATGATCGGTAGATCGTTTTGAAATCACATTCAAATCAATGGAGCCTTCTACTGCTGCTGCGAGGAGCTGTATAACAAATTCCATCTATCCATCTATCCAATTTCTCCTGCTTCATCTGTTGCCGGGTTGCGGGGGCAGTCGCCCAGACTTCCCTATCCACACACACTTCCTCCAGCTCGTCCCGGCAGACCCCAAGACATTCCCAGGTCAGCTGAGAGACACAGTCCCTTCAGCGTGTCCTGGGTCTTCCCCGGGGCCTCCTCTCGGTGGGACGTGCCCGGAACACCTCCCCAGGGAGGCGTCCAGGAGGCATCCGGAACAGATGCCCGAGCCACCTCAACTGGTTCCTCTCGATGTGGAGAAGCAGCGGCTCTACTCCGAGCTCGTCCTGTGTGACTGAGCTCCTCACCCTATCTCTAAGGGAGCGCCCAGCCACTCTGCGGAGGAAGCTCATTTCGGCCGCTTGTATCCGCGATCTCATTCTTTCGGTCATTACCCAAAGCTCATGACCAGAGGTGAGGGAGGAAACAAAGATTGGCCGGTAAATCGAGAGTTTCGCCTTTTGGCCCAGCTCCCTCTTTACCACAACGGTCCGATACAGCGACTGCATCAATGCGCACGCTGCACCGATCCGCCTGTCAATCTCACGCTCCATCCTTCCCTCACTCGTGAACAAGACCCCGAGATACTTGAACTCCTCCACTTGAGGAAGGACCACACCGCCCACCTGGACAGGGCAAGGCACCTTTTTCAGGCACATTCTCATCCCAGCCGCTTCACACTCGGCTGTAAACTGTCCCAGTGCATGTTGCAGGTCCTGGTTTGTTGGGGCCAACAGGACAACATCGTCCACAAACAGCAGGGATGAAATCCTGTGGTCACCTTGGCGGAGGCCAACATGCACCGGGAACAGGTCTGACTTACTGCCGGCTATGCGAACGCAGCTCTGGCTCCGTTCATACAGGACGGCCCTCAGCAGAGAACCCCGGACCTCGTACTCCCGGAGAACCCCCCAAAGGACACCCCGGGGAACACGGTCGAACACCTTCTCCAAATCCACAAAGCACATGTGGACAGGTTGGGCGAACTCCCATGAACCCTCGAGTATCCGATGGAGAGTATAGAGCTGGTCCAGTGTTCCGCATCCGGGACGAAAACCACACTGCTCCTCCTGGATCCGAGATTTGACCATCTGTCGAAGCCTCCTCTCCAGTACCTTGGAGTAGACCTTACCGGAGAGGCTGAGGAGTGTGATCCCACGATAATTAGAACACACAGAACTCTACTCTACCTGGTTGTCTTTCCATACGCTTTCGTATCTGGTACGGTATACTAGCAACCTACCTACAACAAACCAGAATTGTAATGGTCAATCAATCAGATATTGAAACATTTCTCAGTAAAATTCCAGTAGTTTTTGTACTGTATACATATTGTATTTTATCAATGATGAAGATGAGTTTTTCTCCTTTATCTGTACTTTTATATTGCACAATTACCAGTCAATATTATGCTGGCTTTCTATCTCCACTTTTCTCTTCACCTTGAGTTGACAGTGACGTTTGTGCTAGATGCCAGCTTTGAACTTTAATTACAGCTGAGATCACATGAGTAGATGTTGGAGCATGTATTTCCTTGTCACCGGAGAGAGGCTTAGGTCAGGGAATCACATGTGACCATCGACCCATGATGAATAATGTAAAGGTTGCGTTCATGTGACATCACACCATTCCAAAAATCAATACTCATAATAACATTTATGGACATTGGGCGTCCCTCTCCCTATGGACCAACGGCTTCTATGTGTTTGTTACTTATGCATTTCCTGTGAAGTGTTTGATTCTTACATCTGTTGGTGAATCACTTTGTAAAGTCCTCCGAGATTAAAATAAATGTAATTAAATTGAATTGAAAGAGCCGATAGTTGAAAATTGTGGGGGACGGAAGATGAAAACACTTTTATGGTAACTTTAGTAAGTCTGAACTCCTGGGCCAATCCACATGAAATAATAACATATCCTTTCCTAAATAATAAATAATAACATATTTAGGAAAGATCGACCACATAAAAAAGGAGGTGGGGTGATGTTGTATGTTAAAAAGACTATCGAATGTAAACAGATAAATCTTCCCCAAAATGATCTGGAGTGTGTGGGAGTTACAAGCTGTTTATCCCCCGAAATGTCTTTTAACTTGGTAGTCGTGTATAGGCCACCTAATGAGAAGGATGTATTTTTTGACATGTTTAAAGACGTATTAAAAGCATGTAGCAACAAGGAAACCATCGTAATGGGTGATTTCAACCTAAATTGGGTAGATAAAACGCGGTCCAATAAGCTAAGACACCTTGCTAAACAGTTTAATTTCACTCAAATTATTAAGAATCCAACCAGAATGACTAGCTCCTCAAAAACCTTGCTGGATTTGATTTTCACTAACAGGGCGGAAAGGGTTAATAAAACGTATAATTTAATAACTGGTTTATCGGACCATAATCTCACTCTAGTTTCAAGGAAACTCTCTAAATATCGTTATAGAAACCAAAATAAAGAAGGGTCCTATGTATCAGTTATTTCAAAGCGTGATATGGAGCTTTTAGATGCTGAAATTGAAACTACTATGCAAAATAATTTAGTTTTTGGCCAGGATGTCGAGCAGGCTTGTAGCACTCTTAAAAATGCAATCTCTCAAATTCTTCTAAAATTTACAAAAACAGAGCCACGAAGATTTAAAAGTAAAAAAAAATTACCGTGGTTCAGTGAGCGGCTATGGGTCCTAATGAAGGATAGAGATGCTTCCCTAAAAAAGTATCTCAAGTCAAATTTGAGAACTGACCGAATGATCTTTAAAAGCCTCAGAAACAAAGAAACTGGACAGCTTAGAAGAGCAAAAGCGGACTTCTTTTTGGACATTATTAAACAAGCCAAGGGTAATAGTAAAATTATATGGAAGTGCATAGACAGTCTCTCTGGGAAAGAGCGGACTGGAAATGGACCTATTGAACTTAACATTAACCCTTGTAATACTGGAACACTCACACCTGTAACACAAGTCACCACAAAGGACAGCTCAACTATCGCAAACATGTTCAACGACTATTTTATCTCTTCAATCTTGGAATTGCGTAAATCCTCAAGTACGGAGTTGCATTTAACATCATCTGCAGCCTCTATTAGGGCTGTGGCGACGCGGCCCACAGATGGACTACAATCCATTTCTGTGGAAGCTCTAGACTTTGAATCTGTGAGCGAAGGCGAGGTTAATAAAATAATTTCCTCACTTTCAAATTCGAGAGCCAAAGATTGTTGGGGATTTGATTCACTCCTTCTAAAAAAACATAAAGAGGTTTTCACTGGTCCAATCACGTACATAATGAACCAATCACTAAGAGAATGTGTGTTCCCCTCCTCTTGTAAATTTGCAGTTGTTACGCCCATTTTTAAGGCAGGTAACAAAAAGGAATTGATAAACTATAGACCAATTGGTATACTTCCTACTGTCTCAAAAGTTATCGAAAAAATTGTTGCGGAACAGCTGGTGGAACACCTTGACAATAGAAATATGTTACACCCCATGCAATTTGGCTTCCGATCAAAACATTCCACCGATACAGCCTGTTGTTATCTTCTTGAGGTGATTAAGTCCAATCTAGACAAAGGAGGGGTGGTTGGGGCCATTTTTCTGGATCTGCGTAAGGCTTTCGACACAGTTAACCACTCAGTGCTGCTAACAAAACTGTTGAATTTTAATCTTTCAGCAAACACTATTAGTTGGTTTCAATCTTACCTTGCAGATCGTTTTCAGTGCGTAAAAATAAATGATAAGATCTCACCTTTTAGCCCCTGCACTACTGGTGTACCACAGGGGTCTATCTTGGGGCCATTGCTTTTTTCTTTGTACATCAATGACCTACCTTCCATCTGTGATGATGTGGAGGTCTTGATGTACGCTGATGACACGGTTCTATTTACTCACAGCTCTGATGCAAATCTTGTCGCAGATAAATTATCTATAGCTATGAATAAAGTAAAAGAGTGGTTGAACAAGTCAAGCCTTACGCTGAATTCAGAAAAAAACTGTCACTATGTATTTTTCCAACAAAAGAAAGAGTGTTCTTCCAAATATCTATGTGGATGGTTTGATGATCAAAAATGTCCAAGAAATCAAGTACCTAGGTGTAGTGCTGAATCCTACCCTTAATTTTAAAAACCATGTTAAAAAGGTTTGCCGCGTTCTGAAATTTAACATCGCCAACTTCCAGCACATCAGGAGCTTTTTGTCATTGGAAGCAGCTACATCATATCTTAATGCAATGATTATATCTCATATCATGTATTGTGTGTCTTCATGGTCTCAAGCTAAAACAACGGTTTTAAACCCCCTTAGATCGTTGTATAACCAGGCTTTGAAAGTCCTGGATAAAAAGCCTCGCCGGTACCATCACTGCAATATACTTGAAAAATACAGCATACTAAGCTTTGACAATCTGATTAGGTATTCCAATGTACGTTTGGTTCATAAGATTCTTAATGATACTGCCCCACCCCCCCTAAAAACATATGTACAGCTTCGCTCACAGCTAACCAACAGAGCATTAAGATCTGTGTCCAGGGGAGACTGCAATGTTCCTAAGAGAAAGTCTGCCTTCTCTCAATCAGCCTTTTCCTACAAAGCCACTAAAGAATGGAATGGGCTCCCAGACAATCTAAAGAACAATGCAGATTTCCACAGTTTTTCACGGGCAGTTAAAGACTGGCTTTTAGATCAACAGTCCTGCTCGCACTAAAAGTACCAGATGGGTACTTGGCCATCAGGTGTTACCCTCGCGGGTATCGTCTGATGGCCACCACATCACCACATTATTAGTGTTAAAAACTATTGTATCTATGTGCTAAGTATGTATAGCTACAAAATAATTATGAAAACTGTTGCACTTTATCATTCTGCACTTTATGAACGCAACTGGCACTTTTCATCTGCACTTTTACTATATATTGCATGTTTATTGTCTATGTTTTGTATTGTAATTAACTCTGCTATGTATTTTAATTGTATTTTTGAAGGACTACAGATGGAAATTAGCATTGTGCTAAATCTGGGGCAGCCATCTTTTTAATGTACCTGTCCGTTGTCCTTTTAAATAAATAACTAAACTAATAACTGTTAAAAAATTATACATCTTCTTTCTCACTGCATAGATTCTATGGTCTAATTATTTTTTGCTAAAGCTGTCTAAAAGTGGTGACAATATTCAAAAATCATGCATGATCTTGTTGTTATCGACTAGTCAGCCCTTTTACATCATACAAAGATGATCCTCAATCAAATTCAAGTCATTTTTATCACACTTGCCATACATTTTGTAGCAATCATGTTCACAGTATATGTCTTTTCAGAATCAACATGTTTGGTCATGTTTGATTTGTTGAGTATTATGAATTTGTGTCTCTGTAAAATGTGGATATATCAAATGTCTCTCTATATAACTCTTTGCCGCCGCTTTGACGGCTTTCCGCTTTGGAAGTGTAATGACTCAATCATGTATGTTTTTGGTCTTCAAAATTGGGACTTTTTCTGTTTCTACATGTAGTTTATCTCTGCGTAATTATGTTTATGAAATTATCTCAATCCTAGACAGTATCAGAGCAAGTGCTAGATACCATAGCAACACACTGTTTACTTGCAGCAGTTGGAATTTACTTTTGCAGTATTTCAGTGATATTCACCAATTTTAACACTTACTAAACATTTTTTTTTAAAACCTAGCTAATTCTCCAAAGGTTTTCACTACTATTAAACTGATTAACACAGGGGCACTCATCTGCCCCTTATGGACCAATGGCTCTGTGTTTTTATTGTTGCATTTCTTCGTTCAACTGTTTGATTCTCTGATCTGTGTTGGCCAATTCAACGATATTGTTAAGTCCCCCAAGATAACTACAGTTGTGATTTAGGGCTATACAAGAATACATTGAATTGAACAAAAAACTTCAGAATTCCATTAATTTGAATGTGAGCCGCAAAAATGAGGTCTCCCTGAATTCTAGTAGTTTCAGAATTCTGGGCGTAAACCTTGAGGTAGATTGACTTTAGTTTTCGCTGACCTGGGAGCCTGTTGGAGGAGGAGTTTTAAGCAGGTGAGGTCTCCGTTGGCTGCAGCGTAGTGAACAGGTAAAGCTCCACAGTGGGTCTCTGCTTCAGCTGCTGCACCCACAGACAGAAGCCACTGAGTCACCTCCGCACACCCGAACCGAACCGAGAGGTGCAGGGCCGAGGCTCCTGCTGCATCTCTGTCCTGGGACATAGAGTACGATGGGATACAATAGACAATAACATAAACAACAACTACTGAAAAACTACAAGTAATATTCTTTCATCAGAATATAGAAGCCATATAAGGCCACTCATGGGACTACAGGTGAGATTAGATTCAGTCATACAGGTAAAAAATAATGGGAAACAAACATATGGGCCTCCCCAAAGTTATAAACTATAAACTATATAAACTATATAATTGAATTGAATATAACACAGACTCATTTCATGCAAAGTGCCAGAGAGGATGTGACAAAGCTAGGTTCAATGCAAATATGCTGTAAAGTGCAATCGTTTGTATAAAGTGCAAAATGTTGTTAAGGTGCTTCATAGCTGTTGGGAAAAATGTAGTTCCCAACCTTTTTGTCCTGCACCAAAGAGCCCTATAACCGACCTGTACTTTTTACAAGCTATGAGCAAATTATCAACGTCAACATATAAATGCCTGACGTATCTCATGTTGTTGTTATTTATTCGTTTAATAAGTTAAATTAGTTGGACTTTATATATTACGATATGTATGTACAATATTCAAATTTTTCCAGTTTAACCTGTTTAGTAAACTACAAATTCACTCAGTTAGATTAGAATACCCGTACAGTATGTAAGAGCATTGTTCAGCTTAGAGCAGCGCACATATCAACACTAATTCCTTTAAAATAGCATTGTTTACTTACATAAAGAGCCTAGAAAGCAAATGCATCAAGGATACATTTATAGTCGTTATTGTTGACTATACATAACCAGATATTGTTGAAATCGTTACGTTATTTTGAGAATTCAGCTCAATTCATTATTTTTTTCCAGTTGTATTTTCAGTTTCATTTTAAAAACATCCAGAAATGAAATGACTTTAATGTTACTGTCCAGCTAGTCTGATAAAACTATTAAAAGATAGCTGTGTAAAAAACATAGTTTGAAACACTAGTTGCACAATGAGTGAGTACTGAATGAATGATAGTACTTTAGCATTTACATAAGAAACATAATTCAACTCAATATTGCTACAATGCAGGAAACAAGAATAAAGCATTCCCCTTACAAACCAAGCTTTCTGTTTGTGTTTACATGTTGAATCGATTTGTGGTTACCTGCAGGTTTGAAGTAAACAAGTAAACACAAACAAATGAGAACTATTTCAAAAGAAGATGCTTCTCATTTCTCTGGCAATCCAGAAAACAGATTCATATATTATTCCAGGATCCACTGCACTAATCATTTAAATTAGAATACATTTACGTGTTTGTGCGTGTGTGTGTGTGTGTGTGTAACAAACAAACAAAAGAAGGAAAGGTGGTTTATATAGATTTGAATCCAATACCTGTTGCAATAATTATCAAGCATGCAATACATAACATAATACAGGATCAAAGAGGCCGGCAGTCATTTTAACTTGTGGTTTGAGATATATGGGGAATGTGAACAATCATTGTAGATAATTAACATTACAGGAGTCATTAACAAAGGCTGTCATAAAAGTGAATAAGTGGGTGTGGTGCCTCCACTACTGCTGTGATGTAATGGCAAAGAGAGAGGGTAGATCTTTGTGCCATTAGAGGATGATTTCTTACCCTCCTTACCTCTATCTGGCATCCTCCTCGTTCTATAAGCCACCTCAGCTCTCTCGTATGTCCGGTCGCGGCCGCATCGTGGGCCGCCGTGGCCAGATTCAAAGCCTGGGCATTCCCTTGAAGCCCAAACTCGAGGATAAGATACTGAAGGCACTCTAGCTGTCCGCATCTCGCCGCGTGGTGGACCGGACCAGCCCCATGTGCGTCCACGATCACAGGAGAAAGGTGTCCAGAAGAGGCGAGCTCCTTCAGGGTGGAAAGTTCTCCGGTTCGAGCCGCCTGGATGGATCTGTGCAGCACCATAACTGGAGGCTACAAGCAAGCTATGGCACGTGTTAAAACCAGGTCCATGCAAGCCTCAAAAACCTGACCATCTCATACAATAATAAAATACTCATCCCTGGCCGACGGGAAAGCGACACCGGAGAGGGAGGCAGATGGCAGGCATGCTGAGAGGAGGGGTGGAGGTTTTGTGACACTGATCCAAGAGAAAACGTGGAATATGAAGATGTACATTAGGTCTATGCTGCTAGAGCTCTGGTTGGCTACTGTCATTGGTGAAAAGGAAAAGTTAGTATGCCTTTGGAGAAGATTCTCCATTGGTAATGAGGCATCAAATTGATGCCTCATTACTTTATTTATATGATAAATATTCCCTCTAGAGATACTACACTGCAAAAAATGATGGCAAATAAATACAAATATTTCTCAAATTTGACACAATGTGTCTTAATTTCAGAACATTCTGACTGCTTTAAAACAGGATTTGCCAATCAGACAAGCAAAATGATCTTGTTTTAAAAAGATGCAAGAAATGTCTCCCTTGCAATGAGAAAATAAAGCAACATTTCGTGAAATCACACTAAATGGCTTCGTCCCATTGGGAAATCTTGTTTTAAGACAGTCAAATGAAGATAAAAAACCAATTGATTTGTTCATTAGCGTTTATTACCTCATCATTTTTTGCAGTGTAAACATTTAGTTTAGCATGACATGTTTGCTCTTGCACCATTTTCTTAGCATTAATCGTATTTAGTGACCAATTTTGTCTTTGGAAGGATGGTGGGTGGGATTTCAAACCACAAAAAATGAAATACCGGTGATACTTGTAAAATTACGTCATCGTTCAGAAGTTCATTTACTAATGTGTAAGTTGTCATGGTGTGGACTTTTTGGATTATTTTAACCTGGTTTTATTTACTTTTAGTTCTCTTGTATTTTGAGTTTTCCTGATTCCAGTGTGTCCTGTTGATTGTTAGCCCCGCCCTAATGTGATCCACCTGTGTCTCCTGTGTGTGTATATATACCCTGTGCTTTTCCCCACTTGTTGTCCGTCCATTGTCTCTACCAAGTTTGTCTTGTCTAGTTTTTCAGTTCTGGATTTTTGTGCCTTTGTCTCTCTGGATTTCGATTTTTATTAAATTACATTTGATTTTCAGCCCTGCATTTTGGGTTCCCTTTTTCTTCATGCAACCACGTGACATAAGTGACATAAATCTAGCCTTTTTTGCTATAATTGTGTTCATTATGGCTTTGTTTTTTACAAACTGTGAGCCACAATCATCAACATTATAACAGATAAAGACTTGATCTCACTTTCAGTTTCAATCAGTTTCACATTGTAAGTTTTTTTACAGAAGCAAATGGACTTTTGAACAATTTTTCAATGCAACAAAATGCATGTATTTTTGTCCTCTGTCACATCTTTAGATCAGCTTTTTAAGACAGAAAAGTGAAAAAAGAGAGTACCACCCCCACTCAGCCAATCAGCTCTCAGACTAAACCTTAAAATAGGACTCTCTCTTACATGTACACAAATTATAAAGGGCAGAATTTTGTGGCATAATATGTTCACAACATTTTTTACTATGTCTAATGGGGCCGATTTAGGTACTCCTGCTTTAACTCGACAAACATTCTGCTAATAGAATAAGTAATAAAACAAACTACAACAGTATTACGTTTACATTTGATAACAACCTTAATGTTTTCCATGAATGTAAAAGCTGCCCATAGAGAATGAAGGTAATGAAAGACGTGTGTTGAGTCTTTGTGGCACTAACCATCTGCTGGAGCTTTGCATGCTTCACTGGAGCTGGGAAACTTAAGCACTGAGAGAGTCAAGGCACGCTGCGCTACAAAGAAACAAAAGTTTTAGTAATGTTACTAAACTGTATCCCGCCGAGGGTGACCACTCATCTGGTTCATATTTGAGATGTCCAGTGTCTGCAGCTCATCAGGGAAAGCGTGGGTCTGGTTTCATAATGCATTTAGCTGATTACAAACATGAAGCCATGGAAAAACAATCTCAAAACAGCCTCCAGGTCACTCCAAAGTCATGGCCGTTTATTATCCATCTTAAATATTTTATTAGTTTACAGAATAACAACATTAGATAAGGAATGATGAAGTACCAACTCTATTGTCATGATCATATTGTATACAGTAGTTATGCAGGAGGGTCTAAGGACAGTGGTGATGAGCCAGGAATCTCGATATTCAACCGACATTTATGGACTTTATCAACAATTATGCACATTGGTCATCTGCCTCTTATGGACCAATGGCGCTATGTGTTTTTATCATTGCATTTCATGTGTTTGAACGGTTGGATTCTCTGATCTGTGTTGGCGAATCAACGGTTTTATTAAGTCCTCTGAGATAATCAATACCAAGCTATAAGGTAATTATTGCTTGAATCAAGTTTTTATCTTAATTTGAGTACATTCTGAGTGTTTTAAAACAATTTGCCAATGGGACAAAGCCATTCAGTCTTATTTCAAGAACTGTTACTTTCTTATTCCAAGGGAGAGCTTTCTTGTATCTTTTAAAACAAGATAATTTTGCTCTGTGCTTGAATTCAAATACATTATGCCAAACGCAAGCAATTTTTTACTTATTTTTAATCACTTTTTGCAGTGTATACAAGAATAAATTGAATTGAAATGACTAAGTAATCTTTATTTAAATAACGCCTTTCACAGACCAGAGTCACAAAGCGCTTATATATAATTGATGTGAAGGAAGGTAGTCGTACAGAAAGCGCATCTCAGACAGATTGTACATATTTAGGTAGTATTTATAGTAGGGGAAACTGGAGCACTCGGAGGAAACTAGGAGCAGAAAGGTCTGGAGGTGGAATCGAACCCAGGACCTTTTTTCTGTGAGGCACAAGCGATAACCACTGCTCCACCGTGCTTAGCATAACTACCCTTGAGTTAGTTATTGCGGTGAAACAACATAAAAACTGTCCATATGAATATTCACACATTTTTAACTTATACAAAAATAAATCAAACAGGGGCATTGCAACATGTGTTGGTATGTGAAATTTCAATACATTCTAGTTCATTTGTTCCAAGAGATTCACCACTCTCTCCAGATCCTCCACCACTGCATCCACGTCTTCTTCGGTCGTGCCTCGTCCAACGCTCAACCTCAACGCATTCGCCGCCACCGACTCGGAAACGCCACAGTTCAGGAGGATGTGGGAAGGTCTGAAAAGAGGAGGGGGATTACAGAACCATGTCTATGTCTGGAACCATGTCTGAAATAAAGTAAAAATGTACCTGTCTCCCATATCTGAGTGGCAGGCTGCACCAACACTGGCCAATAGACGTTCACACCCGGACAACACTCTCCAGCCTAAAAGGAAAGAGGGAAGCGGACAAAACAACTAAACCATGGGTGGTGTAGCTGCAGGTTTTCATTACAAACAAGCAGGAGCCCAAGTCTTCAGATTAAGACTTAACTCACTTGAGGATATCTGTGGAGTCTGTAGGAATATAAAATTCAGACATCCTTTATTCGTCCCACAGTAGGGAAATGTCACTGCTGTATCAATATACAGGTGAAACTTGGAAAATTTGAATATTGTAAAAAGTTTATTTGATCTATTATTATTATGTATTTATTTATTACCATTTGACTTAAATTAAACCAATCTATGATATAGGTTCATTACATACAACGTGATAGAAGGAAACTGATTTAGAGCCAGGAACTATCAGGATGGATTTTATTTAATTGTTCAAATGTTAGCAGTTTGATTGACATAACTGTTTTTACAATCTGAAATGCGTGTGTAACTTTTGCTGCCTCTGGTCCAGGACTCCCTTGAAAAAGTGGTTCTTAATCTCAATGAGACTTTCCTGGTTAAATAAAAACAAATTAATAGTTAGGAACTTTGAACCCAGAAATGAGGAATTGAATAGCAATGATAACAAGTCTATTCTGCTGTGATTAGACATCGAATATCATTAGGTGCATGTTCAAGTCCTGTTTTGACCAGTGGTGCTCATACTGTAATTACTATCGCACACAGAATCCTCCTTGTCTTCGGCTGAGGGACATGAATGATTGAAGAGTTTTGGGTGTTTACAAACGGCTCAGCAGCGCAGGTCATGAACTGACTCGGAGAAACATGGGCAGAGGTGAAGACAGAGGCAGACCTGTGTGAAGGCCGGCCCCCTGTAGTGACCGTTTGAACCCCAAGATAGCATAGACCTTATAGTTTCAGTGTTAGTGAAGCACCTTGTAAGTTTGGACCCAGGATGGACACGTTGCAGGTGTTGGGAAGGATCTCAGAGTCCTGGAAGTGACTGTTGAAATGGAGTTTATCTTTGAAGACGAGCTGAGAAGAGAAAAGGCTAAATGTTCAGTAACTATACAATAAAAACATGTACACAGAACATGGACGACTTAACATACTACTTCAAAGACTCCCTGTAACAAAGCTGCTGTTGCTATGGATAAAAATAGGTCAAATATACTAATCCAGATGCAGAGATCACACACAGAGATCACACATTCCCATTATTGTTTCAGTCAAAAATAATAAAGAAGAATAACTTGATCAACTTTCAAACACTTCTGTTCAAGCCCTGAATCCAACTATGACCTGCCAACATTCAGATTCTGTTTCTCTTATAATTTAAGAGGCTTAAATTATAGTTCTCATTCATTCATTCATAAACATTGGTGGCACAATATTATAGTTTGGAACTAGAACTAAAACATGCAAAAGTACTCCAGTTAAAAAACATGTACGGACATTATTGTTGCATTTCTTGTTGAATTGTTGAATTGTTTTGATTCTCTGATCTGTTGTTGGGGAATTGACAACTTTGTAAATTCCTCTAAGATGACTACTGCAAGCACATTTCTAAAAAAAGTTTAATGGTACAATACAAATCAGATCAATTTCTGAAATATTCTCAGAAGTTGTAATTGAGCCTAAGGATCTGTATTGGAATACCTTTAGCCGTCCCTCCAGGTAAATTTTGACGCGTCGCATATGACTCTCGTACTCAGACAAATTGGATGTCACTAGATCTGCAGCCTGACGAAAACATTGTAAATTAATAATTGAGTTAATACGTATTGGTGGATACAGTTTAATACATATTCAAGCATCCAAAAATATGTATACGAACTCTAAATATTGGGCTTTACATAACATTAGGAAATGGGGAAGCACAAATACCTTTCCTAATCCAGCAATCATTGGCGTGTTTTCTGTCCTGCAAAAGTAAGTGTGTACATGTAGTAGTATATTTATGTTTATAATATAAGGAGTAATCTAGAATAGCAAACTCATTACCCAGGTCTGAAGTTTCTTTCTTGTCCTCCTCCAAAGAGCAGTGGGTGTAAAGGCGTTTTTGTACCCGGACTATTAACATATAGAGCTCCAATCCGAGGGGCATAGAACTGCAAATACAATATATTCACATTAAGATGAAGAGATCCCTTATTCGTCCCACAGAGGGGAAATTTCAGTGTTGCATCACCGGATACAGAACAGTAGGAATGAGGAGCACACAACACAAATCAAATGAATATTAAAATAAAATAAAATATAACTTAAGCATAATAAAGAAGCAAGTATAAAATCTTTGGCGTTAGGAGGCAAGTCTTAAATCTCCAACAGTAGCATAATGAATGAAGAAGCGAGAATGAAGTATAAAATCTCTGGCTTTAGTATATGTAAAGAAGTAAGTATAACATCTCTATTTTAGCATAATATATACATATGTTTTCTAAGAATCACAGTGTAATAAAATAGTAATAAACTATAATGATCTTAACACAATCACAGTTTGAAATACATTGCAAAAGTCTGTTGACCTTGTGTCCCACCACGGTGAGGTAGTCCACGCCCAGCTCTGGGGCGTTCACTTGTATTTTGCCCAACGCCTGAGCAGCGTCTGTGTGCAGCAGGATCCGCTGCGAGCGCCGCTTGCTCAGAGATCGGATTTTCCAACAAAGATCTTTTATGGGCTGTAGAGAAAATAAGCTGTTACGAATACTGATGGAAAAAACATAATATACTGTAACACAACATAACTGCTCTTGCTCTTTGTATTCTTACCCAATGGTTTTGGAACATATATTTTACTGTTCATTAAAGTACTTCTGATACCATTATACATCTTGGTTCATCTGTTACCTCCCTTACCCTATCTGAGTTGGTTAGTGTTTTAAACTAAGGCTGCAGTCACAATCTAAGAATGTTTACATCTATTAAATGCCAGCTGCTTGCTCCATGAGCAGAAGGTGTACATAGGAGAGTAACACAGTAGCAGCAGCAGTAGGAGTAGCAGTAGGAGTAGGAGTATTCTTAAGTTCATTTGCCTGGTTTAGGACCACACGTCAGTACAGTGTGTGCTAAAGTGTAGATTCGGATCGTCAGTATTTGAGTGTTCCCTTTTTGAATGTGGTCAGGTTGTTGAATTGCATAGCCCTTGCAGTCACACTGTGCCATCGCTGCTGATGCAGGCCGGAGAAATTTGAGGTAGAAAGACATAGGATTGGAATTTCTTAAATCATGAATTTTTCAGGTCGTAAATTTATATTTGGATTGCATTGCAATCCAAATAACAGTTGTTATTCTCTGTTCTTCTTGTCTACACAGAGCTGGTCTTAGGCCTTAGGCGGCATATACAGTATTTATATTTATAAATAACGTTTAGTAATACATTTATCTACTGTTTGATATAATATTGTCTGTGTATGTGTTCATTCAATATGTGTGATGCTGCTGCCTTTGGGCAAGGACCCTCAATAAGATGTTGAGGTTAAATAAACGTAAATAAATATGAAAAAAAAATCACTACATTCCTCAGCACACAATCCCGGGGGCCTGTTTAGGAAAAATCCAACACATGATGCGCACTAAGGTTTCAGTTGAAAGAGGGACTGACTGCGTGAGCATAAAGAGCTCATTATCTCCTCTCACCATGATGACCCCCGTCTCATTGTTGGCCAACATAATGGAAACCAGACAGGTGTTGGGACGCACCGCAGCCATGACATCCTGCACCTCCACCCGCCCCGTTACCGTAGACACCGGGACAAAGGTGGCATCTATGGAAAAACCAAACACACACAGCAAACCACTACATTACATAACCACGCTTCAGTATAAAGTAAAGGTTAGGGAAAAACACTTTTTGTTTGTCCCAACCGAAAGAATCTCCTGAGAAAACATTAGGGTTTGTGAATGCTTGTAATAAAGAGCCCTGTGAGTCACTAGTTGAAACTTTGGGCTCAGAGAGTTGTCCTCATTTCTAATTTTTGGTCAAAAAACCTAATCTAAAGTTGTGACAAAGGCCAAATAATACATGAATGTGAAAACTAGTGGTCGTACAAAACTGTTTTGAGACTGAGGAACTAGCTCGAGGGATTTGATTATATTTTTTGTGGTTTGAAAGGACTGGAAAAATAATGTGCAAAGGTGTAAACAAAGATTGGGCACAACACAGAGTAAGTCGTATGTGGTGTTTCTAAAAGTCCTGTCAAATCTTGATAAAAAATAGATGACATCATATTGAAAATTAGATACGTAAACACCAATATTTCCATTGAGATGGTTAAAGTACAGCACTATGAATCCACTTTTTATCTTGGGTTAAAATGACACAAAAAAGCAGAATAAAGCAATATTTAACCATAAAAGTGATGAAGAAAAGCTGAAAATGTACCATTAATTAATTATAATAAAATTACCACAATTCCAGTTGTTATTATGAAGAGAATATATACAAGCAATAAATATTGAAACTCAACATGTAATGTACAATTCATCAATTATTGAACAATAACTCATAATAGTCATTATTGTGACAGGCCACGGTACATTTGTTGGTACTTTCCTATGCAATCCAATTGGTTGATTAATTTAATACACAGTTTTTCACTTGTTTGGGTCGATCCACGTCATGCATGTGTAAGCCAGATCATGTCAGACCTCTGAGGCTAAGCAGGGCAGGGTTAGTACTGTGATGGGAGACCTCTGGGAACATCAGGTTCTACTCTGGAGCGGCTGCGGATGTATGTAAGGTGACAAACTGTCTTTGAGAGTCCAAAAAAAGCACTGTATAAAACTGATGCATTATTATTATCATTGTTATAATCCTATATAAACCTGTTTATCCCCAATTTAGAATGTCCATTGTGTGATGTTTTGAGAACCACTGGTATAATGCATTGTTTATTAATGATTATCTCTGTACACACCTGCCTTGCCCTCTTTCTGCAGATGCTCCAGCACTAATTTGACCGAGTCATGCTCCACATTTGAGCTGATAATGTGAGGGAGGCCAGGGCATCCGTTAGAATGGTCTGTATTACATTCAGTTCCATCACGGCTTCTCTTAAAGTGCTCCACTGCAGACTGGATCACCATGTTGTTAGCCTGAACAAGAAAACAGCAGTGATGAGTGAGTTCAAATTAGATGAATAGTAACTGTTTTAATTAATCTAATTAATCATCTATACCTCTGTTCCACCTGATGTAAATATGATGTCCTCTGCTTTCCCTCCAACCATTCTTGCCACATTCTCCCTAGACTCATTGATGATTTTCTTAGCTTTGACACCTGTTGAGAAAAACAGAGAATCGGTCTGCTACTCTGGTTACATACTCTTGGTGAGTGTTACTTATGTCTCACCCGCAGTATATGTGCTGCTTGGGTTTCCCCACGCTTCATGTAGAGCCTCAGATATGGACTTTATCACCTCTGGATCCAGTGGGGTGGTGGCATTGTAGTCCATGTATATTCTAAAATAATGATTACAAAAAACACTATTGAGTTTAAAAAAAATTCATAAATACTACTATTACATGTATCATTCAATAAATACCTATTTTGACTCATATTTTCTTGGATGATGTCCTTTGCTGTTGAGATATATTGAAAAGTTAATTTTCAGTCTGAGGACAGTGGTTATGATCCATGACATTTAACAACATTTATGGTCATTTATGAACATTGGTCATCCGCCTCTTATGGACCGAGGGGTCTAAGTGTTTTTCTATTGAATTTCCTGTGTTTGATTCTCTGATTTATGTTTGCAAATAGAGAACTTTGTTAAGTCCTCCAAGATAAGTACTGTTGTGATGTAGGGCTATACCAAAATAAATAGAATTTAATTTGTTTAATACATCAGCATAATTCCATTCCATTCCATCTATCGTATTAAGATAAAGCTTGTTTTATTTATCTCCTTAGCAGTCTACATGAACAAGAATCTTACACTATCAGAATGAAATCATACTGTTAACTAGTTTTCCAGTTTTGGTGGTAAGCTAATCTTTGACGTGAATTTACACGAACGCACAGAGGGGCTAATAATAATGGCTTGTGTTTTAATAGAATCAAATACAAAGTCTGTGTAACATCCTTGTTTTTCTTCCTTGTGTTTGTTTAGCTAATGCTGTAAACGCGAAACGTGTCAGAAAAGATGTGCTGTTGTAAAATAAAGCTGTTTGTGCGAACGGTATGAACGATAAACGTGATGACACAAGTTTCTGACCTTGAGAAGTGAAGCCCAAACACTGACAACAGTAAAAATGTTTATTATGGTGTCAATCATTAGCTGCACAAGCTAGCAGACGTCCGTGTAGCAGACATGCGCTGCTACCGGTGAACGAGTTCTACTTACTCATCGATCAAAATGCTTGAAAATAGGCGTGGCTTAGACATTTTTCACAATAAAAGGCCACTGCCTCTGCGGGATCTCTAAAGTCCGAAATAAAGACTCCTTTCTCGTATTGTTTCTGACGAAGGATTGCTATCACATATAATCAACGTAAAGTCAGATGTGTTGTTGCTGTTCCAAATACTGTCTGTGAATCGCGAACTGTTTCCCATGACACTGACCTGAACAGCTGCAAGGTGCGCAGTTTAACCTGGAGCTGCGGTGGGACTGTGGTGTTTCCATTCAATAAACACATTCACAACAGCGATTTACAAACACATGACCAGCGCCTGCTCTCACACATTGTTCTCATATACTACAGTCATAAGAAATATTGATGTAGAAAAAGAAATCACATGTGGAATTAATGCTGTATGTGATCGCTATCACAGACCAGGAAAAGGACGTTCGGGTTGTATGAGTGAGCAATAATGTGACTAATAATGAGCATGAACTGTGACAGGACGAACATAAACATTTGTAATGACCACAGCACAACACTGACATGAGCAGCTGCAAGGTTTGCAGGTGTACCACGTCCACCCCAAACATACATAGTTCCTACATGACGTCACTACATACGGGGATTTGCCGACCCGGCGCCATTTGTGTTGGCATTCTGTGGGCAAAACAATAGAAAAAGAAGCTGAAACGTGTTAATGTCGTGATAAAGTTGAAAATGGTCATCTCCTGCTGGGTCAATGGATGTTCAAATCGTGCCGGAGGTTCCGTTAAACTTGGATTTTACAGTATACCCATCATTAGACTTCATGAATGTGAGAAGACTAAGCTTTTGTCAGAACAACGACGGAGGTTATGGCTTGCGAAGATAAACAGGCAAGAAACTCCCTCAAAACACGCAAGAATATGCTCGGAGCACTTTGTGTCAGGTGCGTATCGTATCTTATAATGTGTTGACAGACGTAATTTACTCAGTACTAACTTATGTATGCTGATATCTGGTAACTTGAGAGTTTCATTATTTAGCGTTAGATTACTTTATTATGAGGAGGATCGGTGTCGCGTCCGAGGCTCTCGAGGGCAACGTAAATGTATTAAATAGATAATAATAGTTCTATGGTGGGCTAAAACAATGTTCACAAACAGCATTGCTTCTGTAAAAAGATCTGTGTCATAACATAAACTGCTCTTTACGCCTGGAAAAATCAGTTGCCCACCATTCACCAAAACATACGGTCAAAAACGCGGAAATAAACAATAACAGCAATCCAGAGTGTCCGTGTGGCATTAGCATTAATTAAATTAATTGTTAATATAATTAAAATAATTAAATGGAGCTCCAACTGGTATTAAATCTAAAGTTTTTGAGAAATGTTTGCATTGCTTGTTAATTTTTGCTGCATAATTTGATCAAATATGTAAAACATGTCCGTAGCACGTTAAACTGTGGTGCCATTGTATTAATATACAATTATTTGCTCAAAAGTTGCCCTTTTTTTCCAATTTGCGTTTGAATATCTACATTTATTCTCATTCTTCTGTTTAATGGAATGCACAAACACAGCAGCGTGCCATCAAAGATGGCGTCTCCGAGGAGGTCATGTGACATTCATTGGTCTGTGGGAACTATGTATACATAGTTCCCAATGAATGTCACATGACCTCCTCGGAGACGCCATCTTTGATGGCACGCTGCTGTGTTTGTGTAGATAGAGAAAACCAAAGGATTTAAGAAGAAGAAAAGTTCAGGATGACAAGGAACAATTAAATTCCCACAAAATCCGACTTTTATGAAAGCTGTAGGTTCTCTATCAGCTGTTTTAGTTTACTTTGAGTTCTATGAGGGAAATGTCTGTGTAGCCCACGTGAATTTAGTCTGCAGTACGCGAGAATCCCTCAGCTCCAAGCTAGTAACACCCAAACCAGTTATCATAATAGATCCCACTGTATAATACAGTGGTGTGAATGACAAGAGTTTAAATATAGGAAAAAAATATCATAAACAGCTGCGGTAGTGTGTCTTGTCGAGGCAGTATAGGTTTTGGTTTGCTTGCGTGTAGGTAATAACCAGCTACAACAGCACCATCTGCTGGTGTACTGCTAGAACAACCACATTACACTTACGAATCTTTTTGACACACGTTGAAATCACCAACACAGATTGGAGAATCAACAGCGAAGACGCAGGAAATATTGAACCCATGTGTATTGGTTCATAGAGAAAGACCAATGCCCATGAATGATGATGAATATGCATACAAATTAATATTGATTGCTGGACATTTCGCTGACAGTAGCAGATGGCCAAAATGATGTATATTTGGGGTGGACGTGGTACACCTGCAAACCTTGCAGCTGCTCATGTCAGTGTTGTGCTGTGTTCATTACAAATGTTTATGTTGGTCCAGTCATACTGCACACAAGGGAACAATTGTGACATGGAATTGTGACCGAGCAACGCGTAAAAACACATGTCCGCAGCGCAGTGACAAAGAAATGCTGCAGAGACGTCTCTGAAAGAGGATCTGGAGATGCGTCAGCAGGTTAATCTGTCGCTGCACCACGTACCAAACCGCGTCCTAGCGCACGATCTATGTGTGTGTGTCTGTGGCTACACGACACAGGTAACAGGAACAGGGTGTGCCATTCTATTGCCAGTGACATTGCGTTACAATGCTTTGGAGACAGATGTAGCGGGGTGCGAGTACGCGGACACGCAGGTGGATCTAGCCCACTCTACAAATACAACATGTGTTTGGCCGTCTGCTGTCATTTTTCAGTGACACCCTCTTGCTGCTGTCATGCTTTACACACACACATGTTCGTCCTGTCACAGTTGCATGCTCATTATTAGTCACATTATTGCTCACTCATACAACCCGAACGTCCTTTTCCTGGTCTGTGATAGCGATCACATACAGCATTAATTCCACATGTGATTTCTTTTTCTACATCAATATTTCTTATGACTGTAGTATATGAGAACAATGTGTGAGAGCAGGCGCTGGTCATGTGTTTGTAAATCGCTGTTGTGAATGTGTTTATTGAATGGAAACACCACAGTCCCACCGCAGCTCCAGGTTAAACTGCGCACCTTGCAGCTGTTCAGGTCAGTGTCATGGGAAACAGTTCGCGATTCACAGACAGTATTTGGAACAGCAACAACACATCTGACTTTACGTTGATTATATGTGATAGCAATCCTTCGTCAGAAACACTACGAGAAAGGAGTCTTTATTTCGGACTTTAGAGATCCCGCAGAGGCAGTGGCCTTTTATTGTGAAACATGTCTAAGCCACGCCTACTTTCGAGCATTTTGATCGATGAGTAAGTAGAACTCGTTCACCGGAATGCTTTGTTGCCAGGTATGACGCAGAAATGTATCCCCAACCGAAAGGGGAAACCATAAAGACAAAACAAGATAAATATTAAGCAAAGTATCATTCCCATAAATAAATATAATACTCAGAGTAAAGCTCTCGGTTTAAATTTTAATTCTAAATCTGAGAGATATTCTACAACTGGCAACAATGCTACCATGGTAACGACAGACGCTGCACTAAAACATCTCTAACCTGTAGCTCTGTCGCCACCCCTTTGAGGTAGCCCCATATTTAGCTACTATCTATGATAGCTCCCCCAAAAATTTAGAAATCATCAAATCAAATGATAAATTGAATATTTCAGAATGTATTATTCACAAGGTCACAACTAATGTAAATGCAAACGTACCTTGTGCACTAGTGACGAATGTGATGATAAATAATGACAGTCGAAGGCTCGCTCTCACCAATATATCAATTTCATTTTACCAGAACCATTAAACACTAAAACTCCAAGAGCAGTCAAATTGACGGCTTTTAACTTTTTGAAGTGCAAGAACTATTATAACTGTAGAGATCCTTTGTTCCTATGGCTGTCAGGCTCTACATCAGACCTGTGAGAGTTTTCTGCTGCTGGACACAATCAATAAAGTGTCTATCTATCTAACTACTCAGCGTATGTACCCTCACCCCTTGGCGGTACATTTAGAGATTTAAAGTTTTAATAAGTGATGCATGCAAAATCATGTGAAATATCTTTATAAAATCAAAAGTACAAAGTAGGAGGCTCACTCATGGATAAATTTCATGTTTATTCATTATATGACATGTGTCCAGTGTACACAAACATCTGACGCAAAACCTCAACACTCAGAGACACAACTACAGCCCATTTTCACCTTAGTTTTCTTCCAATGGGTCCCTTTATAATACACATGTCACATCAACCATGTTTATATACAATGCAAAAGAATTTCAAAAAAAAAGATTACCCATGGAAGCACAAAACTTCAGAAGGGAAGTATAGAAAACGATACGTGAATGCATATGTTTTTGATTGAACTGGGTGAAGTGTGACTGATAAGTAATCTAGTCTTCTACAATCTTCTTCTGTACAAACCTAAGTGGACCAAAGCACTGTGTCTATATGTATGACTCCCTGATATTAACAAAGTACAATCAATATTGAACCCGAATAACATTAAATTATCAGTAGTACAAAGGGAATCCAGTTTACATTCAGTGTTTGACTTGATAATGTTGACAGATTATTAAGTGACAGGGACAAACATGTTTAAAGATAAAAAGGTTATTTCAGAAGTTCTTTTGCTGTTGAAATGCTCAAGAGTTGATAAATATTCCTTCACTTATGACAAAGTTTACACACTCACAGAAAGATTTAGCTATTTACATTTAGATATAGTTTATTTAACATTTGCAGTTAAACCACACTGGAATGCGAAAGTACCCCAGGATGCACAAATCAATCATTTAATTTAATGTATATAGAAATTTAATTCACTCTTTTTCAATATTTTTAATACGAACACACATAAATATACCTTAAACCTTATTTGACTTATACATCTCATTCACATAACATGTCTGTATTGGCAGAGGTATACAGGTAGATTTGAATCCAGGCCAAATGTTGCCATAGCGACATGTATGTTTTCTCATGTTACTCCCCTGGTTACCGGGATGATGTTATTTGAATAAATGGTTGAATAATAAAAAATAAAAAAACGGGTGATTGTTCTTATGCAATTTCACATATTTGTATTTGTTTATTATATAAGACTTAATAAAATAAATATACTGTATGTGTTTTAAATAAACAACTATAGTTAGTTTAGAGTATGCATCATTTGCTCATAATAAATGCATAATCCTCAGCTTTAAGCATTTCAAATTGAGAACCTTTATTACAATGAAAATAAATCAAATAAGGCTTTGTAGGTTTGTGTTAAAAGTATCTAAAAAGAGTTAATGTAATTCCTAAAATACATTTTAAGAGTAGGCCTTAATAATCTCTGTGAGCGCATATGCTAATTCACTATTAATCTTTGGAGAGCATCTTTGCTGTAAATTAGCCAAGGACTTTGTGAGAGGCTGCTGGAGCATATCATTGAACATTATAATGAGCTTTGGGACCAAAAGAAGGTTATTTGAAGTCATTAATAACATAGAGAAGACAGAATTAACATTCTTGGTTAACAAAAGGAGGATTTGGTTCACGTTTTGATGTGATAATTCAATATTTAAATGTATAATGTAGGTTAAGGCTGATTTTGAAAGTGCTAACAAGGCTGGCTGACCTTTGGCTTTCTTAAAAATCACCCATTACTTCACACAAATGTGAGACTCAATTAGAAACATACTGTAATTTTTGTCAATAAACAAAAAATATATTCAAACAATTGTTAACTGTGTGTTTCCTTCCTCCCATTTGATAACTCTCCTGTTCTTCATGATTAACTCTATGGTGATATGGCCGATGATGATGACACATTCATAAGCGTGTACCTGATTGAAAAGAGTGCGTCGTAAATAGCAGAAAAACATTGGTAGTGTTTTAGTAGCAGCAAATGGAAGTTGTTTCAAAGCAAAAGCTGGCGTTCCTAACCTGTACAATACAAGTCAAAATAGGCACTACTTCTTAACTAGCATCATTCATACACCAGTTTTCTATTCAAGTTAAACATAATATTTTGGGTCATTTTTGTGGATATTCTATTGACAATTCAGTAGTTCTCTACAGTAGGGGTGTCCAAACTGAGGCTCAGGAGCCAAATGTGGCTCACTATATCATGTTATGTGGCCCTAAGCCTTGCTAACAGTAGTGTTTGAGATCATAAATACAATTTCACACTGTCATTCAGCCAACTTCAGCTTCACCAGTATACACATGCTATACCTTATTGATGTTTCCTTTATTAGATATTTTCCCCTTTTATTCTGCTGTAATGTACCCAACGATTTCCTCACTAAGGATGAATAATGGTTTATTGTGTTTATTGTGTTACAAAATTCCATATATGGCGCTAGCATAGCTGTGGTGTGATAGATTGATTCTTTCTTTTTGTATTGTAGAATGTATCTGAATAGATGGGAGGCGTTTGGATTAATATAAGCTTTTTACTTTGACCAATCCTAATTCAAACTATGTACAGGTTTCCTGGTTTTCTCTTGATATTTTTCTGTGAATAATTGTTTGTAACTCGCGCATGTTTGAAAGAAATAAACAAATGTTTTAGAGATGTAAATGTTTTTAGAGATTTATGCTAGTAAACCCTATGACAAATGTGAATCAATATGGACATAGCAAGCAATTTGAATCTAAAAACAGCTCAAATCCAAATCCAGTCAAAGCTGTTTTAAAATCCGGGTTGTCGGCCTCTGGACAAGTCCGCTGAACAAAAGTGGCCCCTCTTACAACATTGTTTGGACACCCCGGTCTACAGAAAGAAACTGGTCAACAATAATAAAAGCTAAATTGTATATTAGGGTTAGCAAAGGGTAAGCAGTGGTATCGTTTCCAAGAACATATTAAAAAGTGCAGTGTGCAGAAATTGCACTGTGTTCTACAATATAAATATAGATGTCTTTGTAAATAAATACATGCAGAAAACAATAAATAATAAAGTTGTTATTCGAAATCTAGCTATATCACAGTTTGAACAAAGGAAAATGCATGAAAAGGAGGAGAGATGACGATAACTGGTTAGCGAATGACACGCCCCTCACCTGTGGGTTGAAACAAGGGCTTGAAGAGATATGACATGGTTACAAAATCTACTTTTTATGGTTTTCAAATTACTAATTGAAATCTGAAGTAACATTTTTTCATTTAACTACATTATCACTACATTCAAAGCATACTGTATAGTCCTTGTTCAATTCTCGTATTTAACCCTTGTATGACATTGAGTGCGATATAGCAATACTTACTTAGTTTTCTTAATATGAAGCAACGTATGTCAAAATAACCAGCTTAAGAGAGAGCTTCAATGCTTGTTTTTTTCTTGTATTAAGTTGTATACGTGGTACAAACTGGTGGATATTCAGCTGTCGGCTTCATATTTTCTTCATAACATAGCAGCTCTATGTTAAAGCTCACTATTTCTGCGTTTGGAGACGTCGATGTAAAAGAGGCCCACTTGACATTTACGACTACAGCACATAAACATACATGAGACTGCTTTCATTTTTCAGATGCTACGGCTTCAGTGTTGTATTTTCCCCCCCTTTAGTCAGTTTATGAATGACTTCCAGTACGATACAGCGACGGCGACAACGGACAAGGAAACATTTAGGGCTGCAAGATTAGTCGGGAATGAATGAGAATTGCAATTCGTCCAAAAATACCAAAAAATATAGGTTGTTAAGGGCTTATTATGAGAATATTTTGACTGTCGTAATATATAAGATTAAGGGTTTAGTGTTATTTAAAGCTGGGGTACATAACGTTCAAGCAACAAAAAGTGTAACTATAAAATATGATAACTACACAATTCCCTTCGTGTTTGATTTTGCAGGTTTACAGGTTTGCTTAAAGAGCGTTAAATTGAACAGGAGACTTTAAATTACTATTTTTACTGTCATAAAAATATGTGATATATAGATAAAGTGAATTTCAATCAAATTTATCTACCGAAACTAGTTCTTGCTCTCAAAACAGGGGTCTGTCTCACAAGAACGCATGTTTTGGTCGATTTGTTCAGATTTTACGTTGACAAGACTCTTTCTATCGGGGCAAACATGTGTTATTGATGAAAATGTAAAAAGTAGCTACCCCAGCTTTAAGTGTAGTTGAATTTATTCTCTAAATTCTAGTGAGAGACTGTTGTTTTCTTTGGTAAAAACAAGACATTATAATCTTGTTCCTTTTACTTTAATGCGTTCAAATATAGCCCTACTATTTTTAAGAGAAATTATTTTATATACTAAAGAAAAAATCTTCAGAAATTGCAATATCTAATAGAAATAGCAATGTTTGTCCAAAAATAGCAATCATACATTTAGCCGAAATCGTGCAGCCCTATAGCAGACAACGTAAGAAGGTGGAGTAAAGTTGTTTGTTGTTGATGAAGGAGGTGGTTGGAGTTGAAGGGGACGCAGATCAGCACAAAAAGACAGAATTATGTACATCAAGTCTTTGTGATTTTCCAGTTTCACATCCTCATCTGCCCAACTCTTCTTCTCGACAGTTTTGACCTGGAAAACAACGTAAAGTCAATAGTCTAGTATAGGCTCTCTATAGGTAGGGTCGAATGCAGAGGATGAATGGCCCTATGGGGATCAATAAAGTCCACCTTTACCTTATAAGGACAGCGTAACTATTGCGAGGCACCTACTTTCAGAGTTTGGGCTGTTTATGGACTGTTCTTTCCTATATAAAGTTTGAAAATGTTTATATTATTCCGGATGATGATAAGCTTGCTTTATTCCACTATAATACCATTCTCTGGAGTCCTGCATACAGGAAAAGCCTACGCTGGTTCAAATAGTTTTCCTCTTTTTCCCACTCTTGTACCAGGATGACACGCCATCCTCAACAAGTCAAAAAACACACGCGTCTACAGTGTGTAAAAATGTGTTCTCAGTGGTGATTCTTAGGGATGTAAATGGCTACTTCTGAACATGAACTAGATTGAAATCATTACCTGATAGTTCCTGCGAGGAGTGGGTTGAAAGCGTAGAGCCAGTCGTGCATGTCCTTCTCACTGTTGGCTTGAAGCAAGATTCCTCGATGTTCTGTGCACACAGCAAAAGTGTTCGGGGTCTGAGGAGAAATAAAAGTTTAGTTAGAGCTTTTGAGTATTAGGAAGGGATTGCTCTATGTAATATTGTTCTTCTTTCTTAGGAGTTTCCACCGTTGACAAAAAGCACTGAGAACATTTTTTTAGTAAAGAGCAAAGACCATTATACTAGTGACCTCATCTCACTCTGTTTCAACTGGAACACACACATTGGACCCCAAAACATTTGTGCAATTCACAAAACTGTGCTGGCCTTCTCCATTAGATAAATGGCAAGGCAAGGCAAGGCAAGTTTATTTGTATAGCACAATTCATACACAAGGCAATTCAAAGTGCTGAACAGAACAAGAAAGCATTAAAATCATAAATAATCACAGTACATTAAAAAAAAAAAGATAAAAATATAAAATCCCTCAGTTGTATGCACAGCTAAACAGAACTGTTTTCAACCTTGTCTTAAACATTGTCAGAGAGGAGGCCTGTCTCAAATTCAGGCATAATTTATTTCTTATGACATCTTCTTATGGAAGATCAATTATGTCTGATCTGTTGTTGGTGAATCAACCACTGTGTCAAGTCCTTTGAGACAACAACAAAAAAGTACAAAAATTAATTGAATGGAATAAAAATGACTCTGTATCTGACCCAAACTTTACTTAAATTGAACGAAACACGACTATTTAGGCACAATGTCACTGCAATATTTAGCAATTAATAAACATGTGATTTTATGTTTCATCTGGCTTGACAGGAGAAATTCTTGAATTTAAGGACATTTATTAACATTTGTGGACATTGGTCATCCTGCTTCCTTTGGACCAACGGCTCCTATGTGTTTGTTATTATTGCATTTCCTGAGTTTGAACTTTTTGATTCTCTGACCTGTTTCTAAAGTCTTCTGCTGTTCAGATTCAGGACTATACAAAAATAACTTGCATTGAATTGAAATGGAAGTCGATTATGGCCAGGAAACCACTGACAAACCATTGACGATAATCGACTACAGTATGTAACAAATATGAGCAGCCCACCTTGAGCATGGCCTGCTGGTCCTCGCTGTATTCCACCTGTGCAGAGGAGAGGTTGAGGATGGCCCGCTCCACTCCGTCTCTGTCCGAGTTGTAGATGTAGACGTAAGGCCTCCGCACCACCACAAAACGCTTTATCCACCCGTTCGTATGTGGCTCCAGGAAGTTCAAGTAACCCTTCTTTGACACGATGGGACTGAAGGTACAAAGACATGGGCAGTGTTACACAAAAATCTATTTTTAATATAGGCTCTGGTACCTATCCTTTTTGTTTCATAAATACATAAATAATCAAGATTAAACATATTGATTCTTTATGTATTCTTTATTGAAATCAACCACTCTATTTTGAAATCTACCAAGATATTTTGAGAGCGAATAACAATTTAGATGGATTGTATTCATATTGTAAGTAATATTTTTTGTGTTTTGAAAGTTAGCTACCCCAGCTTTAGAAGAGACATATAAGGCTTTGTTTTGGGGTGTCCCGTGATAAACTATACCACATTAACTCTAATTAACTCTGTAATAAGAACAGAATACCAACAGTTTTCCTTATTGATAACGTGAAACATACCTGACTCTGATCTCCTGGATGTCTGGACAGAATCGTCTGATACGTGGTTTTGTGTCAGAGGGGGCGCTGTGGGGCTTCCTCTCCTCTGCGTCGGCACTGGGACTGACTGCAGCAGAGCGAGGCGTGGGGGGTCTGAAAGGAAAGTCCCAGGGTGTCATTTTTTTTTTTTGTAATATAGTCTAATACAATAGTAAGGCAAGGCAAGTTTAAAGTCCTAAATAATCCAAGTTCATTAAACAGAGTGAATATACAATCCTTAAGTTTATGCACTGAAACTATTTTTACATTGTCTCAATATTTTCATGAAAATTCTGCCTCGCCATGTTTAGTCCTGACTCTGGGCATCAGTTGGAGGTCGGCCCCTGTGTTCCTCAGAGTCTGAGTTGGTTCATATATAGGGCATCAACATGTCACAGATGTACTTTGGTGTGACGTCATGGAGAGACTTGCAACAAGCAGAGCTGCTTTTCTATTTTGTTTGTTTTGTATTTTTTGAAACATGTTGTTTTAGTGCATTGACCTCCTAACACCAACACATATAAAAGTAATAATGGGAAACCTGAGATCAGTGGGTCCATAGCAGCCCTCCACCAGTGAAGGGCAAGTCGTGGAGGGGGCGATCGTGTTGAATGAAGACACTGAAGGGGAATCTTTGAGACTAGTGACGGACATCTCTGAGATCTGAGAGAAACATCAGCACAACGGTCCAATAAGCTTGTATATCCTATTGTATGTGACATAATTTCAGTATCCACTCTGTACCTTGCTGTCACTGGCGCTGATACAGACGTGGGTATATTCTCTATTGAACGAGTGCATGAGCAGCCGTAAGCACTGAAGAGACAAAGAATGAGAGAGGTGAACACAAAACTACATTTGTAAATGTAGTACACCTGATTCATACTGCTTTGATATCGGTATCTGTAACGGCCGATGTTTGCCTTGTTAACTACCATCAGACATCGGCAAAAATAAATGACATTTGCCGATGGTAGGCGCGTGCAAAGAGCATCCACACACTTTCCTCAATAGAAGAAACAAAGAAGATGGCGGCAATTGTGTGACAATATTTTACAGTGTCAGAAAAATATCAGCGTTATGGGTACTCATGGGTCTTGCTGCGTACTCACCAGTCCGCCACATATCACCTCGCCCTGTCCCCTCAGTAAACCAAAGGGTAGCGTAATCCATGGCTCGCCCGCAGCTTGGGGTGCAAACCATATCCGTGCGAGCCTGTCCAAACTTTCCTCCTACCGCGTACATATAGTACCAGGTGACTGGTCAAACCCAGCGCATTTTTGGCTAAACCATTTATACTAGAGCACTGTTCCATGTGATTCATTTTTGTGTTGTTGCTGTGAGATTTCAAGAGGGAGGACTGCTAGAAAATCATTTAACACACAAATCTCCTTGGACATTTGAGAAGCAGGCATCAGGTGGTGTACAGCGATTGCATGCTGAAGAAAAACGGAAACTGAAGCCACCTAGAAAGGTATATAGTATATATAAATAACAAAACGAAAAAACATCGGCATGTTAACATCTGTATCGTTTCAAAATTTCACAATCGGTGAGACCCTGCTTATTATTCATAATATCATGAAATGTTTACTGACCCTCTCTGCCAGCTCCCTCTGCCTGTCGGTGGTGATCTCGGAGGAGTACTGGGCCTCGTAATCTGAGGCCGGTGGGGTCTCGCACAGCTCCTCAGACAAACAGCACTGAACCGGGTCTGGTCCCGACTGGAGGCTGGACTCAAGCTTCTCCCTCAACAGAAGGAAATGCTTTGTCTTCTCCACCTAAGCCGCAGACACACAGACACATTTAGGCCTCTACAAAATAAAATAGAATACATTCAATTGAATTGATAGTTACCTCACTTTCAAACCACAAAGAAATGTACCATGTAATAAAAGTAACTAGTCCCAAGCTCTATAAAAAGAAATGTTTTGGTTCTAGATTTCACTTAAATGTATTTTTGGAAACATCAGATCAGACAAAAATGTGAAAAAGAAACCCTCACTCAACCAATCAGCTTCCAGCCCAAAGGGTCAAATAGTGACTCACAGGGCTCTTTCTAACAAGCATGCAAAAGATAAAAAGTTGTCTGCCAAAATACTGTAAAGACAGCCTGTTGTGGTCTGATTTGTTCACAAAATGTTGCTTTTTATTGAGACAAAAAAATTTAGCCTGGTCGTACCACACCATAGGCAATTACATTTGCTAAACATTCCTCTTGCTCCGGCTTCAATTTCTTGATCGAACCCGACCGGATTACTTTACTATTGCATTTTTCGCCATTGCAACTACAACCTGCTCGTTCGGCGCAAACTCTTGACGTCACCCACAACTAACTACAACACCTGCCTTTTGCGCTCGCTGATTGGTAGGATGGAATTCAACCGATTGTAATCACTAGCACAGGGACCAAATCCAGACGTTACATGCAGTAAAATGATATTTGAGCGGAGTGTACAGATGGCTAAGGCCAGGCAAAAAAAATTCTTATTTATGAAAAAACTTAGGTGCCCCAGCTTTAATTTGAAAACATTTATAATGGAATAACAGATGGTGTGGATGGAAAGCAGAATCTTCTACTTTAAAGATTATGCATCGAACAAGGCACCGTGTTATAGAAGGCACATGTGAATATTTAAATATTATGGCTTGCTACTATGCTTACAGGTGAACTATAAAACTGCATTCAGAGGCATCATTTGTAGATATATATCTTGTTTGGATTGGATATTGGTCTGGGAGAAAGCTATATGTTCTGCTCTCAGTCATGGCATCCTATGTCTACGTGGGGTAACATACGTCTTGCAGGAGGCTGAGCTTCTCCAGCTCCCACTGATGCTCCAGGATGAGGCTATCACTGCGCGGCCTCCACCCGGCCAGGTTCTCCTCTCCACGGACGTACGCCACTGAGGTGTCCAGCACCCGGCGCCTCCTCCGCTGCATCCCTGCACAGACAAGCAATTTTACTGATCAATCAATTAGTTAAAACATAACATTATACACCATTTACTAGCTTTCAACTCTGCAAAATATCTAAGCGTTTCTTTCTGTGTTAAAGTAATAAAAAATAAATTGCTTCTTGTTTTGACTATTTTTCAATATGAATATATATATATATATATATATTTATTTCCACTAGAAGCCATCGAGCGAATAAGACAGGCAGCCCTAAAATTGAGATTTATTATAAATTATTCATGTCATAGTTTTTGTAAAAAAGTGAAAGAAGATTGATTTATAGAAGTAAAGAAATTGACAAATGCATTGTGTAAAACTCACCTGGACTTCCAATATCTGCCAAGTTACAAAGACTAGCTTCGTAGACTCCAGTTATTCGATTCCTATAAAAACAAAAACCCACAAGGATTCAAATCAGTTCTTCAACTACAAGATTATATATCACATTTTACAATAACAGATGTGTCATGGTGTAGATTTTATTTTTGTGATAGGTTTCATTTTTAGTTTTACTTCCTGTTCGCCTGTTTGATTGTCTGCCCCGCCCTGATGTGTTTCACCTGCGTCTGTCTATATATACACTGTGATCATCCTCCACGTGTTGCTGGTCCATTGTCTTTGTGTGTCTGTGTTCTTTCTCACTATTCATTTGAAAGAAAAAAGTTGTGTACCCCAGCTTTAATTGACCATTTTGTCCAAACCTTAACTTTCCACACAAACCACACAAACAGCGATGTACCCGTCTGCGGCTCGGAGGCTGCCCGTCCCAAACAGGTTGCGGATGGAGCGTGAGGCTGAGAGCTTGGCGTCGCGGGAGTAGAAAACCATACAGACATCTTTGGTCACCACTGCAGGCTGATTGCAGTTCTCCATCTGATAAAAACAAGGACACGTGGGTTGTCAGTCTTACAAAAGAAATATCACACTGTTGTTAGACAAATGTTTATTTTGCCGTTTGACCAAGACACTATTGACTTGTATACTTGTAATTTTTGAGTATACAGTAACATCTTATTTGGAGTGACCATATGTGCTCAATTTCCTTAGACAACTTGTCTACGGAAAGGATTTAAACTATGACTAAACCAGTGTAAAGAAATGCATGTATGTATTTTTGTTTATGTATTTGTCTTTTTAAATGGGACTAATGAACAGCGGTGGTGTACGTAAATGCATTAGATTCCATAGTTTTTAATGTAGGGGAAACCTGAGGCCTGAAAACTATGCAGACACAGGAAGATCATGCAATCTCCACACAGGATCAAACCCAGGACTTTCTAGCTCAAATTTACCCGCCACAGTGATTAAATGTGACATGCTGTTACCTCCAAATAGGCCGATAAGGTCATGTAGATCTTCTCCCCATTCGGAGTAACCCGGTTCAGCAGCAGCGAGTTGTGCATGGAGCTGTCCCACGCTGCCTCAAAGCGATAAAACGTCCTGTGACATTCCAAGAAAACCAATTTAAACATCGGAAACACAGTTTAAAACGTTGCTAATCCCAATGTTCCACATAGCCATACATGTCGCGTAAACAACGTAAACTGAAGGATACACACACACAAAATAATATACAAATTACCCCCGGGAAATACATGTTTGTTCAGGCATTCTCAAAGGAAGTGGAAAATTAGGACGTCAATTTCTCTTTGCAACAAGGCACCAGTGAGAGAACTAAATGATGTTGGTTCGGGAATGTTATTATTATTATTATTATTATGTTGTCGTCCTGTCCTTGGTAATACAACTGACAGGAGTTCAGCAGGGATGGATGATTCAAAGACTTGGGACAAAAGGTTTTTCTTTGCTTGGAATGTCCCTCAGTATGTTATCAGACTTGCTAATTACAGATGTTTTTGCTGCTTAAAAACCTGCAATCTTGTATCAAGTTGGCTTGCCTCTCTGCAGATATGACTTAGCCATAGATAGTAACTTAGCCGAGTGAAGTGACTTGCTTGTCTTCAATGTAAATGGACAGGTACAATGTTAAACTGGGGGACATTCCAAGCTAAAAAAAACAAAACAAAAAACAATGCAAGACATAGATGGACCCAGTTATTACAGTTAAAACTCGGAAAATTAGAATATGGTTCATGATTTTTCCATATTTGTCTTGTTTGCCTAAAAAGAAAAGTAAAAGTATTTCTTTTGTTTGTCTAAAAATAAACAGTTTTTTGTATTTTCAGTATTTTCAGCTAGTAAAAATAAGTACAATGCCAGCCTATTTCAGAACAGGTACTCCCACAGTGCCAGCCATTTCTGATGATTTTTACTGATTTTTCAAGACCCACAGAATATTGTGTACTATGACTATCTGAAATCCGACACCAGATTCTAAAAGAATGGACTGTCTACTTTCCTCAGCAAAAAGAATTTTGTTTATAGCTTTTTTCGTTCCCCTGTAATCCTTTGTTGAGTAGAGGGAAGTTTTACTGAAATCACCAGAAAGCTGAGAAAAAAGAGGCATAACATGTGCACCTACATGTTTTCAAACCATTCAGAGAGCAATGCTGCCACCTGCTGGCTCGATAAAATATGGTCTCAAGTCATCCCCATACATATTAGATACAATAGACATCTGGGAACGTGAAAATAGCGAAAAAGGCAATTGACGGATTAATGCGTCAATGGCACACGACGTTACTATTTGCTTTGACGTATTTGTGCGTCAATGGGACACAATGAGGAGTAATTTGTGATAGTCATAAACAGGAAAAGGAAAGCCTCTCACACAACTACCAGTCTTCCTTGGTCACTAACCCGCTGTAGTTATTTTCAAAATATCCTAATTTTCTGATTTATTCTTTCTTTACAAGGTGTGAGCAAATTATAAACGTTTTAACAAATAAAGGTTTGAGTGACTTTATGTGTAAGGAGTCTGACATATATAATTTTCTGAGTTTCACCTGTATAATATCTCTATGATGGGCCCAAGTGTTACACCTTTAAAAAAATAAAAACCTGAAACTTTTTAAAGCTTTGACGTCCAATTTTTGGCATTCACTTTTTAACATAAGCCGGCAGGAACCCAGTACTGGTGCGTTGTAGCAAAGTGGAACCAACGTTTTATACATGCAGGTGATTTGATGGGAGAAAAATGTCCAGAGATAAATGGGATGAAGCCACAGCTGAATATAGAGCGCGGACAGAGAAATACCTATGGTCCTTCTCCAAAGCCATACTGTGGAAACGAAATCAGTGAAACAATAAAAGAGGAAGTCAGGAAGTGAGTGGTCACGCAATTTTATCAAGTCATTTGGTAAGCTTTAGGTTTTGCTCAATTACGGCCAAATATCTACCACTATAGTATTTTTGTTTCTTTTTTTTATTCAACCTTTATTTCAACAACAAAAATCCCATTTTTTTCAGATAAAAAGACATATTTTCCAAGGGTATCCAGGCCAAGGGGCATTCACCACACAACCCTCAAAAACTGTGAATACATTAAATTTCAATATAACATTTTTGAAACCAATATATCCCTGGTTTGGAACCACTGCTGGGGTTCTGAGGAGCACAGGGACTGGCCTTCTGCTGGAGCCCAGAGTCGGGACTAAACATGGGGAGACAGTATTTCAGGTGTATGCTCCTAGAATCTGGAAGTCTTCCTAAAAATGTACAGGAGGCCTCATCTCTGGCATTGTTTAAGACCAGGCTAAAAAACGGTATATTTTTGAATTTCTGTTTGAATAAGATTTGAAAACACCTCACAACCATTTTAAATCAGCTAAACAATGTCAAGCACTAACAGTGATGTCATATTGCTAATAATACAACATAGAGAACGTTTCATAAGAATAAACTTCATATAATGGCAGTGGAGGGTTTTCCGCTAATATCACCTACTCTAAAAACTAAAAAACTGAACAGAGTTAAAAGAAAATCAAATCATCAAGAGCACATAACGCTAACACCTGCGATTTTACTGCACGAACCGGTGCATGACACATTTGTGAAAAGGAAACTATTCCCTAGTGTTACATCTACTTTTGCCATTTTGGATTTTTACAGCTTTCTTAAATCTCAGCGCCAGAGCTCAAGTCATGTCACTGGCACCACATGTAACAGGACATGCTTTTTATATAATGTATTTTTTTTTTCTTTCGTTTTGACGTTGGCAACACTTCAGGGCGACTTCAAAAATATTCACAGCAACGCAACAGCTTGACACAGGGTGCTACTGGTGATGTAACAGGGCGCTGGATTAGTTTTTAATGGCAGTATTTGAATGCAGTGCCAGGTCTGTACAGTAAATGATGCAAGCTGGTGAGTGGAGTGTTTCTCTTAATAAGCAACGGCTGCTAGATGTGGGAAGTAAAAAATAACTGTTAATGCTGTAGAAATGTCTGGAAAGTACATCCTCATTATGCCGAGTTAGCATCACCAAACAACAAACACAGTTAAGATACATCTCTGCTGATTCTGCTGAGCAATAAATGTTTGAGCATTGGAGTTGTCTACTTTCTATGTCGAGAAATTTAAATCATCTGAGACAATTTGGGATGAAATTTGAATAGAATTCATACTTGAAAAAAGGGGTCCAAAATTTCTCGGATAAAGTTAAAGGAGAGTGAAAAGTGAATGTGCATAGTATGTGTTTGATGTATAATATGTAAACACTGTAAACTAAAGTTATTTTAGTATAATTTGTTAGTCTTAAAACAAGTTTTTCCAAAGGGTCAAACTACATTGTTCTTGAAATAAAACATTCTCGTTGACCCATCGGCAAATCCTGTTTTAAGATCACAGTTCATATGTTTGCATCTATTTCTTCCTCAGACATTTACTACTTTATAATATTTTATGTGTTCAATGCTTTTTCCTTATTCAAAATTATTCTAAAGTTACTTGCAGGAAAAATAACAAAAAGATTGCTAAGATTGAGAGGGGAGCACCTTCATTGGTATCGGTACAATATTGAAAAAAAAAGTTACATTCCTAATGATACCATGTATCATGAAATTTTCAATAAATACTGTATGCACTGCACAGCATCATAATCGTATTCCATATATTAATTATTGTACTGTATTCTGTGTAATATTGTGTTGAATGGGTGAGTGAGTTGGGATAAAATAAGGGTCTGCTTCATCTAACCTCTTTTCAAACTTGTATTAGTGTGAAGACATGAGAGACTGCAGGTTTGAATTACGTCAAACTAACGAAAAATTATATCAAACTAATATTACACTATTGCACTGCTAGTTTATCAGTCTTCCTTAGTTCATTCTTTGCCACCAGGTGTCAGTGTTTGGTTATTGTATCCTATGGAGATGGATAACAGACCAGTGTAAGCCTGTAACACTATTGTACATTGCACTACATTTGAATGGTTTTGTGGGATGACCAAATGCTGATATATATTTCATTGGTTGTAGACAGACAGAGGCACTGGCTCCACGACATCCCCGCTCTTGAAGCCAGCCAATGCTCCCACTGCCAAAGCATTAAACCTCAGAGCCACAAAAGACCAAAACAGCAGGACGGAAGCAGCGAGAGAACATGCAAAACCACAGCTTTGACTTTGGACGAGGACCAGAGCACAAACAGAATGGGCGGGAGAGAACAGGGGGTGCAAACAGTGACAAGATGAAGGTATGTGCTTTATATGAACTGCAGGGAGGCAAAATAATATACCTAGGCATGTCCGAATCAAGAAACTGTCTGTAAGAGCAAAAACAACATTCAATTAGTAAAAGAAAGTTAGTATATTTGAGCATCAGCGTTGGCTTGCAGGGATAGGCAGTTGTGAGCTTGTTTCAAAATAAAACAGAGGTTACATCCTGGTGCAGCGTCGGATCAAAAGCAGGTTACAAAGCACACAAATAAAGTATTTGATAAAACAATTGGATTTTTGCTTTTCACGAAGAAACCAAGGACCTTGCTGTTTTGTGAATGGATGCTGAGATTAATTTAGTTTGACATGGTACAAGACATTTTAAAGATAGCAAGTAAAGCATAACAAAATCATTCAACGTCTTTAACATTGGGCAATCACATAATTGGTTTATTATATCTGAGAGGGCAAATATTATGAGCTGAATGACAACAGGTCACCTCCAGGGGCCTTAATTATAAACCCTGGTTTGATTCTCTAATCCAGGAGTGTCAAACTGTTACAGAAAGGAAAATGGCTGCAGATTTATGTACAACCAAGCAGGAGCACGCCAGACTCCATCCACCTCCTCAAGTCTACAAGTGAGGAACTGTAGTAATTGAAGAAATGGGAGGAGTCTGCTGGTCTTGCTTGGTTGGAATGAAAACTTGCACCCATACATGCCTTTAAATAAAGGTTTGACAAGTTCTCCGAGACTACTGTTCCTTGGATTTATAAGATAAATGATAAATCTGGTCCAAAACATTTGTGTATACACGTTTGTGTATCATTGCAGTCATAAATGAGGCAGAAAATTTAGAATGGAGCAATTTGAGGGACATTTTTGATTTGTTTGTGAGAGGTACTTGAGGTAATTGAGAGAAAATATGATTAACAAAGATATTAGTTTGACTCATAGGAAAGTGAAATAGCACTGACTGACTTAAACAAAAGTTCAAAGTCAAGTTTTCTAATTTAGGTCCCATACACTTTCGATACAGCAATATTCCTCCCAGTAAATGTTTTTGTACATTTTTATCTGTCATGTTATTGACTTCAGAAGTCCTCTATCTCATATCAAGATTCAGGTGTCCACATTTTCTCTGTTTTACATTCTTAAAACTATAACAATGTTTTCACTTCAACTCGTCACGTCTCTGAAGCAACACTACCCTCTACTGGCTGACAACAGAACAACGTCAAATGTACATGAGCCACAAATAAACTGTTCATTTGGTGAGATGCGAGTTACATAACCACATGAGATAGTTCAACAATATTATGCCTCGTCGGACATAATATCTTGTTATGGTTTATACGTTTTAAATTAAACTGGGTGACTCTTAACATATTTGTGAGCGTATGTTATATCAACTCACTATACTATTATGCTGATACAATGATTGAACTATTTTTAATTGCAGTGAATTCAATTAAATTACCAGTCGCAGTGGTTCCTAAATGAGAAAATCTGATTGTAAAATGTAATTGTGGGATGAAACATGAAGACATAGCAGTGACAACAGTAAAAGCCATGGACGACAAGGACGACAAGGTCGTACAACCAGAAAATGATTGATTTTGACAGAAAGACAAAACCGTTTTGCCAACTTCTTAAACATCTGTAAGCAAAATAAGGTGCGATTCATCAGAGGAATCCAGCTTTGATAAGATGGTGTAATCCAGCTATAGTCTTTCACTGTTATCTATGAAGTGCCTACATTGGATGCTTCAATACAATACATGTCTATTTACTTGTAAAATAGTTAGAAATGTGAAAAAAGTCATCACGTTTGCATACCTGTCCTCTGGCAATGGCCGGACATATCCAGCAGAGAGAATGTTGAGGGATAGAATATTGGGGTCGAGGATTGTCTCGTCTGATTCTTGTGTGGTCCGGAGACGTCCTGAAAAACAATGTCAAATGTTTCTATACTTGAGGATGAAGGTGACAGACAGAGTAAAATCGAGAAATGTTGTTTTCCCAGTTACTCGGTTAAAGTCAATGATTTTAAAAGTCAAATCATTTCCTACAGTTTGAGTATTCTCCAGAATCCAGTGATTGCATTTGTTGTTTTACTGTTGCTATCATAATATATAGAAATTCCAGAGTTATTTTGTAATTCTTCTACACCAGACAACTATCATCCTTGCTAACTTCATTCCTATTACTATTACTTTTTTATAGCTAATTCTTAACAACCTACGAGTGAAAAATCCAATACTTAAACTTCAGCTCACCTACTACAAGCTCTCTGATATCTCTCCATTCGATGTCGCCTGTGGACTCGTGAACTATAGTGACTGCGATTCTTCTCTGCAGGCCCTGAAAGACAGGAAAACACAGGTAAGGTGAGACGTTTCTATTGAATCTTTAATGTAACAAGGTTCCCCAGCACGAGTGAGACAGTACCTGGTGAAGAAGGAAAGTGCCGTGACAGGGCATCCCTCCTCTGTGATCCACCACAGCGGGAATGTAACTAAAGAAAAGACACAAGAGATTAAGACTGATGTAAGCTATACTAACTATACTATAAATGCATTCATTTAGTTTACCATATGAGGAAGGAAAGAGAAATGTATTCACTGGTGAAACTAGAATATTAGTATTTCTGTAATTCAACTAATAATGTGAGCCCAGTAAATGATATAGACTATTACATATAAAGTGACATATACAAAGCCATTTGAAAGATTATGATTACAAGTCAAGACAAGACAAAATATTTTCTAAGAAGCTGTGAGCCAATTATCAACATTATAACAAATAGATAAGAGATGGTTAAACTTTTGAACAGTTTTCTGACTGTCACCTGCATGTGGCTCATTGCATACAAGACAGAAACCCGATGTGCTTAACATACGTATGAATATACTGTTTAATTAGGGAACCGCAAATTCCTTGTATCGCACACTTCATTCACAACAAGGCACATATTGTCTTGTTGTTCTTATTCAATACATTCATCATTTTAATTTCAAAGATTTTTTTCATCTCTGCAGCTGTACTATTTAACACAAATGCTTTATTATTATTATCATCATATATAAAATGTACATGCGAAGCAGGACAGGGCCTGGTTACAACTGTGATGGGAATCTATGAGTATCCATAAAAGCACTATATGAAATATACGCATTATGATGCATATAGAGCCGTTAACGATTAATGGATTAGTAAAGAAGTTGTCCATTAAAAAGTATTTGTCCTCAGTGGTGAGGTTTCAATTTCATAGTTGTGCACATTAGAGCAAAATAGGATAAATAAGGGGCTGGCGACATAATATTAGGTCACCAGCCCCTTACAGATAGCTCGCCAAAGGAATTACAATTTAACAAATACACTTGAATTAATACTTTTTGAGCCATTACATATCTATAATAAGTATAAATATAGGGTTATACAGTATTATGGTGTATTTTATAAGTGTTCTCAGAGTTTGTTCGTAATTATTAGATAGATTTTTATTACGTCTGCATAAAGGAGTTGCTCTCTGCCTCTTTGTTTGTATAAAAGTAGCTCTCCGATTGAAAAAGGTTGGAGACCCCTGATCAATAATTTAAGATAATAAAATAGTAAGATAAACTCTAGAGGCTGGTAGACATTCTTTTGAACAGACAATGAGATTAATGGATTGATAAAACTCACTCTCCATTCGCTTCCAGTTCACAGATCTCAAAGAAAACCATCAGGTCATATTTGCTGTGACAGGGTCCGGACTGGGGGCGGGTGAGGGCGGACAGCTTTGTGGCCGGGACTGAGGTAAAAACAAAAGACACAAAACAAGATTAAAACAGTAAAATACATGGACAGGACCATAGCAGCCAACTGGGGAAAATAAAGGAAAGAAAACAGGGTTGTAAAATGATCATGAGAGAGAGGACACCGTTGTTACAGTATTTGAAAGTGATACTCAGGAAAGGAAAGATGGGCCTTTGACAAAACCAAACACAGCAAAAAATTCTAAAATAAGTGCTTGATGTAAGATGATTTGAGGATATTTTCACCGTTTTAAAGCTATGTCACATTTTAGCTGAAAACACATACATATATTTGCAATTTTTACCACTTTGATTTTTTTATGTTGTTTCGAGCATGGAAAAAGTCTAAAAACACATGTATCCTAACTGAGTGGGAGTGAATCTCCACAAACTTAAAAATCATTGCAAACATGTATTTGAATCAGAACTCACTTATAATATTCTCAAAAAACAACAACAACAGCAACAAGCATTTATCACCTTGTTTTTTGTATTTTTTGCAGTGTAAGGTTGGGCGGTTCAAAGTAGGACCAGATATTCTCATAATAATAATTATTGTAGCAAGGGGAGTTTGATTCCTTGATCTGTGTTGGCCAATCAACAACTTTGTAAAGTCCTCCGACTTCACAACTACTGTTGTGATTTAGGGATTTACAAAAAATAATTGAATGGAATGGAATCGAGAGGTCCATCTTATGACACAAGCTATAGATCTATCAAATTGTACAGAATCGTGGGTTTTTAATGTATATTTTACTGTTTAATTACTATTTTTAGACTTTGGATGGTATTGCTTTTGCCTCTAAACAGGAACCAAGTTGATCCGTTGTTGTTTCGATATTAACAAGGAAATGAATCAATGAGTCATGAGTTAATAATGCAATTATTTTTCCTTCGATCTGGCCTTCATACACATTATAAGAATATGCAAATTTCTAGTCTACCACAGATGACCCAAACTTCCCAGTTATAGTACAGATACATATTACAGTAAATATTGTGCACACAGAGTTTTCCGAGTTGAGAAGGAATGTATAGGAGGAATTGCAGGGAGTCCACCACTGAAGTTATAAGTCACACACTGGAAGTCAATCCAACCACAAGCTTCTGGTTCCTTTTTCTCTTTATACCAAGGATTTACTACAGTACAGCGTGTTGAGGGCATCTGTAGTAAATTCTGCATTATCTTATGTTATTTAATTAAGTTGTTAACAAAATAATAAATAATTTTCTTTTTTTCAAGTAATAATTTGTTGGTTCCATGACTCCAATTTCTATTCATTTTAGACATGGGTTGATCAGGGCCTTTATCCCCACTGCTGTCAAACTGTACAACAAGTCACTTGAAGTCACTGTATTAAGACTGAAAAACCTGCACTACTATTGACACTATTTCTGATTGACACTTTTTAAATCGACACTTTTTTATTGTAATATCCTGTATTTAACATGTTTGCACATTTCTTTCTTTTTGCATAAGCTTGAGTGTTTCTATCCATGCCAGATGTGACATGTAAATTTCTCCTTTGTAAGATCAATAAAGTATCTAAAGTAAAGTACTTATCTTATCTTATCAATACCCATCTGGTGAAGATTACCTTTGTTTTTTCTTTGTTGTTGTGTGCCCTATGTCTACTTAATTATCTTTTTTTTTTGTTCCTTTTCGTTATGCTATATTGTTAGGACACTCAACATTCAATGACATCTATGGACATTTATGATTGTTTAAGGACACTGGTCATCTGCCCCTTATGGCCCAATGGCTCTATGTGTTTTTATCATTGCATTTCTTGTGTTTGATTCTCTGATCTGTGTTGGCAAATCGACAGCTTCGTAAAGTCCTCCGCAATAACTAGTGTTGTGATTTAGGGCTATTCAAAATAAATGTAATTGAATTAATGGCTGTTATTATTGATTTGTATTGTTTTATGCTGACTGTGCAGCACTTTGTAAATATTGTTTTTGTAAAGTGCTATACATCTAAAGATTTATGGTAAACAAAAATGAATGAAAGATCAAGGCTATGCTCACACTCAAAGAGCAGCCGTCCTCCTGTGGACTCACCACCTGCAGAGGATCAGTGAGGGGCTGGTGCTATGAGACTTGGGTGGCATCTCTGACTGCCACCCCCCTGACCCAGAAATGGATTAAAGGGTAGAAAATGGATGGATGGATGGATGGATAAACAAAAATGCATTTATAAATTATTTTAAATAATCTATTATCATTCAACTCCATGGTACAAATGAATGGGAATTTTATTTTGTAATTTCAAACCTTTACAAAGTTCTGTAGAGTTTTAGATAATAATCTAACACATTTTTACTTTAGACTTAGCTGTAAAACTAGGATTGATATAAAAAGCAGAGACCCAGAATTGTGTTGGATGTGACTTGTTTTAAACCAACCAGGCGTCTGCGCTTTAATAACTGAACAGATAGAGATGGGTGGAGCGGGGAGCTGAGCGCGTTCTTGTGCCTCTACGATGAAAGATGCTGCGAGACCGGCTGCCGAGAGGGCGTGTCCCGACAGAGAGTCCACTAAGGCCCCGTTCAACACGTCCGGGACCAGGTACCGGATCAAGTCCAGGGTTTTCTCACGGTCCGGACAGCTCTCAGAGTCTGCTGCTTGCACCCAACAACATGAAGCTAGCATGACAAGACTGGCAGCACGGTGACAGACATGCATTCAGGATAGGGATGTCTCGATTTCACATTTTAGAGAAAAACGCCACAATATAGAGACTATTTACACTAAAAAAATATATGTTTTTCCATTCATGTCCGGTGTCTCATATGTTACAAATACTCACATGTTACAATGCAAAAATGTACCAAAAGGCACCAAGTTACCAGAATTTCAGTAATATCTTTCTCTAGTTTCACTACATGTTTGTCTATGTTTTTGTCTCAGTTGTCCTATCTATTCATTCTGTCTCACATAACATTTCTGAAAAAAATGTTTTGACTGTCTTAAAATAAGAGTTGCCAATCACAAGTGTATTTGGTGACTGTACTTGAAATAAAAGTAATAATCTTCAAAAAATACTACAATATTTTGGTTTGGTTAATGCTGTTTAACCAGAGAGATGGACATGAGTTTATTTTGCTTCTAAAATGTTCACAATATATACATTTGTTGAATTACGATTATATTGTGACTTGAATAACCTTGATTACTATTATCCATATTATCTTGACATCCCTAATTCCAAACAATACAAGAAAGAGGACATGTCAGAGCGGAGGAATGGCGTACCAGGTTTAGAAAGAGGCATAACCTGAGGGAACTGTCGCCTGCAGGGCCGGAGAGGGCTGTGGACCAGACAGAAATAACATTAGAAATATATTACTCTGGCAAATCACTGTCAGAACACTTAACTACCAGCTTGGCCTGGGGAAAACCAGGCCCAAGCAGGTACTAAGAAAATACTTGGTACAGGTTAAATCGGGCCCTTTGAAACATAGTAAGGCCAATTCAGGGTAGTGAAAACGGGGCTATACATACATAAAACCAAAATCAAAGCTACAAATGCATGATTTAACCTTTCTATTTCTGATACTAAAATCATACTATAACATTTCAAGTACCTTAAGACATCTTTGCAGAGCGGGAGGAAAGGCTGCTTCTGGTAGTGTCCAAACACCTCAAACACGATTGGCTGAGTCTTGATGTAGTCCACGAATGATTTGGTGACTTCAACAGCAATCTTCACAAGATGAGAAGTTTTAGAATATACAGCAGTCTAATGTGGTAAAGTAACGTCTTACATTCTGAACGTGGTAAAAGCCGAGGGGAGGACCACGGCCTGTGTTTTTTAGGGGCTCGGTTGAAAAGGCTTCATCATGGCGATGGATGAAACTGTAGGGAAAACACTTGATAAAAACCTTAATGTGATAGGTCCATAGACTGTAGAAAATGCTAACCCTCTAGCTCAGTGCTTCTCAATTATTTTCTGCCAGGCTCTCTGCCTTAGGTAGAAGAAAACATTTCGCGCCCCCCTGTCCTTACGTTTTTTGATCTGCTCATAACATTCACTCTCAGCCCAAAAAGTCAGATATTGACTCAGATATTAGTTCTGTCTTAAATAGGCAAAAAACAACATAAAAAACAAGATTACTGTAGTGGTTTGTTTTGTGTGAGTTATTCGTTACTTTTGGGCAGAACCAACATGCATTATGAATGTAAGGGAGAATTTAGGTACCCCAGCTTTAATTTAGCGAATTTTAGTTTCAGGGCGTTGGTCACATGAGCTCACTTTGGCCGCGCCGCTGTTATCAAAGCGGCTTCACAGGCGCTGGACGTGGGAACCGCTGTCCTTCACTACAAAACTGTCAGAACGCTGCGGCACCGGAGGATCACGTGAGTCGATCGATTTCACAGTGACAATAGTTTACTGTTTTATGTCTGTCTTTTAATGTTGTTTTATGTCTGTACTTGTCTTGTGCACACTGGTTTTACTGCAAATGGCAAATAAATGAATCTGAATCTGAATCTGATATTGTTTTTGTAAAATCAGACATGACCATTTGCAACTTTGCAAAGCTAACCTCGTCGTAACAAATACCACACAAATTTCCCATAAGAAGCCGATTTTGCATTGGCACCTGTTGAAATACTGAAATAGAATTGATCAACAAGACGTTATTAGGTGTGAGTTGGTTTCAGAACACTCACTTGAACTGGCAGAAGATGTCGGCGTACTCGGCAGAGATGCTGGAGGCCTGGAGGACCGTGACCCTGAACGTGAACATGTTCCCCACCTGAAGATGCTCCAAGCTGGTGTCTTCTACTCCAGGCTTCACGGGGCTGTCGTCATCTCCATCAGCTGTGAAGAAAAGATTATTCTTACAAATTCAAATAAAAAAAAAAAAATATTTTCTAACAAGATGAAGACAGAATGTTGGATATTGATTTAAAAATATCTCTTTATTTTGAGACAAAGACAATGTCTTATTTATGAAAAAAAAGTTAGCTACCCCAGGTCACATTCATTCACCATGTTTGTAGTGAATACATAATAATTGTTGTTGATTATTTTCTAATGGCCCTGTGTGAATTTGCCCACAAAATACCAAGAAACACTTTTTACTGATTATCCTACAGCTAATATTAGTAATTATACAGCTAACATCCTACAACTTACAATATGACATCAGTATTACATAGAGTATGTGTAGGATAGCCCTTGTGGTTATGTTATACAGGTTTACAGAGAGATTTGATTTTCACTAAGAGTTGAAAGAAGGAAGACTGGACTCACAGACTGGACTTGTCTCTCACGTCTAAAATAAAATTACCCGCACATGTGTTGTTGTTCATTTCATCAGCTGATGGTCCCAGCTCGGAGCTCTGGCCCTCCCCCTCCACGATACGCAGCTCCTCCTGGGACATGGCTTTACGGGACAGGCCCCCAGAGCAGGACTCAGACTGGAACTGTGAGAAAGCAACACACGTTTTATAGTTAAGCAAGAATATTTGATAGTGATTTTATTTTATTATTTGAAGATAAATAGATGGAGTGAGATAGGGGGAGAGAGAGAGGGAGAAAGAAAGAGAGAGACATAATGAGGTAGATAGATAGATTTACAGTCCAATGTGACAAGCCTACTCTGTTTTTGCTCTTTTATTACACAAATAATATTTCAGAAACATTGCATGTATTAAGACTGAGCAACCCATGCTTACTTGAAGTCTGATGAGTAAGTTATGACCTGGTTTATACAGTGATGGGAGACCACAAGATGTTATAGTGGTAAAACACTTCACCCACGCTGGATAGTATGATTCAGTCTGTCAGTCTGCCTTTAGGCCAGCTGGAGCTACATTAATAACTTACCACCGTGTAAAGTATTGTTTGGTCTCAGAAAAAGTGCAATGGTTTTTATTTATTGCTATTTGTATTACTTGTTAATGTGATATGATGCTACGGCAGCTGTCATGCATGCTGAGGTACCAAATGTATTCAAATGTATATATAGGATCTATAGTTATTAATTGATCAGTATGTAGCAGGCAGCAGGTGATGGACCACTGTGTGATGTACCCTCTCGTACTGCTGGTCCTCGAAGGAGATCTTGGCGGTGCCGGACTGCCTCACTCCAGAGCCGTAGTCTGGGGCCTCTTCATCGGCTGGAGGGAAACACAGAACACCTTCACCTCACTCCCTCCAGAAGTCCCACACAATCTGTACTTTATAATGACTATAGTTGGGTTCATCATTAAATTCACTCTTACAGCAATCAGCCAGAACAGTATGATCAAAGGTGAAATTGAAAGTGTAAAGATCATTACTGCAATGGTTTGTGTCTTTGGCTGATTACAAAAAAGGTGTCGTATTAAATGAAAACGACACCTACTGTATTTATAGATTTCCTTTTTTATCTATTGAAAATCCTCATCGGGTATTTCATAGTACCATCACATTTTCACAGAGCAACTAAAAATACGGTGACATTTTTGCTTATAGAGATGGTATAATATCAGTTAGTTCTTAATAGTGATTGATCTTTGAATGTTGCATTGATACTAAAGTAATAATGGAAGATATAAGCCAATACATTGACTAAAAAATCGCCAAAGCCTAGTTTATCGTAAAGTTAGTTAACTTATGAAAAATAGTGTTTTTGCATATTCTATTGGAAGAGCTTTTTATAAAGGCGACAATAAAAGTATTGGTAAAAGTAAAAGTGTAAAGTGTTACTGCAATGGGCAAATAAACTGCTGTTTCAGCAGGCTGTGTATTTAGCAAGTGGTCATAATGTTATGCCTGATCACGTTTTACTACCGCGTCTGTGATCCTTACCTGATATGGCCTGCACTGCTACTCTCAGAAACCCCTTGACTTCTCCTCTCTCATTCACAACGGCCACACGATGGACCAGAGGAACAGGGTAAAGGAGGTTACTGAGATAAACAAAAGCCCTGCAAAAACACAACAAGAAGAAACAACATTAAATTAGAAATACAAATACGAAACATCTTAATGTAGGATTCAAAATAATTAATACTGGACTGGACAACAGAACATAGAGCAGCAAAGCAACTTAACGAAAGCTGGGACGGCTCTTGCGATGGCCATAGATTTACCCTTTTCTATTGTTATAAAATATAGGGGCATTGCTCACCATTTAGACAATTGTATTATCAGGACAATTGTGGGAACATGCAAATCCAAAATAACATTGTACTGATAAGGTTTGGTGAGGCTTGGAGCTGTGTTGAACAAAAACCAGCTCAGGGATTTGAGTTTTAATTGTTTTCAAGGACCACTCAAGGACCAGTCGTGTTATAGACGTTAATAAACAATTACAAATGAAAAGTGTATAAAAGAGAACAAGGCATATGACAAGATTGGTGAGGTGCAAATAAGGCATGCTCAGGACAATAATATGAACAAAAATACTAAAGTTTTAGATTTAAAATAACCATATAAGCAAATGAAACATAAACCATCACACGATTCAGCCATAAGAATAATAATAAAAGAGCCAAAAGCTTCAGACTGGACAAAAACCATATCAAGGTGCACCTCGTGATTGGCACAGAACTGGTGAACTGGTCAAAATTCACTTGAAATAATATATAATTTAAAAAGTGCTTGTGCTCTGGCATGCCTAAAAGAGACCGCTGCAGTAGAAAACCAGCTCTTTCCACGTGAGATTTTGACTTTTACAAAAAAACTTGAGACTGTAGTATTTTTAAGTCATCTACAAGACATGTCAGTGCTTGTGAAAAGGTTATAAAGCAAATAATGTTGCAAGATGTTAAGTCTGTGACACAAAACACAAGCAGATGCTGAGAATCAACATTGCTTGGACTTTTATGCAAACACGTGCTCGATGTAAGTAAAGTGGTGGGCCTGACAGCAAAGAATAGCAAGCATTTAGTTTGGGGTTGGACCGGTTTTCAGCCGATGTCCCAGAACTGATAGTAGAATAGGAATGATATTGTATAAAAACTGTAGCTTTGCTTTTTTATCTATTTAAAATGCCTCCCTGTTATTTCATTGTACTATCACATCAATAAAGAGCAACTAATAATAACCCTAACACATTAACCCTAACCCTAACGCATTAAGTAATCAAATGTAAGCTATGAAAGGTTTCAATATTTGTTTTTTTAATCATCATTCAAGTGAATCTTGTAACACCATTTTTAAATGGGCACTTTGAGTTGCCTTGTGCATAAACTGTGCTAAACAACTTGTCATGGTCTATATCAGAACTAGTCTAAAGCCTTGTGGCACCAATACCATTATAATACATGATTATACATTTTTTTATGTAATCTTTAATTCAGACACACAAGGGGTCCATATAAAAACAGACGAGGTATTTTATTTTTAATGTCCTAAATAAAGGAGAATTTATCAAGTTATCATTTGAAAAGTTGGTTGAGCATTAAATCTAGTCACCAAGTACCACTATGTACTTATGTATTTATGTATATACAAAATAACATCTAAATGTCCTGAACAAGTGCCTTTACCAAGATATTATCAAGCTGTCAAGTTGAGCAAATTATCATTGTGGTATAGAACTTTGATACTCAAGAGTTTTTGAGTATCAAATCTATTCATTCATCCTTGAGTTTTCAATTTCCCGATGTGAAAGAGCTAGTTTCCTCTCAGCCCGCTCCGAGACCTCACCAACCTGCCCACTACACTGAACAATGGTGCGCGGTCGTAAAAGGGGTCCAGGCCTTCGCAGGAGCCACGGCACACACCCCTCTCCTCTTCACCACCACCACCACCATCATCATCATCATCCTCCAGCTCCAAGCAAGAATCATCCAAAAATATGTCCTGGTCCAGATCGTCCTCCAACTCCGCCTCCTCCGCCCCGCGCCCGTCGGCCAGCTCGGTGACCTCGGAGGTGGACGGGGTGGGGGACGGGGTGGGGTCGCTCATGCGCTTGCTCATGCATGTGTGGAACAGGGGGTTTCTGGTACAGCCACACATAGAGTTAGTACAGTGAGAGGCGGAAGCAGCAAAGGCGCAGACTAAGAGAAACTCCCTCCTCTTCTCTATTCTTCTCCAAGATATCAACATTTTTAGCTCCTGAATCCTGAAATAATTGGTTGAAATCAAACCAGTCATGCTGCCATAGATGAAGTTCTGCGTTTCCTTTCTCTTCTCTTTTAAATGATTTACTCTTTTGAATGCCTTTTCTAACTGCCTTAGGACAATGGGCGCAATTTTTAGTTGATGCTGTTTGCCGACACAGTGATTAATATGTACTGTCCTAAATTCAAATAAATAAATACGTTTTTCACCCTTCTCTGCTCCTCAGCTTCTTGTCTAGTTTCTTCCCCAATGCACATATGCATAATTCAGATTAAAATTGAGTTTTTCTTTTGGTTATAGATACTCCGCTCCTAGACTTCCTGTCTAGATTCTCCTTCAACAAACGTATGCATTTGTGTTTTTCTTTGTTGTGCACAAATGTTGGATGGATTTTTGTTATATTATATTGATTTCATATTGAATTAGAGATTATTTTACACTTGTTGTCGTTGCCTTATGTTTTTTTTTTCACTACAGAACCATAAACAATATAGGGAACAGTTTATTTTCCATTTTCAGTAAAACCACATTGGAATACCTGGAACACTTTGATCACTTTGCAATATGGGCGGATGCTACATACATAAATGCTTATTCTGGAAAATACGTTAAGGAGAGCATGTTCTCTCCTCTATGGGTCAAACAGCCTCATGAGAAATGGCAAAATCGAGGGGAGGAGGAGAGGAGAGGAGGAGGATCTTTGAGAACTGTGGACAATGGATTATTTAAGGGTAATTAATGAGAGAGAGAGAGCAAGCTGATAACATAACCTTGTTCTGTGCTGCCATACACACTTTTCTTTGACCAACTTTAGCACAGGTAGTGCACCCCACACATAATAACCCCAATTCACAAAATAAGAATCCAGATAATCCAGAGAAGGTACAGTATCTGTATCTTTTCCCGTAAAGATTGAAACAATGGTGAACAATACTCAAACTCATTTCTTAAATCAGATATTTGTTTTGTATATGTAGACACTTATTTCGTAGACACATTTCGTACTTTAACGCAAATATTTTTTTTACTAGGGTAATGAGTTCATTTTTGTTGCTGCACTCCTGGTTCAGATCAGATGTCTCTTCACCTCTTTTGGTGGTTTACCTTTGGCAGTGACAGCATTTTACAGGTCTGGATGGGATGTATTATCTGACAACAATTCTAATGTTGGATACAGTTAAATACAGACGGAAAAGTTTATCATGTCTTTTCTATCTGTCACACACACAAAACAGACCTAAATCCACTTATACAGAATGTAAAACTACTTGTGAATCAAGAGTTGTTCATTAATTGAATAGTAAAGATATAGAAATAGTACCGAAAATCCAAATCTTATGGAGTTGCCAGTCATTGACAGATCCACAGCCATGTTTGAAGGCACACTCTGCTCTCTGCATCACAATGAGCTGAATGAAGCTGTTATATAATCACAGTTTGTGACTGTAGCAGAGATTAGGAGCTGACGCCAAGATTTGTATGAAAAAAAATCTGCAGCTTTAGAGTGGGAGGCAAGAACAGAAATCCTTCAAGAATATGTATTTTCTCTTTCAGTAATCTACCAAATGAAATACTCATATGATCATTGCTACAGACATACAGTATACTGTAAGTATTGTCTGTTTACTCCACATGTCATGGTGTGGATTTTGCTATTTTGTACATGGTTCTTTTTACTTCAGTTCTCTGTAGTTTTGTTTTAGTTTTATTTCCTATCTCCTGTCGAATTTCTGCACCTGGGCCTATGTGTACCTGTGCTCTTCCCCGCTTGCTGCTGGTCCATTGTCTTTGTCCATCTTTTTTCTTGGTTCCGTTTGTTTTTTAAGTTTGTTTTTTACCTTGGATTTTTATTTATTATGTTCATTAAATCAGAATCGTTTGCATTCCTGCTTTATTGGTCCTCCTTCATCTCACAACATGACACCACATTATGTAATATCTATTAAACAATTGATCACTTACACATGCTTCTTTTGTCAGTCCAGCCAAAAGACAAGATTTTATACACCAGGAGAGTCCAGTGGTCCTTCCCCCCACTGCACATTATAGCTGTATTATACTGTAGCTGCATTTGCCCTTTGGTGTTAATTTGGATTTCCCTTCTTGTATTTAAGCCCCTCCTTAGTTATTCTGCATTCGATCCCAAACAAAAGATTTTTTATTTTTGCTGCTACTGGACACCTGAATTTCTCCTAAAGGGGATCAATAAAGGATCTATCTATCAATATAAAAGAAGGTGGAAGAAATAATGGATGGAATCAAAACCACAACAAAAGGTAAAATTCCAATCCAACCAGCCCACCCAATACGACAACGGCTTAATAATTTTTTTTATAAAAAAACATTTCAAAAGGTTATTTCTAGGTTGATTTCTGCTGTGCGTGCTTTCTCATGGATTAAATTGGAATAAGAAATAGCCATCTCGCCTCTGACCTTATGGTGAGGAGACTATAGGTACCGCGTATAACAAGAACACACTCTGGGGAGTTGTTTGCCCGTGGACCATGATTAAAAACGTTTACCTGCCAACGAGCCTGAACCAGGGGAAGCGGTCGTAAAAGGGGTCTCCTCCGGTCATCACGGTTTCACTCTCCTCCGTGGAAGTGTTCGGCACTTCAGCTGCGCGGTCGTACATGTCTCGCATCAGGTCAAGCCTTTGCCTGCAGAGAAAAGCAATTAGCACATGAGGACTTTAGGTTCAATTCAATTCCATTTCATTCAATTGATTTGTATATTTTAATGTTTTAATTTTTTTAATGACCTGTGTGATTTTAATTGTGTTTTTAATGGTTATTTTGGTGTTTTTTTATGCCTTGTGGGATGTGGACTGTAAAGCGCTTTGTGTTACCCTGTGTAGGAGAGCTTCTCTACAAATAAAGATTTATTGATAGTGGTCTGTAACATCTACAAATGTGCTATTAGTACATTTGATAAGCCACTGTATATTCCCTACAGAGGTCTTTTCCTAGCATACAGACTTAAATCCTAAATCCACTCTCCCTCTGTAGCAAGTGTCTAAACCATCTTAGTCTCGTAGATCCGACTTTATCTCTATGAAAATCTAACTTGAGCTCTCCCTCATATGGGTTTATTCACTGTCTGTGTCATGAATAAAGAGAAGTTTAAGAACTTCAGCTTTGCCTCCAAAAGATATGGCAGGATAAATGCATTTTCTGATTTGCGTTCACCTGAGTTTCTCCAGGGTCCAGTGATGTGTGGCTCCGTTCTTCTGGTCCTGCACCTCCACGGCCACAATGGTGCGTGGGAACTGGTGCTTCTCTCTGTCCACATCCAACTCTGGGGGCAAGAAATCCGGAGGCAACGGCGAATATAGCGAGTCGGTCAGCAGCACAAACTGAAACTGCACCTAGAGAAACAAAAACAGTACAGGCCATAGTTGATTAAAAATACATCAATATTAAAACCATTCCTAATAGTTAGGAAATGTGTAATTGTGTGTTTGTGCTCTTTATACAGTGCCGTTCACAGACTAGTCACAAAGATCTTATAGTACCATCTAGTCAAAAGCAACAATAATGGAGGAAACCTACTTGGATACAGGGAGAACACTCAGAAATGCCCCATCTGGACACCAGAGAAAGAGACCAGAGAGAGAAACCAGAGAGAGAGACCAGAGAGAGACCAGAGAGAGACCAGAGAGAGACTAGAGAGAGACCAGAGAGAGACCAGAGAGAGACTAGAGAGAGACCAGAGAGAGACCAGAGAGAGACTAGAGAGAGACCAGAGAGAGACCAGAGAGAGACTAGAGAGAGACCAGAGAAAGACCAAAGATGCATCAGAGAGAGACTAGAGAGTTCAGAGAGAGTTCAGAGAGGGACCATGTTGTTCATGTAAAGTCAGTAATTGGGCAATTCAATTTATCTATTTCTATTTATCTTCTTTGTTTTGTTTTTTATTCTTTTACAATTGCCAAGATGTGATGGATAGAACACATTTGAACCTTTTTCTTGAGCTCCACACTGATAGCATTGGCTTCTTTCAAGAAAATGGCATTTCCCCACAGAAGGTCTCGCAGAGAAGTGAATTGGTAAGACCTCCACTTCCGGAAACTCCACAACGCCAACTCTCGCTCTTTCTCTGTCCATTGAACTGAAACCAAAACAATGACACATAATTAGTATGAAATGGACACCTCTCATACAAATGCACTGTGCAGTTTATAACCTTCTTCCTCTGGCTCCTCCTCTTCTTCCACAGCATCTGGGTTGCAACGGGCCACTTGTTTTTGAAGAGCCTCCAGTTTACTCTCATAATCCTGAAGTAATTCAACATAAAAATAAACACAACATTATTCATTTATGAACAAAGTAATGGAATAATCTCAATTTGACGTTGAAATAATACAAAATATATGCACCAATGAAACATCTCACTAAAAGCATCTATTTCCTAGTATGTGTTGTAGTATTGTACTGTTTTAAAACAAGATTTCCCAATAGAAGAAGCTGCTTTAGTGTTATTTCAAACATACGCACCAGTCTTTGTTGCTCCAGGAGGTTGTTGGTCTCTTCTCTTTCTTTGCGATACTGCTCCTCCAGCTCCTGCAGCCTGAACACACAAACACACTTTTTAACAATGTTTTCTCCAACATGTTTTGACCATAGACTGTAAATATTAACGGACGTAGAGACGCCTATCTCCGCCGTATAAACATATTGTGTCATCACTTACCCCTTCTGCCGTCTTTTTTATCAAAATTGACACGTATTTTTGTCATTGTTTGGCTTCAGCAATTGGTCCACAGAAAGCATGAAATAAGGTTTGTGGTTGACCAGTTACAGTGGTGGATTCAAGGATGTAAAATGATGTTTGTTGTTCAAACAGTAGAGCTCCCTCCTTATTTTAAAATCAAATCATCAAAGAAAAAACACAAAAAACCGAATATCTTAGTAATTGTTATTTCTGTCTGTTAATTTTGCAAGCATATTGCTAGTGCGGTCAAACAATTCAAATATTTTAATCACTATTAATCACATTAGGAAGTAAGTAAATAAGTAATATTTATTTATATAGTGCTATTTACAGACCATGGTCACCCAAGGCGCGTGTTGGGAGTTCAGAGACAGACATTAAGGCCATGGTCACAGCCCAATCGCAATTACTCGCACATTTTGTACTGTTCTGTGACGGGGTGAGCCCGTCCCTGAGCACGCTGTCCCACGGAGCGCATGTGAAGATGCGCGCGCCCGGTGCCATGGTGGCTGCGCGCAACGGCCAAGCCCATTCATTGACTACTGGGGACTGTGTTTGTGACATGTAGCGTGCGTGAACACGTCTTCAGGGTGCACACTTGGAAGCGTTGCATGGTGTGTTAAATCTAGTTACATGTGTCATTCACTCGCCTGTGCTGGCGTGGTCGTGGCGTATTGTGCGGTTTGGCAAACCCGGACATAAGGAGCCCGTGGATTAAATGCACCTGTCTGTGGGTCATGTGGACCACAGCTCATTTGCATGGACATTTGGACTCTTCGTAGTGTGCTCATAATTTATTTCATTGTATATGTGTCAATGTAGAATTGTAATGTGAAATCATGAACCTAAGGAAAGCGCCATGTATTGTAGATATGGTTGGTTATTAGGATGATTGGTTTTGTAATGTGGGAGGGGCCGGCAGGGTACATAAGGTGTGCTTGTCTGCCCATGGGGGTCGTGACTCATTACAGAGAAGGTAATGTGGACTGCAGGAGCTTGAGTGTAAAGCTAAGGAAAAAGAGACTTAGTGTTGAAGTCGTGCATATTTATTGTAAATATCCTTTTTGCCGATAGTCTTTTCACTGTGCTCTGTAAATATGGTTTTTGTAATTTCCCACTGTTTTTCTACTGAGAGTTTTTAATTAAAAACTTCTGAAAACGCCCTTTCCGACCCAGCCATGTGTTCTGTTTTAAACGAACCTTCACTTATGGTGTCAGGAGTGGGATGGCGGTCGGGAAACACGAAGGGCTCGGAACGAAGTGTGGAAATGTCTGTTGATTGATCAAGGAGAGCTACAGGGCCACAACCGGTGGCTGAGCAGGTGTCCGGGGAGACGGCCTGGCTGGGCAGTGGAGGGAAGAGGAGCGCGTAATGCCTCCGAGGACTGGAAGCGGCTGAACCCCAGGGGCCGCTGCCTCTATCACCGCGTGAGAGGCATCTTAAGTTGGTGGACCCAGCGACTTCACCAGAAGCTGGGAGGAGCAGGACCCGGGTGAGAATCAAGCAGAGACTCACGGTCGCTATATTCACCGGATCGCTCCCGGAGAGTGAGGAGCGCGCCAGGGGCCAGCGTACTCAAGCGGCGGGTTTGGTCCGTGGTGGTGCGGACTATACGGTTTCCCCACAGTGTCAACCTTCCAGAGGGGAGGGATAATGTGACGGGGTGAGCCCGTCCCTGAGCACGCTGTCCCACGGAGCGCATGTGAAGATGCGCGCGCCCGGTGCCATGGTGGCTGCGCGCAACGGCCAAGCCCATTCATTGACTACTGGGGACTGTGTTTGTGACATGTAGCGTGCGTGAACACGTCTTCAGGGTGCACACTTGGAAGCGTTGCATGGTGTGTTAAATCTAGTTACATGTGTCATTCACTCGCCTGTGCTGGCGTGGTCGTGGCGTATCGTGCGGTTTGGCAAACCCGGACATAAGGAGCCCGTGGATTAAATGCACCTGTCTGTGGGTCATGTGGACCACAGCTCATTTGCATGGACATTTGGACTCTTCGTAGTGTGCTCATAATTTATTTCATTGTATATGTGTCAATGTAGAATTGTAATGTGAAATCATGAACCTAAGGAAAGCGCCATGTATTGTAGATATGGTTGGTTATTAGGATGATTGGTTTTGTAATGTGGGAGGGGCCGGCAGGGTACATAAGGTGTGCTTGTCTGCCCATGGGGGTCGTGACTCATTACAGAGAAGGTAATGTGGACTGCAGGAGCTTGAGTGTAAAGCTAAGGAAAAAGAGACTTAGTGTTGAAGTCGTGCATATTTATTGTAAATATCCTTTTTGCCGATAGTCTTTTCACTGTGCTCTGTAAATATGGTTTTTGTAATTTCCCACTGTTTTTCTACTGAGAGTTTTTAATTAAAAACTTCTGAAAACGCCCTTTCCGACCCAGCCATGTGTTCTGTTTTAAACGAACCTTCACATGTTCTAAAGGTCCCTTGATTTGGTTTGAAAAGGGATCGCAAAAAGCTTACATTAATCCAATCCCCTCCAAAAAGAAAGTATTTGGATTGTCTAATATAGGCTACTCAATCTCTGCAGGCTTTTTCTGTTGATTGTTTAACGGTGTATAGAACTATTTAACATTCCGTAGTAGGAATGACTAATAAATTCTGCCAGACAGTCAGTCAGAGAATATCAATATCACGCGCTGTAGAAATAACTATAGCTTCAACCTTTGGGCTGTGACCTCGAGATAGTTGTGATTAATTCTGATTAGTTCGGAAATTTTTCCGCTGTGGGACGAATAAAGGATCTCTCTTAATCTTAATCTTACTGGATCCACAGAACTAAACAACTATCGGCCTATTTGTAGGAAGTCCTTAAAAAAATTATCCAAATCATAGACTTGTTTGAACATAAACTCGCCGTTAACGCTATCCTCATCATTGTCCAATACCTCTGGTCCATCTCCTGCTTCATGTCGATGCCCTGTTTGTCCAGCAGCTCTCTCTGAGCGAAGGCCCAGTCCACTGGCTCCACAGGCGTTTCTGCACAAGGCGTCCGCTCTCTCTCGGCCCGCGCCTGCACCGGATGGTTAAACCGAAAGACGTGGCTCTTACCCAGAATAATGCGGTTTCCTAAAGGGATATAAGACACTGTTAGTTATCTATGAAGAAAAGAGGGAGACTTATTTCTCTTGTCAGTGTTAAATCATACCAAATACAAGACTTTACTGCTCATCTTCATATAAAGCTATGTTTAACACACCCAAAATATTTGTTAGGGTGTGGATTTTTAAATGTTGTACTTGGTTTTATACTAACTTCAGTTCTCTGTGGGTTTTAGCTTGACTTTGTCTTGTTCCACCCTATTGTGTTTCACCTGTGTCTCTATGTGTCTATATTTTTTCCCTTTGCTCGTACCCATTTGGGTACACTGTAAGTACACTGTATGACGCCTGGGAGGCGGTTGTGAAAGCGGCGTGGGCCCATAGGTATGATAGAATATACAATTCATACAGTATACACCATAGCTGATATACATATATTTAAGATGTCGCTGAATTTCAGCGATGGTAGTTGGTAGGAGGTAGTTTCAGTGGTTTCAATGGTTCAAATCTGTAACTTCTTTTTTAAACAAATTTTAAAATAAATATACTATTATATGTATGTATTTTAGTGACAAGATCTTTTTCTTAATTTCTCCGTGGGTTTCCTGCTTAACCAGAATTGAATCAGAATCGTGCTTTACCTTAACAGAAACAGATTTGCTTTCAGAAGTAACAGTGGGTAAATTAAATCAGGTGAATAGGGGGCAGCTGTGGCTCACAAACAGATAACGGCCGTTTCTGACCTGATTTAAGAACAGTGGCCTCTGTGACTCTCTTCCCATTCACGTAGATCTCTGCTCCATCACACGGCTCTAGTATCACAGCTGCGCACACAGACAGACAGCAATAAAGGCTTAATTTCCTTTCCTGAAAGCCTGGACCATTATGTGGCACTGCTAAAGACAGAAAGGTTATCTCACTTTCCCCGCTGCCCTCTGATGAGCTGGTGAAGGTGCAGTGCTCGTCTTTGATGAAGTGGCCGCTGAGAACGATGTCCTGGCGGCTGACGGCATCTTCACGCCCAACTCTGCAAGAGGATTTGTGAAGATGAAATGATGTAGAGGAAAATTGTTCAAAAAGGTGTTCCAAACTCTGCATATATTCAACAACAGTATCCACTTTGCCTATGTATGAAAGCTGTGATTTCAGACTAGCTCCCTTATTATGATAAAGCTAGAGATTTTATTTTATTTTAGTATAGTTCTTGTTCATTTATAAGTTAAGTCAGAATGCCTTGGACCTTTCCCTCTTTGTTTCTCCTGTGTTATTATTATCATTATTAGTAGTAGTATTAGTAGAAGTAGTAGTACACATCTAAAGGATTAATATGTGAGGTCTATACCTACTGGGCTCATATATAGCATCATAAGCTAATCAATCAAGCTAAGATGTCAACAAGCCAAGAATGCAAGAGGAGCTCGACCTTCTGACCACTGCTAAAAACCTGATTTGTTTTAATGCAATTGTTTGGCTTCTTCTTATAGTGTCTCATAATGTGTCTATTGGTAAAGCTATCTATGTCCTGTGTTTCCTATTGGACAAGAAGACTTTTCTATTAAAGAAGACATAGACAGACCACAGTATATAAAGTCTGTACAATGATTACATTACTCGGAGACACTGTCCACACATTAAAGACTTCCTTCAACTAAGTATGCAGTCTCATATTCCTTGCATCATTGATTCTTTGCCTTTGCTCCTCTGTCCACCTTAATTCTTAAACGCAAGGCACTTGTAAACATTTCAGGTTAATCTATGACCATGACTTTACACATGGGAGTGGACTGTGATAAGCCAATGTTTTATAAGGCCTCTATGAACTATGTACATACAGTATGTAGCTCACCTGGTGGTTCCGTCTTTAATGTAGTAAAGGAGGCATTCAGACATCAAAGGGTCTTCATTCAGGTTCACCAGATGTGGAGTCTAGGACAAAAAAGGCATTCTAAATAAGGACAACTAATATATCGGGTAATTGAAAAAGAATGGACAGATTAAAATGCCTAATATTTTTTTGATTTGAGGGAAACACCATTAGAAAACTCCAGTCAGTTTTCTACTCACATTCAAATGTATTTCGTATGATAATGGCACCTACAGCACGGGCAACATTGTATCATCATATAATCCACTGACCAGCTATTGTTATGCTAATAAACATAACCAATGGCAGCCATCTAGAAAACTCACAAAAATTGTCACAAGGTCATTCCATAACACGGCCTGAGAACTGAAGAAGTCCCGTCCATTCTTTTTGAATTACCTTTTACAGATCATTGTGTGTCTACATGTTGCTTACTAAACATACCATAAGTTTTTACCACACATCAGAACACAAGAAAGGGAATAGGAAAACATGAACTGATTAGAGATAACTGACTCATGAATGTTTTTCCTCTCACACAAAATGAGAGTGTTTAAAGTCAGTGAGGCTAAAACAGACAGAATCTCAGTCCTCCCTCTGCCTCTCACCTGGCAGCTTTTAAGCACTGCCCTGCATCAAGCTTTCATATTGGGCAGAAAGCTTTCATTCGCACAGCAACCTCTCCATCACGGCCTCATCAGCCGGACCAGCTTCAACCCTTCTCTTACCACCACCAGGGTCTAGGCCCCCCGGGGGTTTTAATGTCATAATCTTTATTTTCCCTTCTGCATGCAGTGCTCTGGGGGTCTAAGGGCCCAATCATAACCACATGTAATGTACTGCAGCAATAAATGTCATTCATACATACATTGTCGGATGTGTTATTTGTATAGTGACAGATTACATACCAACCAATACATTATAAACCAATTCAAACCCTAACCCTAACCCTTTTCTGTCTGTTTGAGTCTCCCAGATAGAAAGTGCACATACAGTATATACAGGTATGGACAAAGTGACATTTTGGAAAGGAAATGTAAATGTAGAAAATAAATGTAAATATTTGACTAGAGAAAGATAACAATGGTTTGAGTTTTGCTTGGGAACATTAAGAACATATGAATTACATACATCTATAGTACAAGCTCATCCTTGAGACATTTTTGATCACTCTTGTAGCCATAACTGAAAAGGAATGGTATGTATACACCCAAAGATTCAGGGAAACTGCAGATGTTTGAAGAAAGGACACCACACTCCAGAGCCACAAACCTCATTAGGAGAAAACAGCCCAACGGTGTCAATAAACACAGGCTCTGGTTTTCTAGAACTATCCGACGGCTTTGGGTAAAATTATGCATTAAAAAAAACATATGGATATACACTTCTTACAAGAAACTGTCAACAAGAGAATATCTATAAGTTGTCTTACCTTTTTAGGTGAAAATACTCCCAGTGTTCCCCCATCTTCTCGCATTGCCACGCCCATCTCTGCTAGCAAAGCTTCTCTATATTAGGGACAACAGAAACATTTTACACTGCTATTTCAAAATAGGAAGTAATGTGTTTATGTGCGCAAAATATAGAAGACTTGGACTATAGCAGGAGTTTAAAACAATTGAAATGTTTTTAATACCGTTCCATTCTGATGGCTTCTGTTCTGCGGAGTTTCTCCTCCCAGGTCTCATTGAGTTCTGCTATGATTTTCTCTGTTTCCTGAAAAAGCAATACAAAAAAAAAAACAGATTAAATTATGTAGAAATTGTTCAATAATCATCAAACAGAATAGGTAGTAGGTTAAAAACTGGAGGTAATTGGAGGTGGAGTGTTTTTTAATCTAAATTTGAGGATTCAGATACATTTTGCCAAATTTGAGCAATTTTTGACTTATTTTGTATCACTTTTTGCAGTATATGTGTATTTACTGTGTATATTACTGTTTACCTTTAGCCTCTCTATGGCCTCCTCACTTCCAGGGCTGAACATGATGCGGTCGTGGAGGCTGGCGATGGACCCGACTCGGCTCGACAGTGCGGACAGAGATGGAGAAGGGCTCATCCCGGTCATAGCATTAGTCACTGTGGAAAACCCCTCATTGTTATTGTTCTTGAAATCGGACACGTCTGTCACGACACGAGGCACATGGATGGATGATGAGTGGGACAGGAGGAAAAAAAATGGGGAAATAAAGTACAGGAGAGATAGTTGATAAGTCAACGGAAAGGGGAGAGAGGAGAGAAAGAAGATATGTGTCTTGAAACAAATCTAATTGACAGAGTGACATTTGAGCCGAGTGACAACAAGCTCAGGAAGCTTCAGCAGAAAAGCCAGGCACAAGAAAAACTTTAAAATACAACAAAGCCATTCGATTTTGCAAACAAAATACAGATACAGGAAGAAGCACCATACAGTATAGGGCTGTAATTATTGATTATTTTGATAATTTATTACAAGAGCAACTAAAGATGCAGTCAATGATTTATCCAGACGCAATTTATAAAATGGGGAAACATCCCTAAACCCCAAAAGTAGTCAAGTTATCATGGGGTTTCAAATAGGAATGGACAAGACCAGATGCCTGTAGCCTCAAAAAATAAATCACAAATAGTTTAGAGTGGACCGATAGAATGAAACCAATTGGATACGTTCACAGTTTTTCCAATGTGGTTTTACTGAAAATGCAAAATAGATTCTTGAATCTCAAATCCATCCATCCAACAGAATTGGTTGTTTGATTATAATTTGTTAATATATTTCCATTTAATTCTGCAGCGTAGTTAAAGCCATGTTTTGAGTCTGTATGGTGGAAAAGAAATAAAATACTAGGGTATCTAATTTCTCTTTTCTAATAATTTTCTGCTTTTGTTATTATTGTCATTAATAATTATGTTGTTTGTCCCGACATAAAGAGCCCTGTGAGTCACTATTTGACTCTTTGAATTGGAAGATTGAGGGTGGCCATATTTTTTCCCCTGTGACAGAGCCCAAAAACTATAAGTGATAGAATAAATTGATTGCGATTGTTACAGCCCTAACTTTACGGTGCGATATGTTCCCAAAGTAAAAACAAAGCATTGATGAATGAACCCTGATTTTTTGAGGAGACGGTGCAAGAGTTTAATTTTCTCTCTATGTAAACACATACAAATCCACATAATAGCATTTCTGCCAGTTCACTAATGACTTTCTAGGCCGTAACCATGACTTTGTAATTGTCCATCGTGTTTCAAGATTTTGCCATTAAAATCGACGTCATCAAACACAGCTATGGAAACACAGTGCAATAAAATGAGTGAAATCCTATCCCCACCATCCATCTCCTGCGTGGACTGTCCAAAAGGATCCAGTATTACATCTCTGAGCAGTAAATTAGGTCGTATGTTATGGGAAGGCAGTAAAAATGCAGCGCAGTTCAAACAACCAATAATATGCAAGTTATCCGAGATATGTGGCAGCCAACAGGGGGAGATAAGGCCACACGAAGCAAGTGATAAAAAAATATTTCATGATATAAATCAGGGGTATCCAAACTACACCCTGAGGACCAAATGGGGCTTCAAGATCGACCTCTATTCTATTAGACTTCGAGATTCTGGGCCCAAATCATGACTATATTTTCTATCTGCTATTGTAAGTTTGTAACCTTAAAATATATTAACGTATAAATCTCAAATTAAAGCTGGGGAATCTAACTTTTCCCACACAAATAATACATGTTTGTCCAGCACGTGTTTCGACCACAACATGCTGTCTTTTTGCATAAGATCCCTGTGAGTCACTATTTGACTCTTTTGGCTGAGAGAGGGTGGTCCTCTCTTTTTCATATTTTTGTGTGAAAAGGCTGATCTATATATATGCATGTGAAAACTAGCTTTAAGTGGTTTGTTTGCTTGTTATTATCACATTTCCTGTGATTCTCTGATGTGTTGTTGGTGGATCAACAACTTGGTAAAGTAATCTGAGACAACTGCTGTTGTTATTTTGGGCAATAAAAAAAAAAATTGAATTGAAATCAAACTAGTTACATTGTAATGCATCACTCCATGTTTGTGGTTTGAAGGTTATTGACTTATTCTCTAGTCTCTGGCTCCATTGTTTGGCCCTCAGTGAAAAAAGTTTAGACACCCCACATTCCAATGATATGCTGCCTGTACAATGCAAAACCTCCAACAGCACCACTGCATGGACTATAGGCTACAGCTGGTTAAACTCCTAATTGTTACTTTCTTCAAAAAAACAATTATACTAAATTATAGAGAATATAGATAGAGTTACACTACAGACATAGATATGTCAATACCGTGGTGCTGCAGAGAAGACACAAGAATTTGCCGCAACATTAGGCTCATTGATTATATTTGCTCGGATGCCATTAGCACAAAGGAAAGACATATATGTAGACACACATTTCAAAACCTCTACGTCTGCGCCAGTGCCACGGAACGCTGGAAGAGTGAACAGAGAGAGAGAGAGAGATAGAAAGAGAGAGATACAGAGACATTCAGATGCCAATAAATGTCACGAAACAGGAGTTCTTTGTGTGGTTTGCTCTGCTGTTTCCCTGAAGTACTTGAGGGGGTGGCTCTTCTATTTTAACATGATCTGCGGTGGTAAGATTCAACTGTAGTCTGGTCTTCTTCCTGAGGCACAAATCTATTCCAACTAAGCCTTCTGTAGTAAGAGTGGGCTTTGAGTTGTAGGTTTGATACTATACAGTCATAAAGGCTATGAAAAATAGATTCGATTTATATTTTACATCACACTCACAGTAAGGTTAGGTATTATTTTTTATAGAGTTTAAGTTGTAATTTGGCACATACATGCATATTTACACATATTATCCTAAAGATAGAGATTGTATACTTACTTCCTATAATGCTAAAGTCAGAGATTTTATAAGTTCTTTCTTCTTCATTAAGCTTAAGTTGGAGATTTTGGATTTGCTTCCTTATTATGCAAGATGTATTTTTATTTTTATTTTATCTTAGTATAGAGTTATGGTTTATCTTGTGTTGTGTGCTCCTCCTTCCTACTATTCCCACACTGAAATTTCCCCACTGTGACACAAATAAAGCATCTCTTAATCTTAAATATATTTCAACCTGAAAATAAGAATTACAGTTGTCAAACGTGTGGGATTTGTTGACAGAGCTTCAACAGTTATTCATAAATCTAATGGCTCAGCTCCTCTGTATTTGTCTAAACCAGAAGGACCAAGCCTTTTCTTTGGCTGGACAGTTTCCGGAACAGCCTGCCCTTGTATATCAGATCTGCTGAGTCAGTGAACTTTAAAAACAGCTGACTCATGATTTTAATCTTCTAAGGATACATTGTCCTTCATGGTATTCTTTATTTCTCTGTAATATTATGTTTTTATGAATTACTTGTCCCTGGAGTCAAGCAGAGAGGAGAAACAGAAATACATGGCAATAGTTATATGTGTGTGTACGTGTAATTGTGTATGTGTGTGCGTGAGCGAGTGTGTGTGGGTCCTGTGTGTGTGAGTGTCCTGTGTATGAGAGCACACACATGAGTGTTTTATCAGTCTTACTCTCGATGATGTCGCCCAGGCCCTGAGCGTAGAGAAGGTCTTTGAGGCGCGACACTTCCTCCTTCAGCTCACGCACAATACGGTTGCTTGGATCCTCGTTGATGACGGCGTTACAGCGGATCTGTTTGGCTCGATCTGCGTATCTGTGGCATAAAGGGTGGATTTTTAGATGTTTTCCTTGCCGATGCAGGAGGGTCCTACTGTATTAGCAAATCTTGTTTTAAGGCAGTTAAAAATTGCTCAAATTAAGATACATTGTAGGCCAAATCATTGGAAGAAATTACTCGACTTAATTTTGCTAACACTCTTTGCAGTTGAATACCAAGAATTCTGTGCATATTTTTCTATTCCCAATTGAACACCATATTAAAGGAGCTTAGTTCCTTTGGCAACACATATTGCTATCCGTCCCAATTTCTGATCAGCCCAGGCTAAACGATATGTAAGCTACATTAGTTTTGATGGTTAGGTCTAAAGTGCTACCGAAATGGAAAGATAAGCACGAGTATTTAAGTGGGCTACATTCTAAGTGCGTATGAAAACGTATGCAATCTGCGAGGAACTATTTATACATCCTAGATCTCTCTGGGGAAAACACAGAGATTAACCCGTCTTACTTCTAAATTCAACTTGACTAACAGCACATTAAGAGGCCCAGCCGCCATACTGATATGTGCATTTATTTCAAGATCACTTTAACATTGCTAGTACAATACGCGCTCTGGTTGAGTCCCAACCGCCCCCACAGAAAAGCAGCAGAGGACTGAATTGAGGTGTGAATGTGTGGCAATCCCATTAGAATGCCGTTTGTTACATAACGCAGTGGTATTTTGCACGCACACATAATTATAGAAATGTGTCTTGCGTCTGTTTCTACCTGAGAGTGCTAAGCGTTTCATCGTAGTTTATGTCAGCAGGGCTCAGAGCTGCCACCATCGCTGTGCGAGAATTTCCACCTGTCAAAAAAAGAATTATATCAGAGATAGTAGAGAAAGGAGTTGAATCCACCACCACACATCAAAAAGTTAAGAAAATAAAGGACAGAAATAGATAATATTTGGCAAATTGTATCAAATTTTAGCTGCCTAAAACATGGTTTGCCAATGGGACAAGCAAAATTATCCGTTTTTTTTTTTTTTTTAAACAATGAGAAATCAAAGCAAAACTTCTTGAAATAAGACTTAAGTGCTTTGTCCCATTGGCAAATCTTGTTTTAAGAAGGTTACTCAAATTAAAAGCATTTATTACTTTATAAAGCACATCTTTTAAAGCACATCTTATCTTATCTTATCTTATATTTTATCATTTTTGCAGTGAAGTTGATACTGAAAATGCTGCTACTACTTTACTTTTACGTCTACTTGTGAAATGTACTTTTTTGAATAGGAAAAGGACAAGGAAGAACTCATTCATTATTTCAAGTTCAAAGCAAGGTAACTTAATTTTTAAATCACAAATAGATCAAACTATGTTAAAAAATCTTGTTCCTCGCTCTTAAAACAGTTTTGTTTTATATCTAGTTTTTTGCCAACGTCATATCTTTTTAACAGCTTTTTCAGTTATACAAAATATATAAAAAGTGCAGGAAAATGATAAGAGAAGATATTCAAATTTACCAAGGTTCTCTCTGAGCAGCCATGTTAGTACTGAATCTCTGTAAGGAATAAAACTTTCCACCTTTTTCTTCTTTTTATTCTGTGGAACACAACAGACGTACATACAGTATTTGACAATGATTTGAAGTCGGTGGGTTTATACAGACATGCGTTTACAAAAAAGTCACCTCACCTTATTTGACCCAGAGTCCTAAAATAGCAGAGAATATATATTATTAAAGACATGCAAGGCCTTCACCATCAGTATTTAGAGCACACAAACGTACCACTTCTGCCAGCGCGGAGATGACTTTTCCCAAAGTGGTGAGAGATTTGTTGATGTTTGCTCCTTCCTGTAAATAAAAAAGAAAATTAGTTAAACATTTTAAATATGAAAAATGTCATTAATTCAAATCAGTAAGAAAAGCACTCACCTTAAGCCTGGTTCGCTTTTGCACCAGGATCGAGTTCGGCTCTTCTCGCTGCCGGGCCAAATACACCATATCTGGAGTGTATACTCGACCTAAAACAGACCACAATAATTATCAACTAATTAAATCAACCTCTTTATTCGGCTATAGCACAATCCATGTACAAAGCAATTCACAGTTCTTAAAAAAGGCAAATGTAAAAAGTAGAACATTTTTATAAAAAGTAGGAAATATCTTCAAGCTAACAGCAAGTTGAATTAATTTAACTAATTTTATTTTTTTCTATCCATGTAGAAACTGTGGTCCATTATCAACCTGGAGTTCCATGCTAATATGTAGTGGTGTGGGAAAAACTGATTCTGTTCAGTATCGAGATTTTTGGTCACACAATTAAATCGATACAGTAGAGAAAAGCAATATTTAATCAATCTTTTGTGTTTTCTCTGAGTATACTCTGGTCATTTACATCTGAGGTTTATGTTACTCTATTATGTCTGCTTTTTGTTACTCTAGTCATTTGTATTTGAATAATTTAAGTTCTGTGCTAGGAGCTCAATTCAGAAAATAATGATGTCTTGTCCTGTAATAAGGTCCTGTGCTCTGAATGTACAAGGATAATGTTTCTACCCTCCTAACTTTTTACACTTCAGCTGATGTGCAGACCATAACAAATGTGACATTGGAGTTGAGCAGTAATATTTTTATTTTTATTTTTGTAACGCCTTTAAATATTATGAGCGACATGACTCACAATATATCGCAGAACCGAATCGCAACGCTCACTGTATAGCATTATGTAAAGAATCACAAGACTATAAAATTGTCACATTTTTGCCAATGTCCTCTCTTACAATTGTGTGGAACTTCTGGCACAAATCGGTACAAAAATGTACTAGATAGAAATTAACGGTTGGATGAAAGCGTCATATGTAATAATAATAATATATATATTTTTCCAGGTGCTTTTGTGTTACCTTTTCTGACACATTCTCAGTGTCTGCATCATGGCGTTTCTGTGTGAAGATGATGTTGAAGACGGCGTGAGAGCGACTGCTGGTTTCATTCATGTTTGTGGCCGCCACCGTTCTACAATGTTACATAAATACAAGGTAATACAGAAAAACATGCTTTTAATGACATTAAGAAAAATACATCAGTGTTGTGCCAGTTCACAGCTTTTCTGAACTAGTTCAAGTTCAGTTCATACATGCTCAAAGTGAACAGTTCACGTTCGAAGTTCTCAATTTTAATTCTGAACTAGTTCAAAGTTCAGTTCATTTTACTTTTTTCGTGAAATTGTCAAATAAATACTTTTTTTTTAAACTACGAGCTATATATTTACATATATATATATATATATATATATATATATATATATATATATATATGTATATATAGGAGGTATATATATATATATATATATATATATCTCCTGTACACCCACAGGAGGAGAGTCTTTTGACTACAAAACAGACAAGATTTACATGGTTTTCAATGGGAGCCAAACGGAGTTGTCCCATCTCTGCTCATAAACTACAGACAGTAATGCGCTGCAGTGCGTGTGTCTATACTTTATGTCAAATGTAAACGGTGTAAACTTTGTCGCTAACTCACCCTGTGTTTTCATCACGACTCGGGCACATGTGAAAAGCACCAGCTCACAGCGCCGCACCGCAACACAGAGTCGGGGTGTGTTCACAGACGGTGGAAACCGTAGGAATTTTTATACTTCAGCGGAAAAAGTGCGAGAATACAGGAGGGAGGAACTTTCTCTCGTTGTGTTTCAAAAGAGAAAACAGATTCCAACGTTCATAGTGATGTCTGCCGTTCATGACACATAAAATGAACTAATTCACGTTCAAGTTCTTCTTTTAAAAATGTGTTGCCTTCAGTTCAACGTTCACGAAAAAATGAGCGTGTTCAATGAACGCGTTCTTTTAAACTCGTTCACGCACAACACTGAAATACATGTAATTTTCTTTTCACATCGGTCAGGTCTGCAATTTTTCCCAAAACAAGCTTGATTCCACATTACAGCTGGAGACCCTAACTTTCAAACCGCAAAAATGTTTACGTTTTAGTAATATAATCTATGTGACTAGACTCTAGTTCTCAAAACAGTTTGGTGCTATCTCTAGTCTTCACGTATGGGGTGCCGTTTGTAAAAATTCTGTTAAAATTTTTTAGCTGAACATTTTTCTACATTTAGCTCACTTTCCTCACATTTAGCACATTTTCCTCACATTTAAGACATATCTATATCTAAATATTATATCTATATCTAAATGTTAAATGTTATATCTAAATATTATATCTATATCTAAATGTTGAATCTAAATGTTAAATCTAAATGTGAAATGTTAAATCTAAATGTTAAATCTAAATGTTATATCTATATCTAAATGTTATATCTATATCTAAATATTATATCTATATCTAAATGTTATATCTATATCTAAATGTTAAATGTTATATCTAAATATTATATCTATATCTAAATGTTATATCTATATCTAAATGTTAAATCTATATCTAAATGTTAAATCTAAATGTTAAATCTAAATGTTAAATCTAAATGTGTCGCCAAGTGTAAAGCTAAATATATAGAAACCACGCCCACTGCAGTGGCTTCAAATCCAGTGGGCCCGCCTTCCGTGCCGTGTGGTGAGAACCCTACAGGATTACACAGGAATCTCACGGGACTCCACGTGGCTTAGTTTACAGTGAATACACTCTGGCTCCAGCAAATAAGCAAGAATCTTCACAAAAATGCTAATTTTGTGCCGTGGCCAAGGACGATGGCGCCGGAGACCCAACATGCCTTGAGCCGTGACGTCGGTCCACGTGTATTCCTATGTTCAAAACACGCGGCACCGCCCCCACTCACCACACGGCACGGAAGGCGGGCAGTGGGCGTGGTTTCTATATATTTAGCTTTACACTTGGCGACACATTTAGATTTAACATTTAGATTTAACATTTAGATTTAACATTTAGATTTAACATTTAGATATAGATTTAACATTTAGATATAGATATAACATTTAGATATAGATATAATATTTAGATATAACATTTAACATTTAGATATAGATATAATATTTAGATATAGATATAACATTTAGATATAGATATAACATTTAGATATAGATATAACATTTAGATTTAACATTTAGATTTAACATTTAGATTTAACATTTAGATTTAACATTTAGATTTAACATTTAGATTTAACATTTAGATTTAACATTTAGATATAGATATAACATTTAGATATAGATATAATATTTAAATATAACATTTAACATTTAGATATAGATATAATATTTAGATATAGATATGTCTTAAATGTGAGGAAAATGTGCTAAATGTGAGGAAAGTGAGCTAAATGTAGAAAAATGTTCAGCTAAAAAATTTTAACAGAATTTTTACAAACGGCACCCCATATTCACGTGCCTCACATCTTCCAATCAGATTTTTCAGACAGAAAAGTGTTTTATTCTTTGATCTGTGTAAAGTCCTCCGAGACAACTACTGCTGTAATTTAGGGCTATACAAGATACACATTGAATTGAATTGAACTTTGAATGTATTTGATTGGGTATTTTGATTGTCCCATATTATCTGGGAACTTAAAATTTTGACTAAGAATAACTTAAATGGAGTAGCTTTGGAGATTCTTGAACATGTAAAGATTAGGAGTTTGTACCTGGCCTTGTTGCCGGAGTCCATCAGGTCCTGGATGTCGTTGTAGGAGGTGACAGCGAGTTTGGACAGATCCTCCACATAGGGTCCCAGCAGAGGATGCTCTCTCACACGCAGGTTCCCTTTGTTTTTGGGGTTTAAAAGATCCCGCACGCGCTCACAGTAGATCTCCATGTAGCTCACCTGTGTATCGATACAGTAAGTACATGAGATAATAACATTTGTGTTATGAATTCTGTTTGTGTAAAAGTTGGTGTGAATATACCTCAACCGAGTAAGACACGCTGTTGTCTGTGTTTTCGTTTATTTTACTGAAAAGATCTTCACACATCTAGAGAGAGATAAATTATTTTGGTTAGTGTTTCTTTTGACAACCATGTGACAAAACCATGTGACAAAACATTGGAAGTAACTATATACAGGCTCAAACAATATCAAAGTGAGTTCACTGCAAAATTATGAAATATGAGGTAATAATTGCTTGAATCGAGTATTTTTAACTTATTTTGAGAACATTCTGACTCTCTTAAAACAAGATTTTCCAATAGAACAAAGCCATTTAGTCTGTCTTCCAAGGGAGACATTTCTTGTATCTTTTTAAAAAACAGATAATTTGGATTGCCCTATTCGCAAATCTTGTTTTAAGGCAGTCAGAATGTGCTCAAATTAAGATTGCAGTGTAGACGTTGATGATCTGGATTTGACTTGGCAAGTAAAATATCCGGCAATGGATATTTTAAGCTCAAAGAACAGGGAGGATTTCTGGGATTGCTGAATAATCTTCATGTGACAGCTTCAGAAAATAAAATTCTATAGTAAAGTAAAAAACAGTGGGTCAGAAGAGCCAGGGGAGCAAGGGAGAATCAGCCTTTTGTTAATCCTCAAGTTGCTGAGTGCTCGAATTAATTTCATTCATTTCAACAGTATCGAAACCCTGGCCCATTAGATTTGGGGACCAACCACAGTGGACATTTGACATGATTGGCAATGAGCTATATGCAGAAGCAGGATAGACCTCTCCTATGAGAAAATGAATGGATGGTTTTCAGGCTAAATATTCAACTATGATATAGTCTGGTCTTAGCCAAGCTACAAACATGTATGAATAAAAGACTTTAGCAGCTTCAGTGACAGACTGATCCACCCTCACTGTGTGAAGAAGAATCTATATAAGGAATAAAGGTTATCTCCTCTTATTATTTAACATTATAATTGTTTATTTTTACTACATTATTCTTACAAAATGCTTAAATCCATAACTTTCCTCAAAGTTAGGAAAGCCACAGGTCACACTCCCCCTACTCCAGGACCAGCTGCTGTTGCGTTGATTGGTCAGAGCAGATCATATGTGCAAATTGTGCAAACTTTTGTATCTTGTTCTCATCTATGGTATCACTCGTCAAATCCAGTCAGACAAATTCTAACTCACTCATTCTAACTGAGATATTGTTTTTTGTAGAACTTAATATCAGTTTTACCAGGGGGATGATTCCTTGCTGATCTTTGACGTCTTGTTTGCCCATCATGGTGTAGGACTTCCCTGCTCCTGTCTGACCATAGGCAAAGATGCAAACGTTGTACCCTTCAAAAGCATGAAGCAGCATCTCCTCCCCGATGTCTTTGTACACCAGCATCTGAGAGGCATAATTCTCGTCCTCTGGCTGTAGACACAGATCAATAATCAGGGTTATAAATGAGGGGCGTCGTTGTAAAGCTGGCATGTCAGTTCAAAAGAGTACAAACAGGCAGATAATGGTGATGCATAGATGTTTGAATAAGAGAGAATTGATAGAGAGACAGATGGAAGCTTAGTAAATAAAGTTTAAAGTGAGTATGACAGGTAAGATTACTAGGACACAGACAGAAGGTTGAGCCCTGACGCTTTACAAGAGATAGATAGAGGATTTCATAGGGATAGGAAAGACTATAATCAATATCAGAAGTAAAGGAAATAAACATATGTAAGAACCATGTTGAGAAATTTTTGTGGGACGCCAGGTCGCTGTATAGAAAGTATAGAAATTGATCATGTAGCAATTCTACTACATTGGTGCCTAAAAGGTTAAAACATGCTTAGCTTTAAAGAAGACATAGTTTGCATTATTTGTGTCCATTAAAAAGGATAATGAGACTATTTTCTTTGTCATTACATGTTTGATAATATATTATCAGTAGAAAATAGATGGTGAAACGAGTATTTAAAAAAAATCTGTGCTTTTTGTTTGTTACTCCCTGTGTTACCACCAGAGGGAGATGAAGAGTTTTGTGTTTTTTACCAACTATGATAATTACTGGCTGCAAATACAGCTATATGATTGCAAAGAATGTCAATTCATTTGAGAAATTACAATTACACTAAACTTTAGAATGAGATCTATAGTGGGATGTTTTTCATTGATTCAAAGCATGTGTAATCCCATCAAGAAAGTAAAAAAAAAAGAGATAATCCTGAAATATCATATCTATTGCCTTTCCAGATTTATAATGACAAGATAGTGAGGTGGTTACCGTTGTGTGGGACCAGTAGGAGTAATCAAAGTTGAAGCTCTTGTTGTCTTTGGCCTGTTTGGGGTTGACGATGGCTGAAAGACACAGACACAGGTCAGAGCTGACGACAGGAAACTTTATCACAGCAGCTGCGGTACAGAGCGGTCGCACCAGCAGCACAACAAAACATCACCAAAATGTACATTAGACAAATAAGACAAGAGCTCATCACACCAGCGTGGCCATAAATATTTTGAGGAAAAAGACACGATATTGAACTGGGAATAGTTAACTTGGGACTTTTGAATGATGCTTAAATTGAGTGATAAACAAACAAAAATAACGCATATTTGGCATTCATGCACATGCCCAAAGCAGTATTTTAATCATTCACAGGCAGAAAAGAACAGATCCACTCATTTCAATTGAGGTGACAATGACATCACTTCTATGCAAGAAATGGCTATAATCTTTCTCAGTGTTGTATGGTGTATCACCAGTGATGGGAATAACGGCGTTACTAGTAACGGCGTTACTAACGCCGTTACTTTTTTCAGTAACGAGTAATCTAACTAATTACTTTGACAGTAACTATAACGCCGTTATCATTTCCGACATCCCGTTACTGCGCGTTACTCAAGACGCACAATGAACGTGTTGTCATGAGAGAAGGGAGGATGAGAAAACCTCTCAGCAATTATTGGCTGATGTAAATCATATTTCCTTTACAATCTACATGTCTACAGTTGAGAGGATGGCTCATAAATTGTGTTTTTGAAACAAATATGGGTCTTAATCGCGCTCAACCACGGCTTGTATCACCGTGAGGTCAGCCACAGAGTAGCGCATGTGAGCGCAGAAGTCGGCTGCATACAATTCCATCGATAAGCTCCTTGCTCTTCCTGGTTTATCTGCTAAGGACAGCAACAGGTTTGGCTAACATACATATAACACATTTTTACATAATCTAAAATGCACATAGGGTAATTTTTCAATTACTATAGGAATGATAAGAAAGAGAGGTGAAGTGTAAGACGGTTGATTTTAGAAATTGGATGCAGCCGGCTGCAGCAAAACAGAGGAGTTTACGGAGGACACACGCGTTTTGTTTTACTTTTTAAAACTCATTGGACTCATTTCCAAATGGAGGATTACATATCTACGCTCAAACCATTCACTGGATTTAAACAAGGAACTGGTCTGAACCGAAGTGGACTGTGCAGGTCATTTATAAGGTATAGCTTTAAGGTAAGACCCATAACTCATAGTTTTGCGTTTTGTATGAACAAACAATGCGGGCATAAAACATATTTTGCTGTAGCCAAACAAATTGTCCACTTGATTTATATGATGTATATGTTCATCTGATTGGACTGAAGTCAGTGCTTCACCAGCCTCATCGCTCGTCACCGGTGTTTCCACATTCACAGTGGCGGGCTTTACAGCACAGACAGAGATGAAGAGTGAACAGGACTTCAGCAGCAAAACAGCCTTTTCTAGATGGAAATATTGGCACTGTTAAAGGTAAAAATGCGCACGTCGGGTGCACATTATGTTCCAGAACAAAACGAAAAAGTAACGCAATAGTTACTTTTACTGGTAACTAGTTACTTTTATAGTGGAGTAACTCCGTTAGTAACTCAGTTACTTTTTGGCAGAAGTAACTAATAACTATAACTAATTACTTTTTCAAAGTAACGTGCCCAACACTGTGTATCACTCACATTATTATCACACATGTGCTTAGGATGGACTGTGAAAAATGAAGAGGAGCGAAATATGGGACCTTTAAACAACTCAGAACAGCACTGCTCCTCGTTTTATCAATTATTGATTGATTGCGCTGTATACATTGTTCTAATATGACATTTAACGTTGTGCACAGGTGTGATCGGTAAAAACAGTCTCCTCTCTCACTGCTCACTTTCTATTACCAGACAGATCACTTTGTTCTGTGTCTCCATGATGAATGTGCCTTGAGTCATTTGCTCGATTTTCAATTTGTAATTTGTCACTTTGGGGCCTCATGAAAAATCCCATTATCCAGTTGACTTTGCTATTAGGGCTCTGAGCGTGAATGTTGAAATCGATACTGCAATGAAGATAAGGCGTTTCAGTGTGGGGCTGTATCGTGATGGAAATACATGAAATGGGACCTGTTGAAAACTACAATTGATTTCACATGTTTAAGAGTGAACTAAAAGCTGCGCTGTGTCAAATTCAAGCCGGAGAATAAAACAATTCTGTGGAGGATGGGAGCAGCTACTGTATTGCAATGGCTGTGACAAAAACATCATATCATACATCAGTTTTCATGGGTGGAAAACAACAAAATGGCCATTGTTCTAAAGACTATTTACTATAATATTACAAGAGTCAACGTCCTTTTTACTATTAACATCCTGTATGAGACAAATGGGACGTATGCTGGCATTTTTCACAACTGCCCTGGAGTAGAGTGGGCCCCTCTGCCCACACAAATCCTTCAGACACACACCGGACTCTGCAATGCGACTGAAGTGTCTTGCCTAACGACAAAGTTACAGTTCACAGAATAAGGAACGGTCACATTCAGACTGAATCTGAATATCTTTGTGAAGTTGTAGTTTTGTCCACTGCTGACTCAGCAAATACAAGTGGTAGCAGAGGAAATTCTAATTTCAAAAACAGATGTATTTATTTCAGATCTATTAAATATAAAGAGGAGTTACGCTTGGGGCATGAGGCAGTGTTTCACAGCTGTATATTTCTAGAAATATTTTTTTTTGACATGTTTACTCTCTTTTAGAGTTCGAAGAACAAACAGATCCTGATTAATCTCAGAATGACTGAAAATACAGTAAGTGGGATAGACATTTTTGTATATTTCACATCAATTAGCTGTAAAACAATAAATTAAGCACAAAAAGGTAAACATGTGATTCAACTTAAAGAATCAGAATTAAAATCAGAATCATTTTTATTGCCACGTAAGTAACAGGAAGTCACAGACTTGGAAATTACTTTGGCTCAGTGCAACAGTCAGAAAGAGATAATAAAAATACAGAATAAGCTGCACTACCTAACTTGGATAAGCCACAAAACTATAAATGTAATACAATCCATTTACCAACTTCTTCGCTCTCAAAACAGTTTCAATGCATCTTTTTGCCTCTGTCACATCTGTAGATCAGCTGTTTCAGGCAGAAAAGTGAAAAAAGGGGAGAACCACCCATCAGCTCTCAGCTCAAAGCATCAAATAGTGACTCACATGGTAAATACAAAAGTTAAATGTTTTAGACAGTGTGGCTGATTCGATCACAAAGTGTAACTTTTACAAGATTCTTTCGGTTGGGACCCCAGTTTTAAAAGCATGCTTAAAATATAGAAGAAAGTACACCTAAAATCCAATAGTCAATAATGATGAAATAAAAATGAAATAAAAATGAAATAAAAATGCGTGGCCATTTGATATGAGGTACCACTTGTATGAATACTACACCAGCCCAAATCCAATTGTGGTTTTACTGAGGCCGGCTACAGAAACGTTTCCTCCCTCTCTCCTAATGCAGGTGCGGTCCATAAAGGAGGAAAGAGCCGCGAGCAAAGTGCACTCTCCAGTTAGTGTGTACACAATTATGTTTCCTCCATGTGAAATATAGACACGTTTGCCAAGGCTGGGTTCACGTTTCAAGGCTTCTGTGACGACAATGGTCCCTGTTAAACAACCCAGGCCTTGGGCAGTGCTCCAGAAATATACATGCAGTGAATAGAGCCCAGTTTACAGAAGGTGATGTCTGTTTGTAGAGCTCGTAACAAGTGTTCCTGTTGACCACTGAATGATACAAACGCTGCATAAAGCTGGAGGCTAATTATATCATGTTTAACATCCATACAAAAACAAATTTATATTATACTCTGAATCCATGCAGATGCAACATTTTGATTTATTTGTATTGTCATAAAATACAAAAAAGTTAAACATGGTGGAGTATTTATAATCATATTTATGATGACTAAAAAGGTTACTAAAAAACCTTGCAGACAAGATAGGGCATTTCTTGAATAGATTTAGAATGGGTTCACGCAGAACCAAAATTAATAAAATAAATAAAATATATAATCTCTGTGTTAAATGTGAAAAGTTTATTTTGTCTTCTTTATGTTTGAAGCTTATATGTTTTTTTTTTAATAAGAACATAAACACGAAATATGGATACAAGAGACAATTTAAATCAGGAAGCAGGGCGCACGGACCGTCAACAGAGACAAGGGGGCCTTCACCTTGGCTCACACTTGGGAGAGACCACAGTACAGCAAGGGGAGTAGTCAGTCTGACAGATCTGCCCAATATGTCACTTTATATTATCATATCAATTGTAAGATAGCGATGTTATTACCTTGAGAAACAGAAATAGTACAATTGTCTGTTATAGAATAATCAAATAACTTTTTATCTACTAAGAAGGCAAGATGACGGAAAAATTTGCATCAAACAGTTAAAACACCAGAAATAAAACAGAAAACACATAGGGGAAGATGACCAATGTTCATAATTGTTCATCAATGTCCATTTGTTGTATGTTGATTGACCTGGATCATCACTTACAATAATAACAGACATAGGAGCCATTGGTCCATAAAGGGGCAGGATGACCAATGTCCATGTCAACAAAGTGGTAACATCACACCCTGTATAGTTGTCTTTCAATGAGAACCGGAGCAGTATCTTTCTTCTTCTGCAAAGCGTTTAAAGCCCACACCTACCTCTCCTTGTGCTTCACTGCAGTATGACATCCTCTGCTTAGTCACCCCTGATTGAACAATGATTCATGCAAAATGCTCTCTGTAGCCTCCACCGGCGGAAGGGCCTGCTGATCACATCCAGTAATCACTTTAGTGTGGCGTGGACCCAGGCGGCGTTTGTGAAACTCCATAGGGGAGGGGTTTGGTCACGATGTCTCCACTTGATGTTAGTGAGGCGGAGGTGAGAAAGCATTTATCTGTGTTTTATAGACAACAACATCTTTCCTAATCCCTTTATAGTCATAACATGCTTCCACCTTCTTTATAGTGAGATTTCATGACATCAATTCAATTAAATGTATTTTTGTAA